GGATCATGGGTGACAAGTCCTGCAGAGAGGGACAGTTCAGAGCTGTGCTTTGCACAGTGTTCATGTGGCCACACAGCCCCTGACAGTGCAGGGGGCTCCAGGTGGGTGCACAGCAAACTCAGGGAGTGCAGGTAGAACAAATACCTGCAAAAGCCCCACAGAAACTCTTCCCTTCCATTGTGCAGCTGGTGAGTTGTGACAACAAAGAGATTTGGTGTGACTCTGCCTGGCTCAGGTGAGACCCCACCTCCCCAGCTGCCTCCAGCCTGGGGGTCCCAGCACAGGAGAAAGAGTCCAGAAGAGGCTCCAGGAGGATCAAAGGGATAGAGCAGCTCTGCTGGGAGAACTGGGATTGTTCAGTCTGGAGGAGAGAAGCTTTGGGGTGACTCCGTGGCCTTCCAGAACCTGAAGGGAGCCAACAAGAAAAAGAGAGAGAGAGAGAGAGAGAGAGAGAGAGAGACAATTTCCAAGGGCCTGGAGTGACAGGATGAGGGGAAATGGCTTCAAAGTGATAGAGATGAGATATATTAGGGAAAAATTCAGAGGGTGATGAGGCCCTGGCACAGATTGCCCAGTGCAGCTGTGGCTGCCCTATTCCCTGGCCTGGAAGTGTCCAAGGCCAGGTTGGACAAGATTTGGAGCAATCTCTGATAGTGGAAGGTAGGGATGAAACAAGATGGGCTTTAAGGCAGGGAGGAACCAAACTACACCTAAACTACAATTCCATGAAGTTGTTTGTGAGGATGCTGGGATGTGATAGTGATTTCTTGCATTTGAAAGAGCTTGGTCTGTGTCCCCCTCCTCTCCCTTTCTCCATCCTTCCTCTCCTAACGGCACTGCCTGAGGCAGGATGCCAGCCCTGCTCATTTCCTGGTGGGTGTCAAGCCCAAGCATTACTAACAAGCCTGGAATGCGTTACCAGAAGAGAATCTCCTGAGGTGACACAACCAACCTGACAGGGGAGAGACCAGGGTGTGATTCCAGTGACAGATTATTAATAGAATGAGCCCCTCCTTAGAACCACACCATGGAGATGGTTTGGAACATTTGTGTCCACCTCAGGGGAACAGGGGAATTTAATTGGGGTGACAAACCCATGGCTATTGTGTTGTCATCACTGAAAGAGCCATGGATGAATAGCAGATTTTTTTAGGTGTTGCCAATTCAGAAAGCGTGAAAAAAACAGGGCATGAATATGTAATGCTTATGTAAAAAGCAGCTGGAAAAAATGTTGGACTTGTTCAGAGTATTTTGAAAAATGTGGGACTTGTTCAGAGTGTGTTTCTTCACCTATTTAGGTATTTACTACTCCTTTGAAATCTGGGAATTACAGACATGACTGATGTCTCTCAGTGAAATATATATTTAAATCCCAAATCAGCTCAGTGTTCTTGAGAAGCTGTTCCAGAAAACTCTGAGCAATCAGTCTTTAACCCTCTTTTCCATGGAAAACGGGGGACATCAAAAAGGTGGGGTTGGGTAGGAATGTGATTTCTCATTGGAAAGGAAGGAGTTTGGGGAATTGTCTGCTAACTAGCTTTACTGCAGAAAGCAGAAGAATCTTAAAACTTATTACTAAATAATAAAAAGACCATATAAAATAATGAAGTCTTAAGAAGTAAGAAAAGGAACAAACTGGTACAGCCTGATTCAGTTTCCTTTTTGACAAAAGGTTTCAGCCAAAGGGAAACCCTCAGCTGGACTAAGAATTTAATCAGAGAATAAATTTTACAGTGATTGACATAACACTTTCCTAAAAGAAGAAATCATCCAGGGTGGAGGCAAATCCTCATAGATGGCTGTTACTGTTCTTTTTTGGGTTTGGATAAGAAAACTTGTACTAAGAAGACATAAAAATTAAGCAGTGAGATTACATTTTAAATGCCATAAATTCTCCACATTAGTTGCTCCTAAATAATTTGAAATATTATCTATGGAATGATAAAAGTTAGGAATCTTACAAGTATTTTGGAAGACAGGATTAGAATGAAAATTATTCGGGGAAAAAAAAAAGAATGGCTCTTCTGAATTGCAGTTGAGGAAATTGGGATACCTTGCACATGCAAATGGACATGTTCAGGTGCAAAGAAAATTCTGGTTTTATTGTTCTATGAAGATCTCTTCAGAGAACCTCCAGCTGGACATGTCTATTGGTTTCAGTGCATGAAGGAAGAGATAAAGTGCAAGAGGTTTACTGATAACACCACTGTTGAAAGGGTAAAGGTCCAGTGATCACTCAAGCTGTTGGACTGAGTGCAAAGGAGGCCCCCAAGGTGAGCAGAATGACAGAGCAGCTCTCATATGGAGCCAGGCCAAGGAAACAGGGATTGTCCAGCCTGTAGGTGAGATGGCTCCAGAGAGACCTTAGAAGTCCTCCCAGTGCCTAAAAGGGCTCCAAGAGAGCTCGAGAGGGAGTTGGGACAAGGAATGGAGAGACAGGACATAGGGGAATGGCTTCAAGCTTAGAGAGGATTGATTTAGGAAAGGTATTAGGAAGGAAATGTTCCCAGTGATGGTGGTGGCACAGAGTGCCCAGAGCAGCTGTGGCAGCCCCTGAATCCCTGGAAGTGTCCAGGGCCATGTTGGATGGGACTTTGAGCAACCTGGGATAGTAGATGTTCCTACCCATGGTAGGGGGTGGAACAAAAGAATTTTCTGAATCTCTTCCAACACAAACCATTCTGTTACTCTATAAAACCATAATTTAAGAGAGTTCAGGATCAGCATATGATTCCTGAGACTACTCATGTATTAATATCGGATGGGATGTAAATATAGGAACATATTAAAAAAAAAAACCTGGAAAAGGAAATCTCTCTCTCACTGCAGCACCAGAGGCAACAACAGCGACCACCACGGTCCGTGCCCAAACGTCAACCTCTGCTCCTGGGACAAGTCCGAATTCTGTGACCGCTTCTGCTCTTCCATCGAGCTCTACTCTTGAGACAAGTAGCCCATCTCTCACCACTGCTCCACCCACCAGCAGCACCGTAGCTGAAACTGCCTCCTCAGCTCCTGATCTGGGCACATCCACCGTTGGCTCAACCACTGCGTCCAGGAGCACAAGGCCGGAAGGCAGCACGTCGACTGTACACACCACAGCTGAAGCGCAGTCGACGGCTTCCGCGTCCTCAGACCATCCAGAGACCTCTCCACTTGCGACGACCTCCAGAATGCTGTCGACCACAGCAGAAATCTCCAGCCTCATGGATTCAGTCACCACTCCTGCGCAATCCAGCCTGGCTGAGACAATCACTAGTGACCAGGTCACTACAGAAGGGAGAGGAACGACGGTGACCTCTGTGGAGCGTGAACAAACATCCTCGGCTGCTCCTGGGACAAGCACAACTTCTGCCACCGCCTCTTCTCTTCCAACAAGCTCAGCTGCAGAGACCACGTCACCAGCTCTCACCAGCACTGCAAGCACCACCACGCCGTTGGAGACAAGCTCTACCGCTGCTGCTACTTCAACTTTAAACTCTGAGCCCAGTGCTGTGCCTACCGCCTTGAGAACAGAATTCTCCACCTCGAGTGCACAGGCAACATCGTCTACGGCTGCAGCCTCTTCCACTGGGGCCGACACGTCGCCATTGGAGACAACCTCCCCGGTCCCCTCGACAGCAGAACGAACCTCCAAAGCAAAGTCTTCCACCATCACAAGCATGCAATCCAGCCTGTCTGAGAGTTCCCCGAGTCAGCAGGTCACCACTGCAGCACCAGAGGCAACAACAGCGACCACCACGGTCCTTGCCCCAACGTCGACCTCTGCTCCTGGGACAAGTCCGTCTTCTGTGACCACTTCTGCTCTTCCATCGAGCTCTACTCTTGAGACAAGTAGCCCATCTCTCACCACTGCTCCACCCACCAGCAGAACTGTAGCTGAAACTGCCTCCTCAGCTCCTGATCTGGGCACATCCACCGTTGGCTCAACCACTGCGTCCAGGAGCACAAGGCCGGAAGGCAGCACGTCGACTGTACACACCACAGCTGAAGCGCAGTCGACGGCTTCCGCGTCCTCAGACCATCCAGAGACCTCTCCACTTGCGACAACCTCCAGAATGCTGTCGACCACAGCAGAAATCTCCCGCCTCATGGCTACAGCCACCACTCCATTCCAATCCAGCCAGGCTGGAACAGATTCTCTTTCCCAGGTCACCACTGCAGCAACAGAGTTCACATCTGTGACCACCACGGTCCTCGCTGAAACGTCGACCTCTGCTCCTGGGTCAAGCGCAACTTCTGCCAGCCCTTCTTCTGCTCCTCTGAGCTCTACTCTGGAGAAAACTGCCCCATCTCTCACCACAGCTACACCCACCAGCAGCAGTACCGTTCCTGAGTCAACCTCCTCAGCTGCACGTCTGGGCACATCCACAGTTGGGTCCAGCAGTGTATCCAGCACCACAAGGCCACGAGGCACCACCACGGCTGCGCAGTCCACAACCCAGCCTGAGTCTATGGCGTCAGGCTCTTCAGCTCGGCCGGAGACGACTTCACCTGTGAAAACCTCCACAATCCAGTCGACCACAGCAGAAATCTCCAGCCTCATGGATTCAGTCACCACTCCTGCGCAATCCAGCCTGGCTGAGACAATCACTAGTGACCAGGTCACTACAGAAGGGAGAGGAACGACGGTGACCTCTGTGGAGCGTGAACAAACATCCTCGGCTGCTCCTGGGACAAGCACAACTTCTGCCACCGCCTCTTCTCTTCCAACAAGCTCAGCTGCAGAGACCACGTCACCAGCTCTCACCAGCACTGCAAGCACCACCACGCCGTTGGAGACAAGCTCTACCGCTGCTGCTACTTCAACTTTAAACTCTGAGCCCAGTGCTGTGCCTACCGCCTTGAGAACAGAATTCTCCACCTCGAGTGCACAGGCAACATCGTCTACGGCTGCAGCCTCTTCCACTGGGGCCGACACGTCGCCATTGGAGACAACCTCCCCGGTCCCCTCGACAGCAGAACGAACCTCCAAAGCAAAGTCTTCCACCATCACAAGCATGCAATCCAGCCTGTCTGAGAGTTCCCCGAGTCAGCAGGTCACCACTGCAGCACCAGAGGCAACAACAGCGACCACCACGGTCCTTGCCCCAACGTCGACCTCTGCTCCTGGGACAAGTCCGTCTTCTGTGACCACTTCTGCTCTTCCATCGAGCTCTACTCTTGAGACAAGTAGCCCATCTCTCACCACTGCTCCACCCACCAGCAGCACCGTAGCTGAAACTGCCTCCTCAGCTCCTGATCTGGGCACATCCACCGTTGGCTCAACCACTGCGTCCAGGAGCACAAGGCCGGAAGGCAGCACGTCGACTGTACACACCACAGCTGAAGCGCAGTCGACGGCTTCCACGTCCTCAGACTATCCAGAGACCTCTCCACTTGCGACAACCTCCAGAATGCTGTCGACCACAGCAGAAATCTCCCGCCTCATGGCTACAGCCACCACTCCATTCCAATCCAGCCAGGCTGGAACAGATTCTCTTTCCCAGGTCACCACTGCAGCAACAGAGTTCACATCTGTGACCACCACGGTCCTCGCTGAAACGTCGACCTCTGCTCCTGGGTCAAGCGCAACTTCTGCCAGCCCTTCTTCTGCTCCTCTGAGCTCTACTCTGGAGAAAACTGCCCCATCTCTCACCACAGCTACACCCACCAGCAGCAGTACCGTTCCTGAGTCAACCTCCTCAGCTGCACGTCTGGGCACATCCACAGTTGGGTCCAGCAGTGTATCCAGCACCACAAGGCCACGAGGCACCACCACGGCTGCGCAGTCCACAACCCAGCCTGAGTCTATGGCGTCAGGCTCTTCAGCTCGGCCGGAGACGACTTCACCTGTGAAAACCTCCACAATCCAGTCGACCACAGCAGAAATCTCCAGCCTCATGGATTCAGTCACCACTCCTGCGCAATCCAGCCTGGCTGAGACAATCACTAGTGACCAGGTCACTACAGAAGGGAGAGGAACGACGGTGACCTCTGTGGAGCGTGAACAAACATCCTCGGCTGCTCCTGGGACAAGCACAACTTCTGCCACCGCCTCTTCTCTTCCAACAAGCTCAGCTGCAGAGACCACGTCACCAGCTCTCACCAGCACTGCAAGCACCACCACGCCGTTGGAGACAAGCTCTACCGCTGCTGCTACTTCAACTTTAAACTCTGAGCCCAGTGCTGTGCCTACCGCCTTGAGAACAGAATTCTCCACCTCGAGTGCACAGGCAACATCGTCTACGGCTGCAGCCTCTTCCACTGGGGCCGACACGTCGCCATTGGAGACAACCTCCCCGGTCCCCTCGACAGCAGAACGAACCTCCAAAGCAAAGTCTTCCACCATCACAAGCATGCAATCCAGCCTGTCTGAGAGTTCCCCGAGTCAGCAGGTCACCACTGCAGCACCAGAGGCAACAACAGCGACCACCACGGTCCTTGCCCCAACGTCGACCTCTGCTCCTGGGACAAGTCCGTCTTCTGTGACCACTTCTGCTCTTCCATCGAGCTCTACTCTTGAGACAAGTAGCCCATCTCTCACCACTGCTCCACCCACCAGCAGAACTGTAGCTGAAACTGCCTCCTCAGCTCCTGATCTGGGCACATCCACCGTTGGCTCAACCACTGCGTCCAGGAGCACAAGGCCGGAAGGCAGCACGTCGACTGTACACACCACAGCTGAAGCGCAGTCGACGGCTTCCGCGTCCTCAGACCATCCAGAGACCTCTCCACTTGCGACAACCTCCAGAATGCTGTCGACCACAGCAGAAATCTCCCGCCTCATGGCTACAGCCACCACTCCATTCCAATCCAGCCAGGCTGGAACAGATTCTCTTTCCCAGGTCACCACTGCAGCAACAGAGTTCACATCTGTGACCACCACGGTCCTCGCTGAAACGTCGACCTCTGCTCCTGGGTCAAGCGCAACTTCTGCCAGCCCTTCTTCTGCTCCTCTGAGCTCTACTCTGGAGAAAACTGCCCCATCTCTCACCACAGCTACACCCACCAGCAGCAGTACCGTTCCTGAGTCAACCTCCTCAGCTGCACGTCTGGGCACATCCACAGTTGGGTCCAGCAGTGTATCCAGCACCACAAGGCCACGAGGCACCACCACGGCTGCGCAGTCCACAACCCAGCCTGAGTCTATGGCGTCAGGCTCTTCAGCTCGGCCGGAGACGACTTCACCTGTGAAAACCTCCACAATCCAGTCGACCACAGCAGAAATCTCCAGCCTCATGGATTCAGTCACCACTCCTGCGCAATCCAGCCTGGCTGAGACAATCACTAGTGACCAGGTCACTACAGAAGGGAGAGGAACGACGGTGACCTCTGTGGAGCGTGAACAAACATCCTCGGCTGCTCCTGGGACAAGCACAACTTCTGCCACCGCCTCTTCTCTTCCAACAAGCTCAGCTGCAGAGACCACGTCACCAGCTCTCACCAGCACTGCAAGCACCACCACGCCGTTGGAGACAAGCTCTACCGCTGCTGCTACTTCAACTTTAAACTCTGAGCCCAGTGCTGTGCCTACCGCCTTGAGAACAGAATTCTCCACCTCGAGTGCACAGGCAACATCGTCTACGGCTGCAGCCTCTTCCACTGGGGCCGACATGTCGCCATTGGAGACAACCTCCCCGGTCCCCTCGACAGCAGAACGAACCTCCAAAGCAAAGTCTTCCACCATCACAAGCATGCAATCCAGCCTGTCTGAGAGTTCCCCGAGTCAGCAGGTCACCACTGCAGCACCAGAGGCAACAACAGCGACCACCACGGTCCTTGCCCCAACGTCGACCTCTGCTCCTGGGACAAGTCCGTCTTCTGTGACCACTTCTGCTCTTCCATCGAGCTCTACTCTTGAGACAAGTAGCCCATCTCTCACCACTGCTCCACCCACCAGCAGCACCGTAGCTGAAACTGCCTCCTCAGCTCCTGATCTGGGCACATCCACCGTTGGCTCAACCACTGCGTCCAGGAGCACAAGGCCGGAAGGCAGCACGTCGACTGTACACACCACAGCTGAAGCGCAGTCGACGGCTTCCACGTCCTCAGACTATCCAGAGACCTCTCCACTTGCGACAACCTCCAGAATGCTGTCGACCACAGCAGAAATCTCCCGCCTCATGGCTACAGCCACCACTCCATTCCAATCCAGCCAGGCTGGAACAGATTCTCTTTCCCAGGTCACCACTGCAGCAACAGAGTTCACATCTGTGACCACCACGGTCCTCGCTGAAACGTCGACCTCTGCTCCTGGGTCAAGCGCAACTTCTGCCAGCCCTTCTTCTGCTCCTCTGAGCTCTACTCTGGAGAAAACTGCCCCATCTCTCACCACAGCTACACCCACCAGCAGCAGTACCGTTCCTGAGTCAACCTCCTCAGCTGCACGTCTGGGCACATCCACAGTTGGGTCCAGCAGTGTATCCAGCACCACAAGGCCACGAGGCACCACCACGGCTGCGCAGTCCACAACCCAGCCTGAGTCTATGGCGTCAGGCTCTTCAGCTCGGCCGGAGACGACTTCACCTGTGAAAACCTCCACAATCCAGTCGACCACAGCAGAAATCTCCAGCCTCATGGATTCAGTCACCACTCCTGCGCAATCCAGCCTGGCTGAGACAATCACTAGTGACCAGGTCACTACAGAAGGGAGAGGAACGACGGTGACCTCTGTGGAGCGTGAACAAACATCCTCGGCTGCTCCTGGGACAAGCACAACTTCTGCCACCGCCTCTTCTCTTCCAACAAGCTCAGCTGCAGAGACCACGTCACCAGCTCTCACCAGCACTGCAAGCACCACCACGCCGTTGGAGACAAGCTCTACCGCTGCTGCTACTTCAACTTTAAACTCTGAGCCCAGTGCTGTGCCTACCGCCTTGAGAACAGAATTCTCCACCTCGAGTGCACAGGCAACATCGTCTACGGCTGCAGCCTCTTCCACTGGGGCCGACACGTCGCCATTGGAGACAACCTCCCCGGTCCCCTCGACAGCAGAACGAACCTCCAAAGCAAAGTCTTCCACCATCACAAGCATGCAATCCAGCCTGTCTGAGAGTTCCCCGAGTCAGCAGGTCACCACTGCAGCACCAGAGGCAACAACAGCGACCACCACGGTCCTTGCCCCAACGTCGACCTCTGCTCCTGGGACAAGTCCGTCTTCTGTGACCACTTCTGCTCTTCCATCGAGCTCTACTCTTGAGACAAGTAGCCCATCTCTCACCACTGCTCCACCCACCAGCAGCACCGTAGCTGAAACTGCCTCCTCAGCTCCTGATCTGGGCACATCCACCGTTGGCTCAACCACTGCGTCCAGGAGCACAAGGCCGGAAGGCAGCACGTCGACTGTACACACCACAGCTGAAGCGCAGTCGACGGCTTCCGCGTCCTCAGACCATCCAGAGACCTCTCCACTTGCGACAACCTCCAGAATGCTGTCGACCACAGCAGAAATCTCCCACCTCATGGCTACAGCCACCACTCCATTCCAATCCAGCCAGGCTGGAACAGATTCTCTTTCCCAGGTCACCACTGCAGCAACAGAGTTCACATCTGTGACCACCACGGTCCTCGCTGAAACGTCGACCTCTGCTCCTGGGTCAAGCGCAACTTCTGCCAGCCCTTCTTCTGCTCCTCTGAGCTCTACTCTGGAGAAAACTGCCCCATCTCTCACCACAGCTACACCCACCAGCAGCAGTACCGTTCCTGAGTCAACCTCCTCAGCTGCACGTCTGGGCACATCCACAGTTGGGTCCAGCAGTGTATCCAGCACCACAAGGCCACGAGGCACCACCACGGCTGCGCAGTCCACAACCCAGCCTGAGTCTATGGCGTCAGGCTCTTCAGCTCGGCCGGAGACGACTTCACCTGTGAAAACCTCCACAATCCAGTCGACCACAGCAGAAATCTCCAGCCTCATGGATTCAGTCACCACTCCTGCGCAATCCAGCCTGGCTGAGACAATCACTAGTGACCAGGTCACTACAGAAGGGAGAGGAACGACGGTGACCTCTGTGGAGCGTGAACAAACATCCTCGGCTGCTCCTGGGACAAGCACAACTTCTGCCACCGCCTCTTCTCTTCCAACAAGCTCAGCTGCAGAGACCACGTCACCAGCTCTCACCAGCACTGCAAGCACCACCACGCCGTTGGAGACAAGCTCTACCGCTGCTGCTACTTCAACTTTAAACTCTGAGCCCAGTGCTGTGCCTACCGCCTTGAGAACAGAATTCTCCACCTCGAGTGCACAGGCAACATCGTCTACGGCTGCAGCCTCTTCCACTGGGGCCGACACGTCGCCATTGGAGACAACCTCCCCGGTCCCCTCGACAGCAGAACGAACCTCCAAAGCAAAGTCTTCCACCATCACAAGCATGCAATCCAGCCTGTCTGAGAGTTCCCCGAGTCAGCAGGTCACCACTGCAGCACCAGAGGCAACAACAGCGACCACCACGGTCCTTGCCCCAACGTCGACCTCTGCTCCTGGGACAAGTCCGTCTTCTGTGGCCACTTCTGCTCTTCCATCGAGCTCTACTCTTGAGACAAGTAGCCCATCTCTCACCACTGCTCCACCCACCAGCAGCACCGTAGCTGAAACTGCCTCCTCAGCTCCTGATCTGGGCACATCCACCGTTGGCTCAACCACTGCGTCCAGGAGCACAAGGCCGGAAGGCAGCACGTCGACTGTACACACCACAGCTGAAGCGCAGTCGACGGCTTCCGCGTCCTCAGACCATCCAGAGACCTCTCCACTTGCGACAACCTCCAGAATGCTGTCGACCACAGCAGAAATCTCCCGCCTCATGGCTACAGCCACCACTCCATTCCAATCCAGCCAGGCTGGAACAGATTCTCTTTCCCAGGTCACCACTGCAGCAACAGAGTTCACATCTGTGACCACCACGGTCCTCGCTGAAACGTCGACCTCTGCTCCTGGGTCAAGCGCAACTTCTGCCAGCCCTTCTTCTGCTCCTCTGAGCTCTACTCTGGAGAAAACTGCCCCATCTCTCACCACAGCTACACCCACCAGCAGCAGTACCGTTCCTGAGTCAACCTCCTCAGCTGCACGTCTGGGCACATCCACAGTTGGGTCCAGCAGTGTATCCAGCACCACAAGGCCACGAGGCACCACCACGGCTGCGCAGTCCACAACCCAGCCTGAGTCTATGGCGTCAGGCTCTTCAGCTCGGCCGGAGACGACTTCACCTGTGAAAACCTCCACAATCCAGTCGACCACAGCAGAAATCTCCAGCCTCATGGATTCAGTCACCACTCCTGCGCAATCCAGCCTGGCTGAGACAATCACTAGTGACCAGGTCACTACAGAAGGGAGAGGAACGACGGTGACCTCTGTGGAGCGTGAACAAACATCCTCGGCTGCTCCTGGGACAAGCACAACTTCTGCCACCGCCTCTTCTCTTCCAACAAGCTCAGCTGCAGAGACCACGTCACCAGCTCTCACCAGCACTGCAAGCACCACCACGCCGTTGGAGACAAGCTCTACCGCTGCTGCTACTTCAACTTTAAACTCTGAGCCCAGTGCTGTGCCTACCGCCTTGAGAACAGAATTCTCCACCTCGAGTGCACAGGCAACATCGTCTACGGCTGCAGCCTCTTCCACTGGGGCCGACACGTCGCCATTGGAGACAACCTCCCCGGTCCCCTCGACAGCAGAACGAACCTCCAAAGCAAAGTCTTCCACCATCACAAGCATGCAATCCAGCCTGTCTGAGAGTTCCCTGAGTCAGCAGGTCACCACTGCAGCACCAGAGGCAACAACAGCGACCTCCACGGTCCTTGCCCCAACGTCGACCTCTGCTCCTGGGACACGTCCGTCTTCTGTGGCCACTTCTGCTCTTCCATCGAGCTCTACTCTTGAGACAAGTAGCCCATCTCTCACCACTGCTCCACCCACCAGCAGCACCGTAGCTGAAACTGCCTCCTCAGCTCCTGATCTGGGCACATCCACCGTTGGCTCAACCACTGCGTCCAGGAGCACAAGGCCGGAAGGCAGCACGTCGACTGTACACACCACAGCTGAAGCGCAGTCGACGGCTTCCGCGTCCTCAGACCATCCAGAGACCTCTCCACTTGCGACAACCTCCAGAATGCTGTCGACCACAGCAGAAATCTCCCGCCTCATGGCTACAGCCACCACTCCATTCCAATCCAGCCAGGCTGGAACAGATTCTCTTTCCCAGGTCACCACTGCAGCAACAGAGTTCACATCTGTGACCACCACGGTCCTCGCTGAAACGTCGACCTCTGCTCCTGGGTCAAGCGCAACTTCTGCCAGCCCTTCTTCTGCTCCTCTGAGCTCTACTCTGGAGAAAACTGCCCCATCTCTCACCACAGCTACACCCACCAGCAGCAGTACCGTTCCTGAGTCAACCTCCTCAGCTGCACGTCTGGGCACATCCACAGTTGGGTCCAGCAGTGTATCCAGCACCACAAGGCCACGAGGCACCACCACGGCTGCGCAGTCCACAACCCAGCCTGAGTCTATGGCGTCAGGCTCTTCAGCTCGGCCGGAGACGACTTCACCTGTGAAAACCTCCACAATCCAGTCGACCACAGCAGAAATCTCCAGCCTCATGGATTCAGTCACCACTCCTGCGCAATCCAGCCTGGCTGAGACAATCACTAGTGACCAGGTCACTACAGATGGGAGAGGAACGACGGTGACCTCTGTGGAGCGTGAACAAACATCCTCGGCTGCTCCTGGGACAAGCACAACTTCTGCCACCGCCTCTTCTCTTCCAACAAGCTCAGCTGCAGAGACCACGTCACCAGCTCTCACCAGCACTGCAAGCACCACCACGCCGTTGGAGACAAGCTCTACCGCTGCTGCTACTTCAACTTTAAACTCTGAGCCCAGTGCTGTGCCTACCGCCTTGAGAACAGAATTCTCCACCTCGAGTGCACAGGCAACATCGTCTACGGCTGCAGCCTCTTCCACTGGGGCCGACACGTCGCCATTGGAGACAACCTCCCCGGTCCCCTCGACAGCAGAACGAACCTCCAAAGCAAAGTCTTCCACCATCACAAGCATGCAATCCAGCCTGTCTGAGAGTTCCCCGAGTCAGCAGGTCACCACTGCAGCACCAGAGGCAACAACAGCGACCACCACGGTCCTTGCCCCAACGTTGACCTCTGCTCCTGGGACAAGTCCGTCTTCTGTGACCACTTCTGCTCTTCCATCGAGCTCTACTCTTGAGACAAGTAGCCCATCTCTCACCACTGCTCCACCCACCAGCAGCACCGTAGCTGAAACTGCCTCCTCAGCTCCTGATCTGGGCACATCCACCGTTGGCTCAACCACTGCGTCCAGGAGCACAAGGCCGGAAGGCAGCACGTCGACTGTACACACCACAGCTGAAGCGCAGTCGACGGCTTTTGCGTCCTCAGACTATCCAGAGACCTCTCCACTTGCGACAACCTCCAGAATGCTGTCGACCACAGCAGAAATCTCCCGCCTCATGGCTACAGCCACCACTCCATTCCAATCCAGCCAGGCTGGAACAGATTCTCTTTCCCAGGTCACCACTGCAGCAACAGAGTTCACATCTGTGACCACCACGGTCCTCGCTGAAACGTCGACCTCTGCTCCTGGGTCAAGCGCAACTTCTGCCAGCCCTTCTTCTGCTCCTCTGAGCTCTACTCTGGAGAAAACTGCCCCATCTCTCACCACAGCTACACCCACCAGCAGCAGTACCGTTCCTGAGTCAACCTCCTCAGCTGCACGTCTGGGCACATCCACAGTTGGGTCCAGCAGTGTATCCAGCACCACAAGGCCACGAGGCACCACCACGGCTGCGCAGTCCACAACCCAGCCTGAGTCTATGGCGTCAGGCTCTTCAGCTCGGCCGGAGACGACTTCACCTGTGAAAACCTCCACAATCCAGTCGACCACAGCAGAAATCTCCAGCCTCATGGATTCAGTCACCACTCCTGCGCAATCCAGCCTGGCTGAGACAATCACTAGTGACCAGGTCACTACAGAAGGGAGAGGAACGACGGTGACCTCTGTGGAGCGTGAACAAACATCCTCGGCTGCTCCTGGGACAAGCACAACTTCTGCCACCGCCTCTTCTCTTCCAACAAGCTCAGCTGCAGAGACCACGTCACCAGCTCTCACCAGCACTGCAAGCACCACCACGCCGTTGGAGACAAGCTCTACCGCTGCTGCTACTTCAACTTTAAACTCTGAGCCCAGTGCTGTGCCTACCGCCTTGAGAACAGAATTCTCCACCTCGAGTGCACAGGCAACATCGTCTACGGCTGCAGCCTCTTCCACTGGGGCCGACACGTCGCCATTGGAGACAACCTCCCCGGTCCCCTCGACAGCAGAACGAACCTCCAAAGCAAAGTCTTCCACCATCACAAGCATGCAATCCAGCCTGTCTGAGAGTTCCCCGAGTCAGCAGGTCACCACTGCAGCACCAGAGGCAACAACAGCGACCACCACGGTCCTTGCCCCAACGTCGACCTCTGCTCCTGGGACAAGTCCGTCTTCTGTGACCACTTCTGCTCTTCCATCGAGCTCTACTCTTGAGACAAGTAGCCCATCTCTCACCACTGCTCCACCCACCAGCAGCACCGTAGCTGAAACTGCCTCCTCAGCTCCTGATCTGGGCACATCCACCGTTGGCTCAACCACTGCGTCCAGGAGCACAAGGCCGGAAGGCAGCACGTCGACTGTACACACCACAGCTGAAGCGCAGTCGACGGCTTCCGCGTCCTCAGACCATCCAGAGACCTCTCCACTTGCGACAACCTCCAGAATGCTGTCGACCACAGCAGAAATCTCCCGCCTCATGGCTACAGCCACCACTCCATTCCAATCCAGCCAGGCTGGAACAGATTCTCTTTCCCAGGTCACCACTGCAGCAACAGAGTTCACATCTGTGACCACCACGGTCCTCGCTGAAACGTCGACCTCTGCTCCTGGGTCAAGCGCAACTTCTGCCAGCCCTTCTTCTGCTCCTCTGAGCTCTACTCTGGAGAAAACTGCCCCATCTCTCACCACAGCTACACCCACCAGCAGCAGTACCGTTCCTGAGTCAACCTCCTCAGCTGCACGTCTGGGCACATCCACAGTTGGGTCCAGCAGTGTATCCAGCACCACAAGGCCACGAGGCACCACCACGGCTGCGCAGTCCACAACCCAGCCTGAGTCTATGGCGTCAGGCTCTTCAGCTCGGCCGGAGACGACTTCACCTGTGAAAACCTCCACAATCCAGTCGACCACAGCAGAAATCTCCAGCCTCATGGATTCAGTCACCACTCCTGCGCAATCCAGCCTGGCTGAGACAATCACTAGTGACCAGGTCACTACAGAAGGGAGAGGAACGACGGTGACCTCTGTGGAGCGTGAACAAACATCCTCGGCTGCTCCTGGGACAAGCACAACTTCTGCCACCGCCTCTTCTCTTCCAACAAGCTCAGCTGCAGAGACCACGTCACCAGCTCTCACCAGCACTGCAAGCACCACCACGCCGTTGGAGACAAGCTCTACCGCTGCTGCTACTTCAACTTTAAACTCTGAGCCCAGTGCTGTGCCTACCGCCTTGAGAACAGAATTCTCCACCTCGAGTGCACAGGCAACATCGTCTACGGCTGCAGCCTCTTCCACTGGGGCCGACACGTCGCCATTGGAGACAACCTCCCCGGTCCCCTCGACAGCAGAACGAACCTCCAAAGCAAAGTCTTCCACCATCACAAGCATGCAATCCAGCCTGTCTGAGAGTTCCCCGAGTCAGCAGGTCACCACTGCAGCACCAGAGGCAACAACAGCGACCACCACGGTCCTTGCCCCAACGTCGACCTCTGCTCCTGGGACAAGTCCGTCTTCTGTGACCACTTCTGCTCTTCCATCGAGCTCTACTCTTGAGACAAGTAGCCCATCTCTCACCACTGCTCCACCCACCAGCAGCACCGTAGCTGAAACTGCCTCCTCAGCTCCTGATCTGGGCACATCCACCGTTGGCTCAACCACTGCGTCCAGGAGCACAAGGCCGGAAGGCAGCACGTCGACTGTACACACCACAGCTGAAGCGCAGTCGACGGCTTCCGCGTCCTCAGACTATCCAGAGACCTCTCCACTTGCGACAACCTCCAGAATGCTGTCGACCACAGCAGAAATCTCCCGCCTCATGGCTACAGCCACCGCTCCATTCCAATCCAGCCAGGCTGGAACAGATTCTCTTTCCCAGGTCACCACTGCAGCAACAGAGTTCACATCTGTGACCACCACGGTCCTCGCTGAAACGTCGACCTCTGCTCCTGGGTCAAGCGCAACTTCTGCCAGCCCTTCTTCTGCTCCTCTGAGCTCTACTCTGGAGAAAACTGCCCCATCTCTCACCACAGCTACACCCACCAGCAGCAGTACCGTTCCTGAGTCAACCTCCTCAGCTGCACGTCTGGGCACATCCACAGTTGGGTCCAGCAGTGTATCCAGCACCACAAGGCCACGAGGCACCACCACGGCTGCGCAGTCCACAACCCAGCCTGAGTCTATGGCGTCAGGCTCTTCAGCTCGGCCGGAGACGACTTCACCTGTGAAAACCTCCACAATCCAGTCGACCACAGCAGAAATCTCCAGCCTCATGGATTCAGTCACCACTCCTGCGCAATCCAGCCTGGCTGAGACAATCACTAGTGACCAGGTCACTACAGAAGGGAGAGGAACGACGGTGACCTCTGTGGAGCGTGAACAAACATCCTCGGCTGCTCCTGGGACAAGCACAACTTCTGCCACCGCCTCTTCTCTTCCAACAAGCTCAGCTGCAGAGACCACGTCACCAGCTCTCACCAGCACTGCAAGCACCACCACGCCGTTGGAGACAAGCTCTACCGCTGCTGCTACTTCAACTTTAAACTCTGAGCCCAGTGCTGTGCCTACCGCCTTGAGAACAGAATTCTCCACCTCGAGTGCACAGGCAACATCGTCTACGGCTGCAGCCTCTTCCACTGGGGCCGACACGTCGCCATTGGAGACAACCTCCCCGGTCCCCTCGACAGCAGAACGAACCTCCAAAGCAAAGTCTTCCACCATCACAAGCATGCAATCCAGCCTGTCTGAGAGTTCCCCGAGTCAGCAGGTCACCACTGCAGCACCAGAGGCAACAACAGCGACCACCACGGTCCTTGCCCCAACGTCGACCTCTGCTCCTGGGACAAGTCCGTCTTCTGTGACCACTTCTGCTCTTCCATCGAGCTCTACTCTTGAGACAAGTAGCCCATCTCTCACCACTGCTCCACCCACCAGCAGCACCGTAGCTGAAACTGCCTCCTCAGCTCCTGATCTGGGCACATCCACCGTTGGCTCAACCACTGCGTCCAGGAGCACAAGGCCGGAAGGCAGCACGTCGACTGTACACACCACAGCTGAAGCGCAGTCGACGGCTTCCGCGTCCTCAGACCATCCAGAGACCTCTCCACTTGCGACAACCTCCAGAATGCTGTCGACCACAGCAGAAATCTCCCGCCTCATGGCTACAGCCACCACTCCATTCCAATCCAGCCAGGCTGGAACAGATTCTCTTTCCCAGGTCACCACTGCAGCAACAGAGTTCACATCTGTGACCACCACGGTCCTCGCTGAAACGTTGACCTCTGCTCCTGGGTCAAGCGCAACTTCTGCCAGCCCTTCTTCTGCTCCTCTGAGCTCTACTCTGGAGAAAACTGCCCCATCTCTCACCACAGCTACACCCACCAGCAGCAGTACCGTTCCTGAGTCAACCTCCTCAGCTGCACGTCTGGGCACATCCACAGTTGGGTCCAGCAGTGTATCCAGCACCACAAGGCCACGAGGCACCACCACGGCTGCGCAGTCCACAACCCAGCCTGAGTCTATGGCGTCAGGCTCTTCAGCTCGGCCGGAGACGACTTCACCTGTGAAAACCTCCACAATCCAGTCGACCACAGCAGAAATCTCCAGCCTCATGGATTCAGTCACCACTCCTGCGCAATCCAGCCTGGCTGAGACAATCACTAGTGACCAGGTCACTACAGAAGGGACAGGAACGACGGTGACCTCTGTGGAGCGTGAACAAACATCCTTGGCTGCTCCTGGGACAAGCACAACTTCTGCCACCGCCTCTTCTCTTCCAACAAGCTCAGCTGCAGAGACCACGTCACCAGCTCTCACCAGCACTGCAAGCACCACCACGCCGTTGGAGACAAGCTCTACCGCTGCTGCTACTTCAACTTTAAACTCTGAGCCCAGTGCTGTGCCTACCGCCTTGAGAACAGAATTCTCCACCTCGAGTGCACAGGCAACATCGTCTACGGCTGCAGCCTCTTCCACTGGGGCCGACACGTCGCCATTGGAGACAACCTCCCCGGTCCCCTCGACAGCAGAACGAACCTCCAAAGCAAAGTCTTCCACCATCACAAGCATGCAATCCAGCCTGTCTGAGAGTTCCCCGAGTCAGCAGGTCACCACTGCAGCACCAGAGGCAACAACAGCGACCACCACAGTCCTTGCCCCAACGTCGACCTCTGCTCCTGGGACAAGTCCGTCTTCTGTGACCACTTCTGCTCTTCCATCGAGCTCTACTCTTGAGACAAGTAGCCCATCTCTCACCACTGCTCCACCCACCAGCAGCACCGTAGCTGAAACTGCCTCCTCAGCTCCTGATCTGGGCACATCCACCGTTGGCTCAACCACTGCGTCCAGGAGCACAAGGCCGGAAGGCAGCACGTCGACTGTACACACCACAGCTGAAGCGCAGTCGACGGCTTCCGCGTCCTCAGACCATCCAGAGACCTCTCCACTTGCGACAACCTCCAGAATGCTGTCGACCACAGCAGAAATCTCCCGCCTCATGGCTACAGCCACCACTCCATTCCAATCCAGCCAGGCTGGAACAGATTCTCTTTCCCAGGTCACCACTGCAGCAACAGAGTTCACATCTGTGACCACCACGGTCCTCGCTGAAACGTCGACCTCTGCTCCTGGGTCAAGCGCAACTTCTGCCAGCCCTTCTTCTGCTCCTCTGAGCTCTACTCTGGAGACAACTGCCCCATCTCTCACCACAGCTACACCCACCAGCAGCAGTACCGTTCCTGAGTCAACCTCCTCAGCTGCACGTCTGGGCACATCCACAGTTGAGTCCAGCAGTGTATCCAGCACCACAAGGCCACGAAGCACCACCACGGCTGCGCAGTCCACAACCCAGCCTGAGTCTATGGCGTCAGGCTCTTCAGCTCGGCCGGAGACGACTTCACCTGTGAAAACCTCCACAATCCAGTCGACCACAGCAGAAATCTCCAGCCTCATGGATTCAGTCACCACTCCTGCGCAATCCAGCCTGGCTGAGACAATCACTAGTGACCAGGTCACTACAGAAGGGACAGGAACGACGGTGACCTCTGTGGAGCGTGAACAAACATCCTCGGCTGCTCCTGGGACAAGCACAACTTCTGCCACCGCCTCTTCTCTTCCAACAAGCTCAGCTGCAGAGACCACGTCACCAGCTCTCACCAGCACTGCAAGCACCACCACGCCGTTGGAGACAAGCTCTACCGCTGCTGCTACTTCAACTTTAAACTCTGAGCGCAGTGCTGTGCCTACCGCCTTGAGAACAGAATTCTCCACCTCGAGTGCACAGGCAACATCGTCTACGGCTGCAGCCTCTTCCACTGGGGCCGACACGTCGCCATTGGAGACAACCTCCCCGGTCCCCTCGACAGCAGAACGAACCTCCAAAGCAAAGTCTTCCACCATCACAAGCATGCAATCCAGCCTGTCTGAGAGTTCCCCGAGTCAGCAGGTCACCACTGCAGCACCAGAGGCAACAACAGCGACCACCACGGTCCTTGCCCCAACGTCGACCTCTGCTCCTGGGACAAGTCCGTCTTCTGTGACCACTTCTGCTCTTCCATCGAGCTCTACTCTTGAGACAAGTAGCCCATCTCTCACCACTGCTCCACCCACCAGCAGCACCGTAGCTGAAACTGCCTCCTCAGCTCCTGATCTGGGCACATCCACCGTTGGCTCAACCACTGCGTCCAGGAGCACAAGGCCGGAAGGCAGCACGTCGACTGTACACACCACAGCTGAAGCGCAGTCGACGGCTTCCGCGTCCTCAGACCATCCAGAGACCTCTCCACTTGCGACAACCTCCAGAATGCTGTCGACCACAGCAGAAATCTCCCGCCTCATGGCTACAGCCACCACTCCATTCCAATCCAGCCAGGCTGGAACAGATTCTCTTTCCCAGGTCACCACTGCAGCAACAGAGTTCACATCTGTGACCACCACGGTCCTCGCTGAAACGTTGACCTCTGCTCCTGGGTCAAGCGCAACTTCTGCCAGCCCTTCTTCTGCTCCTCTGAGCTCTACTCTGGAGAAAACTGCCCCATCTCTCACCACAGCTACACCCACCAGCAGCAGTACCGTTCCTGAGTCAACCTCCTCAGCTGCACGTCTGGGCACATCCACAGTTGGGTCCAGCAGTGTATCCAGCACCACAAGGCCACGAGGCACCACCACGGCTGCGCAGTCCACAACCCAGCCTGAGTCTATGGCGTCAGGCTCTTCAGCTCGGCCGGAGACGACTTCACCTGTGAAAACCTCCACAATCCAGTCGACCACAGCAGAAATCTCCAGCCTCATGGATTCAGTCACCACTCCTGCGCAATCCAGCCTGGCTGAGACAATCACTAGTGACCAGGTCACTACAGAAGGGACAGGAACGACGGTGACCTCTGTGGAGCGTGAACAAACATCCTCGGCTGCTCCTGGGACAAGCACAACTTCTGCCACCGCCTCTTCTCTTCCAACAAGCTCAGCTGCAGAGACCACGTCACCAGCTCTCACCAGCACTGCAAGCACCACCACGCCGTTGGAGACAAGCTCTACCGCTGCTGCTACTTCAACTTTAAACTCTGAGCCCAGTGCTGTGCCTACCGCCTTGAGAACAGAATTCTCCACCTCGAGTGCACAGGCAACATCGTCTACGGCTGCAGCCTCTTCCACTGGGGCCGACACGTCGCCATTGGAGACAACCTCCCCGGTCCCCTCGACAGCAGAACGAACCTCCAAAGCAAAGTCTTCCACCATCACAAGCATGCAATCCAGCCTGTCTGAGAGTTCCCCGAGTCAGCAGGTCACCACTGCAGCACCAGAGGCAACAACAGCGACCACCACAGTCCTTGCCCCAACGTCGACCTCTGCTCCTGGGACAAGTCCGTCTTCTGTGACCACTTCTGCTCTTCCATCGAGCTCTACTCTTGAGACAAGTAGCCCATCTCTCACCACTGCTCCACCCACCAGCAGCACCGTAGCTGAAACTGCCTCCTCAGCTCCTGATCTGGGCACATCCACCGTTGGCTCAACCACTGCGTCCAGGAGCACAAGGCCGGAAGGCAGCACGTCGACTGTACACACCACAGCTGAAGCGCAGTCGACGGCTTCCGCGTCCTCAGACCATCCAGAGACCTCTCCACTTGCGACAACCTCCAGAATGCTGTCGACCACAGCAGAAATCTCCCGCCTCATGGCTACAGCCACCACTCCATTCCAATCCAGCCAGGCTGGAACAGATTCTCTTTCCCAGGTCACCACTGCAGCAACAGAGTTCACATCTGTGACCACCACGGTCCTCGCTGAAACGTCGACCTCTGCTCCTGGGTCAAGCGCAACTTCTGCCAGCCCTTCTTCTGCTCCTCTGAGCTCTACTCTGGAGACAACTGCCCCATCTCTCACCACAGCTACACCCACCAGCAGCAGTACCGTTCCTGAGTCAACCTCCTCAGCTGCACGTCTAGGCACATCCACAGTTGGGTCCAGCAGTGTATCCAGCACCACAAGGCCACGAAGCACCACCACGGCTGCGCAGTCCACAACCCAGCCTGAGTCTATGGCGTCAGGCTCTTCAGCTCGGCCGGAGACGACTTCACCTGTGAAAACCTCCACAATCCAGTCGACCACAGCAGAAATCTCCAGCCTCATGGATTCAGTCACCACTCCTGCGCAATCCAGCCTGGCTGAGACAATCACTAGTGACCAGGTCACTACAGAAGGGAGAGGAACGACGGTGACCTCTGTGGAGCGTGAACAAACATCCTCGGCTGCTCCTGGGACAAGCACAACTTCTGCCACCGCCTCTTCTCTTCCAACAAGCTCAGCTGCAGAGACCACGTCACCAGCTCTCACCAGCACTGCAAGCACCACCACGCCGTTGGAGACAAGCTCTACCGCTGCTGCTACTTCAACTTTAAACTCTGAGCGCAGTGCTGTGCCTACCGCCTTGAGAACAGAATTCTCCACCTCGAGTGCACAGGCAACATCGTCTACGGCTGCAGCCTCTTCCACTGGGGCCGACACGTCGCCATTGGAGACAACCTCCCCGGTCCCCTCGACAGCAGAACGAACCTCCAAAGCAAAGTCTTCCACCATCACAAGCATGCAATCCAGCCTGTCTGAGAGTTCCCCGAGTCAGCAGGTCACCACTGCAGCACCAGAGGCAACAACAGCGACCACCACGGTCCTTGCCCCAACGTCGACCTCTGCTCCTGGGACAAGTCCGTCTTCTGTGACCACTTCTGCTCTTCCATCGAGCTCTACTCTTGAGACAAGTAGCCCATCTCTCACCACTGCTCCACCCACCAGCAGCACCGTAGCTGAAACTGCCTCCTCAGCTCCTGATCTGGGCACATCCACCGTTGGCTCAACCACTGCGTCCAGGAGCACAAGGCCGGAAGGCAGCACGTCGACTGTACACACCACAGCTGAAGCGCAGTCGACGGCTTCCGCGTCCTCAGACCATCCAGAGACCTCTCCACTTGCGACAACCTCCAGAATGCTGTCGACCACAGCAGAAATCTCCCGCCTCATGGCTACAGCCACCACTCCATTCCAATCCAGCCAGGCTGGAACAGATTCTCTTTCCCAGGTCACCACTGCAGCAACAGAGTTCACATCTGTGACCACCACGGTCCTCGCTGAAACGTCGACCTCTGCTCCTGGGTCAAGCGCAACTTCTGCCAGCCCTTCTTCTGCTCCTCTGAGCTCTACTCTGGAGACAACTGCCCCATCTCTCACCACAGCTACACCCACCAGCAGCAGTACCGTTCCTGAGTCAACCTCCTCAGCTGCACGTCTGGGCACATCCACAGTTGGGTCCAGCAGTGTATCCAGCACCACAAGGCCACGAGGCACCACCACGGCTGCGCAGTCCACAACCCAGCCTGAGTCTATGGCGTCAGGCTCTTCAGCTCGGCCGGAGACGACTTCACCTGTGAAAACCTCCACAATCCAGTCGACCACAGCAGAAATCTCCAGCCTCATGGATTCAGTCACCACTCCTGCGCAATCCAGCCTGGCTGAGACAATCACTAGTGACCAGGTCACTACAGAAGGGAGAGGAACGACGGTGACCTCTGTGGAGCGTGAACAAACATCCTCGGCTGCTCCTGGGACAAGCACAACTTCTGCCACCGCCTCTTCTCTTCCAACAAGCTCAGCTGCAGAGACCACTTCACCAGCTCTCACCAGCACTGCAAGCACCACCACGCCGTTGGAGACAAGCTCTACCGCTGCTGCTACTTCAACTTTAAACTCTGAGCCCAGTGCTGTGCCTACCGCCTTGAGAACAGAATTCTCCACCTCGAGTGCACAGGCAACATCGTCTACGGCTGCAGCCTCTTCCACTGGGGCCAACACGTCGCCATTGGAGACAACCTCCCCGGTCCCCTCGACAGCAGAACGAACCTCCAAAGCAAAGTCTTCCACCATCACAAGCATGCAATCCAGCCTGTCTGAGAGTTCCCCGAGTCAGCAGGTCACCACTGCAGCACCAGAGGCAACAACAGCGACCACCACGGTCCTTGCCCCAACGTCGACCTCTGCTCCTGGGACAAGTCCGTCTTCTGTGACCACTTCTGCTCTTCCATCGAGCTCTACTCTTGAGACAAGTAGCCCATCTCTCACCACTGCTCCACCCACCAGCAGCACCGTAGCTGAAACTGCCTCCTCAGCTCCTGATCTGGGCACATCCACCGTTGGCTCAACCACTGCGTCCAGGAGCACAAGGCCGGAAGGCAGCACGTCGACTGTACACACCACAGCTGAAGCGCAGTCGACGGCTTCCGCGTCCTCAGACCATCCAGAGACCTCTCCACTTGCGACAACCTCCAGAATGCTGTCGACCACAGCAGAAATCTCCCGCCTCATGGCTACAGCCACCACTCCATTCCAATCCAGCCAGGCTGGAACAGATTCTCTTTCCCAGGTCACCACTGCAGCAACAGAGTTCACATCTGTGACCACCACGGTCCTCGCTGAAACGTCGACCTCTGCTCCTGGGTCAAGCGCAACTTCTGCCAGCCCTTCTTCTGCTCCTCTGAGCTCTACTCTGGAGACAACTGCCCCATCTCTCACCACAGCTACACCCACCAGCAGCAGTACCGTTCCTGAGTCAACCTCCTCAGCTGCACGTCTGGGCACATCCACAGTTGGGTCCAGCAGTGTATCCAGCACCACAAGGCCACGAGGCACCACCACGGCTGCGCAGTCCACAACCCAGCCTGAGTCTATGGCGTCAGGCTCTTCAGCTCGGCCGGAGACGACTTCACCTGTGAAAACCTCCACAATCCAGTCGACCACAGCAGAAATCTCCAGCCTCATGGATTCAGTCACCACTCCTGCGCAATCCAGCCTGGCTGAGACAATCACTAGTGACCAGGTCACTACAGAAGGGAGAGGAACGACGGTGACCTCTGTGGAGCGTGAACAAACATCCTCGGCTGCTCCTGGGACAAGCACAACTTCTGCCACCGCCTCTTCTCTTCCAACAAGCTCAGCTGCAGAGACCACTTCACCAGCTCTCACCAGCACTGCAAGCACCACCACGCCGTTGGAGACAAGCTCTACCGCTGCTGCTACTTCAACTTTAAACTCTGAGCCCAGTGCTGTGCCTACCGCCTTGAGAACAGAATTCTCCACCTCGAGTGCACAGGCAACATCGTCTACGGCTGCAGCCTCTTCCACTGGGGCCAACACGTCGCCATTGGAGACAACCTCCCCGGTCCCCTCGACAGCAGAACGAACCTCCAAAGCAAAGTCTTCCACCATCACAAGCATGCAATCCAGCCTGTCTGAGAGTTCCCCGAGTCAGCAGGTCACCACTGCAGCACCAGAGGCAACAACAGCGACCACCACGGTCCTTGCCCCAACGTCGACCTCTGCTCCTGGGACAAGTCCGTCTTCTGTGACCACTTCTGCTCTTCCATCGAGCTCTACTCTTGAGACAAGTAGCCCATCTCTCACCACTGCTCCACCCACCAGCAGCACCGTAGCTGAAACTGCCTCCTCAGCTCCTGATCTGGGCACATCCACCGTTGGCTCAACCACTGCGTCCAGGAGCACAAGGCCGGAAGGCAGCACGTCGACTGTACACACCACAGCTGAAGCGCAGTCGACGGCTTCCGCGTCCTCAGACCATCCAGAGACCTCTCCACTTGCGACAACCTCCAGAATGCTGTTGACCACAGCAGAAATCTCCCGCCTCATGGCTACAGCCACCACTCCATTCCAATCCAGCCAGGCTGGAACAGATTCTCTTTCCCAGGTCACCACTGCAGCAACAGAGTTCACATCTGTGACCACCACGGTCCTCGCTGAAACGTCGACCTCTGCTCCTGGGTCAAGCGCAACTTCTGCCAGCCCTTCTTCTGCTCCTCTGAGCTCTACTCTGGAGAAAACTGCCCCATCTCTCACCACAGCTACACCCACCAGCAGCAGTACCGTTCCTGAGTCAACCTCCTCAGCTGCACGTCTGGGCACATCCACAGTTGGGTCCAGCAGTGTATCCAGCACCACAAGGCCACGAGGCACCACCACGGCTGCGCAGTCCACAACCCAGCCTGAGTCTATGGCGTCAGGCTCTTCAGCTCGGCCGGAGACGACTTCACCTGTGAAAACCTCCACAATCCAGTCGACCACAGCAGAAATCTCCAGCCTCATGGATTCAGTCACCACTCCTGCGCAATCCAGCCTGGCTGAGACAATCACTAGTGACCAGGTCACTACAGAAGGGAGAGGAATGACGGTGACCTCTGTGGAGCGTGAACAAACATCCTCGGCTGCTCCTGGGACAAGCACAACTTTTGTGACCACTTCTGCTGTTCCACTGACCTCTACCCCAGAGATCACTTCCCCAGCTTTCTCCACAACTACACCCAGAAGCAGTAGTGCTCTTGAGACAACCTCCACAGCTGCTGGTCTGGCCACATCACGTGTTCAGCCCACCACAGCATCCACCACCACAAGGCTGGTAGGCACCACTTCCGCTGTGCAGTCCTCATCTGAGTCTACGGCTTCAGTCTCTTCATCTCGGCTGGAAACGTCTCCACTTGTCACAACCTCCACAATCCTGTCAACGACAGCAGAAATCTCCAGCCTGAAGACTACTGCCTCCTCTCCAGTCCAATCGAGCCCTACTGTGACATCCACTCCTGAGCAGGTCACCTCTGAAGGGGCAGAAACAACGACGACCCCTGTGGCGCGTACACAAATGTCCTCTGGTGCCCCTGGCACAAGCCCAACTTCTGCCACTGCTTCTTCTCTTCCAACGAGCTCTGCTCCAGAGACCACTTCACCAGCTCTCACCACCACTACAAGTACCACCACGCCGTTGGAGACAACCTCATCTGCTGCTGCTACGTCAACTTTAACCACTGAGTCCAGCACTGGGCCCACCTCCTTGACAACAGAGATCTCCACCTCGAGTGCACAGGCCACATCGCCTCCCGAGTCCACCGCTGCAGCCTCTTCCACTAGAGCTGAAACATCTACATTGGAGACAACCTCCACAGTCCTGTCAACTGTGGAACAAACCTCCAAAGCAAAGACTTCTGCCACCACAACCATGCAATCCAGCCTGTCTGAGAGTTCCCCGAGTCAGCAGGTCACCACTGCAGCACAAGAGGCAACAACAGGAACCACCACGGTCCTTGCCCAAACATCAACGTCTGCTCCTGGGACAAGCCCAACTTCTGTGACCACTTCTGCTGCTCCACTGAGCTCTACCCCGGAGATCACTTCCCCAGCTTTCTCCACAAGTACACCCACCAGCAGTAGTGTTCTTGAGAAAACCTCCACAGCGGCTGGTCTGGCCACATCAATCATTGAGTCCACAACTGTGTCCAGCACCAGAAGTCCAGAAGCCACCACCTTCGTTGTGCAGTCCACATCTGAGTCCACATCTTCAGTCTCTTCAGCTCAGACCGAGACCTCTCCACATGTGCCAACCTCCACAATCATGTCCACCATAGTAGAAAGCTCCAGCCTCAAGACTTCAGCCACCACTCCAATCCCATCCAGCGCTGCTGGAACGTCACCTGCTGGCCATGTAGTCATGCCAGTGACAAAGATAGGAGGTGCTACCACCACTGGCTTGGCACAAACGATGTCCTCTGCTCCTGGGACAAGACCAACTTCTGCCACCACTTCTGCTCTTCCTCTGAGCTCTACTCTGGAAATCACATCTCCAGCTTTCACCACAACTTCACCCAGAAGCAGTAGTGCTCTTGAGACAACCTCCACAGCTGCTGGCCTGGCCACATCACGTGTTCAGCCCACCACAGCATCCACCACCACAAGGCTGGTAGGCACCACTTCCGCTGTGCAGTCCTCATCTGAGTCTACGGCTTCAGTCTCTTCATCTCGGCTGGAAACGTCTCCACTTGTGACAACCTCCACAATCCTGTCAACGACAGCAGAAATCTCCAGCCTGAAGACTACTGCCTCCTCTCCAGTCCAATCGAGCCCTACTGTGACATCCACTCCTGAGCAGGTCACCTCTGAAGGGGCAGAAACAACAACGACCTCTGTGGCGCGTACACAAATGTCCTCTGGTGCCCCTGGCACAAGCCCAACTTCTGCCACTGCTTCTTCTCTTCCGATGAGCTCTGCTCCAGAGACCACTTCACCAGCTCTCACCACCACTACAAGTACCACCACGCCGTTGGAGACAACCTCAACTGCTGCTGCTACGTCAACTTTAACCACTGAGTCCAGCACTGTGCCCACCGCCTTGACAACAGAGATCTCCACCTCGAGTGCACAGGCCACATCGCCTCCCGAGTCCACGGCTGCAGCCTCTTCCACTAGAGCTGAAACATCTACATTGGAGACAACCTCCACAGTCCTGTCAACCGTGGAACAAACCTCCAAAGCAAAGACTTCTGCCACCACAACCATGCAATCCAGCCTGTCTGAGAGTTCCCCGAGTCAGCAGGTCACCACTGCAGCACCAGAGACAACAACGGCGACCACCACGGTCCTTGCCCAAACGTCGACGTCTTCTCCTGGGAAAAGCCCAACTTCTATGACCACTTCTGCTGCTCCACTGAGCTCTACCCCAGAGATCACTTCCCCAGCTTTCTCCACAAGTACACCCACCAGCAGTAGTGTTCTTGAGAAAACCTCCACAGCTGCTGGTCTGGCCACATCAATCATTGAGTCCACAACTGTGTCCAGCACCAGAAGTCCAGAAGCCACCACCTTCGTTGTGCAGTCCACATCTGAGTCCACATCTTCAGTCTCTTCAGCTCAGACCGAGACCTCTCCACATGTGCCAACCTCCACAATCATGTCCACCATAGTAGAAAGCTCCAGCCTCAAGACTTCAGCCACCACTCCAATCCCATCCAGCGCTGCTGGAACGTCACCTGCTGGCCATGTAGTCATGCCAGTGACAAAGATAGGAGGTGCTACCACCACTGGCTTGGCACAAACGATGTCCTCTGCTCCTGGGACAAGACCAACTTCTGCCACCACTTCTGCTCTTCCTCTGAGCTCTACTCTGGAAATCACATCTCCAGCTTTCACCACAACTTCACCCAGAAGCAGTAGTGCTCTTGAGACAACCTCCACAGCTGCTGGTCTGGCCACATCACGTGTTCAGCCCACCACAGCATCCACCACCACAAGGCTGGTAGGCACCACTTCCGCTGTGCAGTCCTCATCTGAGTCTACGGCTTCAGTCTCTTCATCTCGGCTGGAAACGTCTCCACTTGTGACAACCTCCACAATCCTGTCAACGACAGCAGAAATCTCCAGCCTGAAGACTACTGCCTCCTCTCCAGTCCAATCGAGCCCTACTGTGACATCCACTCCTGAGCAGGTCACCTCTGAAGGGGCAGAAACAACGACGACCCCTGTGGCGCGTACACAAATGTCCTCTGGTGCCCCTGGCACAAGCCCAACTTCTGCCACTGCTTCTTCTCTTCCAACGAGCTCTGCTCCAGAGACCACTTCACCAGCTCTCACCACCACTACAAGTACCACCACGCCGTTGGAGACAACTTCAACTGCTGCTTCTACGTCAACTTTAACCACTGAGTCCAGCACTGTGCCCACCGCCTTGACAACAGAGATCTCCACCTCGAGTGCACAGGCCACATCGCCTCCCGAGTCCACGGCTGCAGCTTCTTCCACTAGAGCTGAAACATCTACATTGGAGACAACCTCCACAGTCCTGTCAACCGTGGAACAAACCTCCAAAGCAAAGACTTCTGCCACCACAACCATGCAATCCAGCCTGTCTGAGAGTTCCCCGAGTCAGCAGGTCACCACTGCAGCACCAGAGACAACAACAGGGACCACCACGGTCCTTGCCCAAACGTCAACGTCTGGTCCTGGGTCAAGCTCAACTTCTGTGACCACTTCTGCTGCTCCACTGAGCTCTACCCCAGAGATCACTTCCCCAGCTTTCTCCACAAGTACACCCACCAGCAGTAGTGTTCTTGAGAAAACCTCCACAGCTGCTGGTCTGGCCACATCAATCATTGAGTCCACAACTGTGTCCAGCACCAGAAGTCCAGAAGCCACCACCTTCGTTGTGCAGTCCACATCTGAGTCCACATCTTCAGTCTCTTCAGCTCAGACCGAGACCTCTCCACATGTGCCAACCTCCACAATCATGTCCACCATAGTAGAAAGCTCCAGCCTCAAGACTTCAGCCACCACTCCAATCCCATCCAGCGCTGCTGGAACGTCACCTGCTGGCCATGTAGTCATGCCAGTGACAAAGATAGGAGGTGCTACCACCACTGGCTTGGCACAAACGATGTCCTCTGCTCCTGGGACAAGACCAACTTCTGCCACCACTTCTGCTCTTCCTCTGAGCTCTACTCTGGAAATCACATCTCCAGCTTTCACCACAACTTCACCCAGAAGCAGTAGTGCTCTTGAGACAACCTCCACAGCTGCTGGTCTGGCCACATCACGTGTTCAGCCCACCACAGCATCCACCACCACAAGGCTGGTAGGCACCACTTCCGCTGTGCAGTCCTCATCTGAGTCTACGGCTTCAGTCTCTTCATCTCGGCTGGAAACGTCTCCACTTGTGACAACCTCCACAATCCTGTCAACGACAGCAGAAATCTCCAGCCTGAAGACTACTGCCTCCTCTCCAGTCCAATCGAGCCCTACTGTGACATCCACTCCTGAGCAGGTCACCTCTGAAGGGGCAGAAACAACGACGACCCCTGTGGCGCGTACACAAATGTCCTCTGGTGCCCCTGGCACAAGCCCAACTTCTGCCACTGCTTCTTCTCTTCCAACGAGCTCTGCTCCAGAGACCACTTCACCAGCTCTCACCACCACTACAAGTACCACCACGCCGTTGGAGACAACCTCATCTGCTGCTGCTACATCAACTTTAACCACTGAGTCCAGCACTGTGCCCACCTCCTTGATAACAGAGATCTCCACCTCGAGTGCACAGGCCACATCGCCTCCCGAGTCCACGGCTGCAGCTTCTTCCACTAGAGCTGAAACATCTACATTGGAGACAACCTCCACAGTCCTGTCAACCGTGGAACAAACCTCCAAAGCAAAGACTTCTGCCACCACAACCATGCAATCCAGCCTGTCTGAGAGTTCCCCGAGTCAGCAGGTCACCACTGCAGCACCAGAGACAACAACAGGGACCACCACGGTCCTTGCCCAAACGTCAACGTCTGGTCCTGGGTCAAGCTCAACTTCTGTGACCACTTCTGCTGCTCCACTGAGCTCTACCCCAGAGATCACTTCCCCAGCTTTCTCCACAAGTACACCCACCAGCAGTAGTGTTCTTGAGAAAACCTCCACAGCTGCTGGTCTGGCCACATCAATCATTGAGTCCACAACTGTGTCCAGCACCAGAAGTCCAGAAGCCACCACCTTCGTTGTGCAGTCCACATCTGAGTCCACATCTTCAGTCTCTTCAGCTCAGACCGAGACCTCTCCACATGTGCCAACCTCCACAATCATGTCCACCATAGTAGAAAGCTCCAGCCTCAAGACTTCAGCCACCACTCCAATCCCATCCAGCGCTGCTGGAACGTCACCTGCTGGCCATGTAGTCATGCCAGTGACAAAGATAGGAGGTGCTACCACCACTGGCTTGGCACAAACGATGTCCTCTGCTCCTGGGACAAGACCAACTTCTGCCACCACTTCTGCTCTTCCTCTGAGCTCTACTCTGGAAATCACATCTCCAGCTTTCACCACAACTTCACCCAGAAGCAGTAGTGCTCTTGAGACAACCTCCACAGCTGCTGGTCTGGCCACATCACGTGTTCAGCCCACCACAGCATCCACCACCACAAGGCTGGTAGGCACCACTTCCGCTGTGCAGTCCTCATCTGAGTCTACGGCTTCAGTCTCTTCATCTCGGCTGGAAACGTCTCCACTTGTCACAACCTCCACGATCCTGTCAACGACAGCAGAAATCTCCAGCCTGAAGACTACTGCCTCCTCTCCAGTCCAATCGAGCCCTACTGTGACATCCACTCCTGAGCAGGTCACCTCTGAAGGGGCAGAAACAACGACGACCCCTGTGGCGCGTACACAAATGTCCTCTGGTGCCCCTGGCACAAGCCCAACTTCTGCCACTGCTTCTTCTCTTCCAACGAGCTCTGCTCCAGAGACCACTTCACCAGCTCTCACCACCACTACAAGTACCACCACGCCGTTGGAGACAACTTCAACTGCTGCTTCTACGTCAACTTTAACCACTGAGTCCAGCACTGTGCCCACCTCCTTGATAACAGAGATCTCCACCTCGAGTGCACAGGCCACATCGCCTCCCGAGTCCACGGCTGCAGCTTCTTCCACTAGAGCTGAAACATCTACATTGGAGACAACCTCCACAGTCCTGTCAACCGTGGAACAAACCTCCAAAGCAAAGACTTCTGCCACCACAACCATGCAATCCAGCCTGTCTGAGAGTTCCCCGAGTCAGCAGGTCACCACTGCAGCACCAGAGACAACAACAGGGACCACCACGGTCCTTGCCCAAACGTCAACGTCTGGTCCTGGGACAAGCCCAACTTCTGTGACCACTTCTGCTGCTCCACTGAGCTCTACCCCCGAGATCACTTCCCAAGCTTTCTCCACAAGTACACCCACCAGCAGTAGTGTTCTTGAGAAAACCTCCACAGCTGCTGGTCTGGCCACATCAATCATTGAGTCCACAACTGTGTCCAGCACCAGAAGTCCAGAAGCCACCACCTTCGTTGTGCAGTCCACATCTGAGTCCACATCTTCAGTCTCTTCAGCTCAGACCGAGACCTCTCCACATGTGCCAACCTCCACAATCATGTCCACCATAGTAGAAAGCTCCAGCCTCAAGACTTCAGCCACCACTCCAATCCCATCCAGCGCTGCTGGAACGTCACCTGCTGGCCATGTAGTCATGCCAGTGACAAAGATAGGAGGTGCTACCACCACTGGCTTGGCACAAACGATGTCCTCTGCTCCTGGGACAAGACCAACTTCTGCCACCACTTCTGCTCTTCCTCTGAGCTCTACTCTGGAAATCACATCTCCAGCTTTCACCACAACTTCACCCAGAAGCAGTAGTGCTCTTGAGACAACCTCCACAGCTGCTGGCCTGGCCACATCACGTGTTCAGCCCACCACAGCATCCACCACCACAAGGCTGGTAGGCACCACTTCCGCTGTGCAGTCCTCATCTGAGTCTACGGCTTCAGTCTCTTCATCTCGGCTGGAAACGTCTCCACTTGTGACAACCTCCACAATCCTGTCAACGACAGCAGAAATCTCCAGCCTGAAGACTACTGCCTCCTCTCCAGTCCAATCGAGCCCTACTGTGACATCCACTCCTGAGCAGGTCACCTCTGAAGGGGCAGAAACAACGACGACCCCTGTGGCGCGTACACAAATGTCCTCTGGTGCCCCTGGCACAAGCCCAACTTCTGCCACTGCTTCTTCTCTTCCAACGAGCTCTGCTCCAGAGACCACTTCACCAGCTCTCACCACCACTACAAGTACCACCACGCCGTTGGAGACAACCTCATCTGCTGCTGCTACATCAACTTTAACCACTGAGTCCAGCACTGTGCCCACCTCCTTGATAACAGAGATCTCCACCTCGAGTGCACAGGCCACATCGCCTCCCGAGTCCACGGCTGCAGCTTCTTCCACTAGAGCTGAAACATCTACATTGGAGACAACCTCCACAGTCCTGTCAACCGTGGAACAAACCTCCAAAGCAAAGACTTCTGCCACCACAACCATGCAATCCAGCCTGTCTGAGAGTTCCCCGAGTCAGCAGGTCACCACTGCAGCACCAGAGACAACAACAGGGACCACCACGGTCCTTGCCCAAACGTCAACGTCTGGTCCTGGGTCAAGCTCAACTTCTGTGACCACTTCTGCTGCTCCACTGAGCTCTACCCCAGAGATCACTTCCCCAGCTTTCTCCACAAGTACACCCACCAGCAGTAGTGTTCTTGAGAAAACCTCCACAGCTGCTGGTCTGGCCACATCAATCATTGAGTCCACAACTGTGTCCAGCACCAGAAGTCCAGAAGCCACCACCTTCGTTGTGCAGTCCACATCTGAGTCCACATCTTCAGTCTCTTCAGCTCAGACCGAGACCTCTCCACATGTGCCAACCTCCACAATCATGTCCACCATAGTAGAAAGCTCCAGCCTCAAGACTTCAGCCACCACTCCAATCCCATCCAGCGCTGCTGGAACGTCACCTGCTGGCCATGTAGTCATGCCAGTGACAAAGATAGGAGGTGCTACCACCACTGGCTTGGCACAAACGATGTCCTCTGCTCCTGGGACAAGACCAACTTCTGCCACCACTTCTGCTCTTCCTCTGAGCTCTACTCTGGAAATCACATCTCCAGCTTTCACCACAACTTCACCCAGAAGCAGTAGTGCTCTTGAGACAACCTCCACAGCTGCTGGCCTGGCCACATCACGTGTTCAGCCCACCACAGCATCCACCACCACAAGGCTGGTAGGCACCACTTCCGCTGTGCAGTCCTCATCTGAGTCTACGGCTTCAGTCTCTTCATCTCGGCTGGAAACGTCTCCACTTGTGACAACCTCCACGATCCTGTCAACGACAGCAGAAATCTCCAGCCTGAAGACTACTGCCTCCTCTCCAGTCCAATTGAGCCCTACTGTGACATCCACTCCTGAGCAGGTCACCTCTGAAGGGGCAGAAACAACGACGACCCCTGTGGCGCGTACACAAATGTCCTCTGGTGCCCCTGGCACAAGCCCAACTTCTGCCACTGCTTCTTCTCTTCCAACGAGCTCTGCTCCAGAGACCACTTCACCAGCTCTCACCACCACTACAAGTACCACCACGCCGTTGGAGACAACCTCATCTGCTGCTGCTACATCAACTTTAACCACTGAGTCCAGCACTGTGCCCACCTCCTTGATAACAGAGATCTCCACCTCGAGTGCACAGGCCACATCGCCTCCCGAGTCCACGGCTGCAGCTTCTTCCACTAGAGCTGAAACATCTACATTGGAGACAACCTCCACAGTCCTGTCAACCGTGGAACAAACCTCCAAAGCAAAGACTTCTGCCACCACAACCATGCAATCCAGCCTGTCTGAGAGTTCCCCGAGTCAGCAGGTCACCACTGCAGCACCAGAGACAACAACAGGGACCACCACGGTCCTTGCCCAAACGTCAACGTCTGGTCCTGGGACAAGCCCAACTTCTGTGACCACTTCTGCTGCTCCACTGAGCTCTACCCCCGAGATCACTTCCCAAGCTTTCTCCACAAGTACACCCACCAGCAGTAGTGTTCTTGAGAAAACCTCCACAGCTGCTGGTCTGGCCACATCAATCATTGAGTCCACAACTGTGTCCAGCACCAGAAGTCCAGAAGCCACCACCTTCGTTGTGCAGTCCACATCTGAGTCCACATCTTCAGTCTCTTCAGCTCAGACCGAGACCTCTCCACATGTGCCAACCTCCACAATCATGTCCACCATAGTAGAAAGCTCCAGCCTCAAGACTTCAGCCACCACTCCAATCCCATCCAGCGCTGCTGGAACGTCACCTGCTGGCCATGTAGTCATGCCAGTGACAAAGATAGGAGGTGCTACCACCACTGGCTTGGCACAAACGATGTCCTCTGCTCCTGGGACAAGACCAACTTCTGCCACCACTTCTGCTCTTCCTCTGAGCTCTACTCTGGAAATCACATCTCCAGCTTTCACCACAACTTCACCCAGAAGCAGTAGTGCTCTTGAGACAACCTCCACAGCTGCTGGCCTGGCCACATCACGTGTTCAGCCCACCACAGCATCCACCACCACAAGGCTGGTAGGCACCACTTCCGCTGTGCAGTCCTCATCTGAGTCTACGGCTTCAGTCTCTTCATCTCGGCTGGAAACGTCTCCACTTGTGACAACCTCCACAATCCTGTCAACGACAGCAGAAATCTCCAGCCTGAAGACTACTGCCTCCTCTCCAGTCCAATCGAGCCCTACTGTGACATCCACTCCTGAGCAGGTCACCTCTGAAGGGGCAGAAACAACAACGACCCCTGTGGCGCGTACACAAATGTCCTCTGGTGCCCCTGGCACAAGCCCAACTTCTGCCACTGCTTCTTCTCTTCCAACGAGCTCTGCTCCAGAGACCACTTCACCAGCTCTCACCACCACTACAAGTACCACCACGCCGTTGGAGACAACCTCATCTGCTGCTGCTACATCAACTTTAACCACTGCGTCCAGCACTGTGCCCATCTCCTTGACAACAGAGATCTCCACCTCGAGTGCACAGGCCACATCGCCTCCCGAGTCCACGGCTGCAGCTTCTTCCACTAGAGCTGAAACATCTACATTGGAGACAACCTCCACAGTCCTGTCAACCGTGGAACAAACCTCCAAAGCAAAGACTTCTGCCACCACAACCATGCAATCCAGCCTGTCTGAGAGTTCCCCGAGTCAGCAGGTCACCACTGCAGCACCAGAGACAACAACAGGGACCACCACGGTCCTTGCCCAAACGTCAACGTCTGGTCCTGGGTCAAGCCCAACTTCTGTGACCACTTCTGCTGCTCCACTGAGCTCTACCCCCGAGATCACTTCCCAAGCTTTCTCCACAAGTACACCCACCAGCAGTAGTGTTCTTGAGAAAACCTCCACAGCTGCTGGTCTGGCCACATCAATCATTGAGTCCACAACTGTGTCCAGCACCAGAAGTCCAGAAGCCACCACCTTCGTTGTGCAGTCCACATCTGAGTCCACATCTTCAGTCTCTTCAGCTCAGACCGAGACCTCTCCACATGTGCCAACCTCCACAATCATGTCCACCATAGTAGAAAGCTCCAGCCTCAAGACTTCAGCCACCACTCCAATCCCATCCAGCGCTGCTGGAACGTCACCTGCTGGCCATGTAGTCATGCCAGTGACAAAGATAGGAGGTGCTACCACCACTGGCTTGGCACAAACGATGTCCTCTGCTCCTGGGACAAGACCAACTTCTGCCACCACTTCTGCTCTTCCTCTGAGCTCTACTCTGGAAATCACATCTCCAGCTTTCACCACAACTTCACCCAGAAGCAGTAGTGCTCTTGAGACAACCTCCACAGCTGCTGGTCTGGCCACATCACGTGTTCAGCCCACCACAGCATCCACCACCACAAGGCTGGTAGGCACCACTTCCGCTGTGCAGTCCTCATCTGAGTCTACGGCTTCAGTCTCTTCATCTCGGCTGGAAACGTCTCCACTTGTGACAACCTCCACAATCCTGTCAACGACAGCAGAAATCTCCAGCCTGAAGACTACTGCCTCCTCTCCAGTCCAATCGAGCCCTACTGTGACATCCACTCCTGAGCAGGTCACCTCTGAAGGGGCAGAAACAACGACGACCCCTGTGGCGCGTACACAAATGTCCTCTGGTGCCCCTGGCACAAGCCCAACTTCTGCCACTGCTTCTTCTCTTCCAACGAGCTCTGCTCCAGAGACCACTTCACCAGCTCTCACCACCACTACAAGTACCACCACGCCGTTGGAGACAACTTCAACTGCTGCTTCTACGTCAACTTTAACCACTGAGTCCAGCACTGTGCCCACCGCCTTGACAACAGAGATCTCCACCTCGAGTGCACAGGCCACATCGCCTCCCGAGTCCACGGCTGCAGCTTCTTCCACTAGAGCTGAAACATCTACATTGGAGACAACCTCCACAGTCCTGTCAACCGTGGAACAAACCTCCAAAGCAAAGACTTCTGCCACCACAACCATGCAATCCAGCCTGTCTGAGAGTTCCCCGAGTCAGCAGGTCACCACTGCAGCACCAGAGACAACAACAGGGACCACCACGGTCCTTGCCCAAACGTCAACGTCTGGTCCTGGGACAAGCCCAACTTCTGTGACCACTTCTGCTGCTCCACTGAGCTCTACCCCCGAGATCACTTCCCAAGCTTTCTCCACAAGTACACCCACCAGCAGTAGTGTTCTTGAGAAAACCTCCACAGCTGCTGGTCTGGCCACATCAATCATTGAGTCCACAACTGTGTCCAGCACCAGAAGTCCAGAAGCCACCACCTTCGTTGTGCAGTCCACATCTGAGTCCACATCTTCAGTCTCTTCAGCTCAGACCGAGACCTCTCCACATGTGCCAACCTCCACAATCATGTCCACCATAGTAGAAAGCTCCAGCCTCAAGACTTCAGCCACCACTCCAATCCCATCCAGCGCTGCTGGAACGTCACCTGCTGGCCATGTAGTCATGCCAGTGACAAAGATAGGAGGTGCTACCACCACTGGCTTGGCACAAACGATGTCCTCTGCTCCTGGGACAAGACCAACTTCTGCCACCACTTCTGCTCTTCCTCTGAGCTCTACTCTGGAAATCACATCTCCAGCTTTCACCACAACTTCACCCAGAAGCAGTAGTGCTCTTGAGACAACCTCCACAGCTGCTGGTCTGGCCACATCACGTGTTCAGCCCACCACAGCATCCACCACCACAAGGCTGGTAGGCACCACTTCCGCTGTGCAGTCCTCATCTGAGTCTACGGCTTCAGTCTCTTCATCTCGGCTGGAAACGTCTCCACTTGTGACAACCTCCACAATCCTGTCAACGACAGCAGAAATCTCCAGCCTGAAGACTACTGCCTCCTCTCCAGTCCAATCGAGCCCTACTGTGACATCCACTCCTGAGCAGGTCACCTCTGAAGGGGCAGAAACAACGACGACCCCTGTGGCGCGTACACAAATGTCCTCTGGTGCCCCTGGCACAAGCCCAACTTCTGCCACTGCTTCTTCTCTTCCAACGAGCTCTGCTCCAGAGACCACTTCACCAGCTCTCACCACCACTACAAGTACCACCATGCCGTTGGAGACAACCTCAACTGCTGCTTCTACGTCAACTTTAACCACTGAGTCCAGCACTGCGCCCACCTCCTTGACAACAGAGATCTCCACCTCGAGTGCACAGGCCACATCGCCTCCCGAGTCCACGGCTGCAGCCTCTTCCACTAGAGCTGAAACATCTACATTGGAGACAACCTCCACAGTCCTGTCAACTGTGGAACAAACCTCCAAAGCAAAGACTTCTGCCACCACAACCATGCAATCCAGCCTGTCTGAGAGTTCCCCGAGTCAGCAGGTCACCACTGCAGCACCAGAGACAACAACGGCGACCACCACGGTCCTTGCCCAAACGTCGACGTCTGCTCCTGGGACAAGCCCAACTTCTGTGACCACTTCTGCTGCTCCACTGAGCTCTACCCCCGAGATCACTTCCCAAGCTTTCTCCACAAGTACACCCACCAGCAGTAGTGTTCTTGAGAAAACCTCCACAGCTGCTGGTCTGGCCACATCAATCATTGAGTCCACAACTGTGTCCAGCACCAGAAGTCCAGAAGCCACCACCTTCGTTGTGCAGTCCACATCTGAGTCCACATCTTCAGTCTCTTCAGCTCAGACCGAGACCTCTCCACATGTGCCAACCTCCACAATCATGTCCACCATAGCAGAAAGCTCCAGCCTCAAGACTTCAGCCACCACTCCAATCCCATCCAGCGCTGCTGGAACGTCACCTGCTGGCCATGTAGTTATGCCAGTGACAAAGATAGGAGGTGCTACCACCACTGGCTTGGCACAAACGATGTCCTCTGCTCCTGGGACAAGACCAACTTCTGCCACCACTTCTGCTCTTCCTCTGAGCTCTACTCTGGAAATCACATCTCCAGCTTTCACCACAACTTCACCCAGAAGCAGTAGTGCTCTTGAGACAACCTCCACAGCTGCTGGCCTGGCTACATCACGTGTTCAGCCCACCACTGCGTCCACCACCACAAGTCCTGTAGGCACCACCTCTGCTATGCACCCCACATCTGAGGGTGAGGCTACGGCTTCAGTCTCTTCATCTCGGCTGGAAACATCTCCACTTGTCACAACCTCCACAGTCCTGTCAACCACTGAAGAAATGTCCGGCCTGAAGACTTCAAGCAGCACTTTTCTTGGGCTCAGCAGCACAATGGCTTTGGAAACGACAACAATACCTCATATTAGTCTTGGTGTCAAACCTAGTAAGTTCTATCAGTGTTATGAAAACTGAGTAATTTTTAAAATTTTTTTTTATGAAATAGTTTATTAATATATACCTTTGTTTAGTGTAGGCCCATGATTTTTTAATTGTGATTGTCTTAATACTTTTTTTTTCTCCTTAAGTTTGGCAGTTTTTTGTTAATAATAATTTCTATAGTATATGCTATATGAGTTCTATTATTTCATTTTTTTGTGTTACTAACCGTTCTGGTTTTTTTTTGAAAGCTGTTCAGTCTTACTGCACTAACTACCTCACTTAAAATGCATAAAATCCCAGGGGGATGGTTTTTCTCAGTGGAAAATTTAATGTTTTCGATATTAGATTATTAAGCATTTTGCTGGTATAATATATTGGCATTATATTCGGATAATTGTGTAACAGGTATATAATTACCTATATATCCATATATTAATGTCTAATATCTGCTAATAAGAAAATGAAAGAAATCTTAACCTCTGTATTTTAAAAGGAAATGTACACATCATTTAGACAAGGAATAAAACCGCCATATGATTGAATACAGAATAAGGAGAAACAGAGTCATGGATGGGCAACCCCATGGCTGGCAGTAGTGACCTGTGAACTCTGTGATTGTCCATCCAGAGCCCTGACACCCTTGCCCCTTGACATTTCACATCTGTGTTTCTTCCAGCTCCCACCCATCCACCAACAGTTGCCACGCTTGAGCATTTCACCGTCAACTTCACCATCACCAACCTGCACTACACTTCTGACCTTGAGAATCCTCACTCGGCCAAGTTCAATGCCACACGAAGGGTTATGAACACCCTGGTTAGTGAAACATCACTTCATAGACATGGCCTAATTCCTGCTCTCTTCAGCATGGAGAGAGTGCAGGGACCTGGCCATGGCTTTATTGTGAAAACTCTCCTTTTGGCAGCTTGACCGCCTGCTGAAGGAAAGCAGCATTGGCCCCGTGTTCCAAGGATGTGAAACAACAGACTTCAGGTATGGATATTTGTCCTTATAAAAGTCCCATGGTGTGAAGAGTATGAACATCATGGAAAAGCGCTGGGGGCCACTTCTATGAAGGCAGAAGGGTTTCCATAATGCCCTGCTCTCTTAGAGCTTCCCCTCACTGCCTGCCCCCTAATCCCCCTGAAGATGGAGGAGCCCCAGGATGCGCCCTGAGTTTTTTAAGCCTCATTCCTTCTTCAACACCTCCAGGCTGTTAGTTAAGGTGGACAAAAGGGGCCAACCACAACACAAAAAGATATTTTGGGAAGTCAGACCTTACATTCCCATTCAGAAATGGCAAAGCTGCCCTGTGGTCCAGACATGAATAGAGAACGTGCAGAGGAGGGTGCTGATGGAGGCCCCTGTGTTTTGCAGGCCGGGCAGCGACAGGGACCAGACCCGGGTGGACGCCGTGTGCACCTACAGCAAGGAGCCCTGGGCTGCGCCTTTGGACAGGGTGGGGCTGTACCACCAAGTGAGCAACAAGACCAGAGGCATCACCCAGCTGGGCCCCTACAGCCTGGACAAGGACAGCCTCTACGTCAACGGTGAGCGGCGCTCCTCCCTGGGCCTCCTCTGCTCTCCCATGGCAGCCCTGCCCCAGGGCTGCCCCTTGCCCAGCCCCAGCTCCTGACCCTCTGTCTCTCTCTTTCCCCAGGCTACAACGAGCAGCCAGTGCTGACCAGTGAGTACCTTGCAGGAACAGCAGGGGATGGAAGGCAGCAAGTGCAACACTGGGGTTTTCTTGTGGACAGTGGCGGATGGGGGCATGGGCATGAAATCCTGGGGACATGGGGATCCTCTCATCCTTCTCCTTTTGGAGCATGGCTGACAGGAAAGCTCTGAACCTTCACAGCCAGGTCTATAACAACCAAGCCATTGCTCCTTGTCATTCCCCATCTGTGCTTCTTCCAGCTCCCACCCACCCACCAACAACAACAGCGGCCACCCTTGAGCATTTCACCGTCAACTTCACCATCACCAACCTGCCCTACTCTTCTGACCTGGAGAATCCTGACTCAGCTAAATTCAAAGCTACACGAAGGGTGATGAACATGATGGTAGGTGAACCGCCACTGAGATACTGCTGTACCCTGTCTGGTCTCATCAGCTTGGAGCGAGTGCAGAGATATGGTCACGGCTTAACTGGGAAACCTGTTTTTTTGGCAGCTTGACCGCCTGCTGAAGGACAGCAGCATTGGCCCTGTTTTCCAAGGATGTGAAACAACAGATTTCAGGTATGGGTCATGATCAACTGTCCCTGCAGGACCCCTCACCAGATCCATAGGCTGTCTAAAATCCACAGTCTGTCGGTGCTCAGCCTTTAGGCTGGGATGTCCACCTTGATACCCTCCTTCCTCAGAGTTTGCCATCTCCCGATGCTCTCATTAACACATGCTCGTATTGTTGTGTTAGTTGACTCTCAAGTCCTCCCTGAAAAACCATAAAAGCTCCAGAATGCAGCCTGAAGGCTGAATGTTCAGAGGAGGGTGCTGATGGAGGCCCCTGTGTTTTGCAGGCTGGGCAGCGACAGGGACCAGACGCGGGTGGACGCCGTGTGCACCTACAGCAAGGAGCCCTGGGCTGCGCCTTTGGACAGGGTGGGGCTGTACCACCAAGTGAGCAACAAGACCAGAGGCATCACCCAGCTGGGCCCCTACAGCCTGGACAAGGACAGCCTCTACGTCAACGGTGAGCGGCGCTCCTCCCTGGGCCCCCTCTGCTCTCCCATGGCAGCCCTGCCCCAGGGCTGCCCCTTGCCCAGCCCCAGCTCCTGACCCTCTGTCTCTCTCTTTCCCCAGGCTACAACGAGCAGCCAGTGCTGACCAGTGAGTACCTTGCAGGAGCGGGATGATTTTAGCAGACAGCAAGTGCCACAGTGGGGCCTTCTCTAGGGCAGAGGAATCTTGGCACTGAGGCATGAGATCCTGGGGACATGAGGATCTTCTTGTCCTTCACCTTGGGGAGTAGGGCTGGCAGGAAACCTTTGCGCTTGCCCAGCCAGGGCTGTAAATACAAAGTCTTTGCCCCTTGTCACTCCTCATCTGTGCTTCTTCCAGCTCCCACCCACCCACCAACAACCACAGCGGCCACCCTTGAGCGTTTCACCGTCAACTTCACCATCACCAACCTGCCCTACTCTTCTGACCTGGAGAATCCTGACTCAGCCAAGTTCAGAGATACTCGCAGAGATATGAACACTCTGGTAAGTTGACCAATGGTGGGACATTTCTGTGCCACCCCAAGTTGCAGAGAGTGCAGGTAGCAGGCCATGGCTTAATTGTAAAACCTCTTCCCTTGGCAGCTCGACGGCCTGCTGAAGGAAAGCAGCATTGGCCCTGATTTCCAGGGATGTGAGACAACAGGCTTCAGGTACGGGTCATCCTCAAGCGGCATTTTGCAGAACCCTTGCTTTAAGGTGTGGCCCTGTTGGTCCACTCCAGAAGAGTGTTATAGCCACTCTTGTAAATTTAGGATGATCTTCATTAGGTACTGCTGCAGCAGCACTTTCTTCTTAATGTCCCATGACTTAGAGCTGACCTTCAGTGCCTGTGCCTGTCCTCTTATGGAGGGGGCAGAATAGTCCCAAGATGACACAAAAGTTTGTCTGGACACTCTCCATCCTGAAAAGTCCTACAGCATTACTGCAAGGGGAGAGCAGTGTCCAACCACCACCAAGACTCTTCAGGAAGGCAGAGATTGCATTCCCACATGGGAATGGCCATGACAGGCCCAGAGTCCAGCTGTGATGAGATTATGTAAAGAGGAACATGCTGATGGAGGCCCCTGTGTTTTGCAGGCCGGGCAGCGACAGGGACCAGACCCGGGTGGACGCCGTGTGCACCTACAGCAAGGAGCCCTGGGCTGCGCCTCTGGACAGGGTGGGGCTGTACCACCAAGTGAGCAACAAGACCAGAGGCATCACCCAGCTGGGCCCCTACAGCCTGGACAAGGACAGCCTCTACGTCAACGGTGAGCGGCGCTCCTCCCTGGGCCTCCTCTGCTCTCCCATGGCAGCCCTGCCCCAGGGCTGCCCCTTGCTCAGCCCCAGCTCCTGACCCTCTGTCTCTCTCTTTCCCCAGGCTACAACGAGCAGCCAGTGCTGACCAGTGAGTACCTTGCAGGAACAGGAGGGGATGGAAGGCAGCAAGTGCAACACTGGGGTTTTCTTGTGGACAGTGGCGGATGGGGGCATGGGCATGAAATCCTGGGGACATGGGGATCCTCTCATCCTTCTCCTTTTGGAGCATGGCTGACAGGAAAGCTCTGAACCTTCACAGCCAGGTCTATAACAACCAAGCCATTGCTCCTTGTCACTCCCCATCTGTGCTTCTTCCAGCTCCCACCCACCCACCAACAACAACAGCGGCCACCCTTGAGCATTTCACCGTCAACTTCACCATCACCAACCTGCCCTACTCTTCTGACCTGGAGAATCCTGACTCAGCTAAATTCAAAGCTACACGAAGGGTGATGAACATGATGGTAGGTGAACCGCCACTGAGATACTGCTGTACCCTGTCTGGTCTCATCAGCTTGGAGCGAGTGCAGAGATATGGTCACGGCTTAACTGGGAAACCTGTTTTTTTGGCAGCTGGACCGCCTGCTGAAGGACAGCAGCATTGGCCCTGTTTTTCAAGGATGTGAAACAACAGATTTCAGGTATGGGTCATGATCAACTGTCCCTGCATGACCCCTCACCAGATCCATAGGCTTTCTAAAATCCACTGTCTGTTGGTGCTCAGCCTTTAGGTTGGGATGTCCACCTTGATACCCTCCTTCCTCAGAGCTTCCCATCTCCCGATGCTCTTCCTAACACATGCTCATATTGTTGTGTTAGTTGACTCTCCAGTCCTCCCTGAAAAACCATAAAAGCTCCAGAATGCAGCCTGAAGGCTGAATGTTCAGAGGAGGGTGCTGATGGAGGCCCCTGTGTTTTGCAGGCCAGGCAGCAACAGGGACCAGACCCGGGTGGACGCCGTGTGCACCTACAGCAAGGAGCCCTGGGCTGCGCCTTTGGACAGGGTGGGGCTGTACCACCAAGTGAGCAACAAGACCAGAGGCATCACCCAGCTGGGCCCCTACAGCCTGGACAAGGACAGCCTCTACGTCAACGGTGAGCGGCGCTCCTCCCTGGGCCTCCTCTGCTCTTCCATGGCAGCCCTGCCCCAGGGCTGCCCCTTGCTCAGCCCCAGCTCCTGACCCTCTGTCTCTCTCTTTCCCCAGGCTACAACGAGCAGCCAGTGCTGACCAGTGAGTACCTTGCAGGAACAGGAGGGGATGGAAGGCAGCAAGTGCAACACTGGGGTTTTCTTGTGGACAGTGGCGGATGGGGGCATGGGCATGAAATCCTGGGGACATGGGGATCCTCTCATCCTTCTCCTTTTGGAGCATGGCTGACAGGAAAGCTCTGAACCTTCACAGCCAGGTCTATAACAACCAAGCCATTGCTCCTTGTCACTCCCCATCTGTGCTTCTTCCAGCTCCCACCCACCCACCAACAACAACAGCGGCCACCCTTGAGCTTTTCACCGTCAACTTCACCATCACCAACCTGCCCTACTCTTCTGACCTGGAGAATCCTGACTCAGCTAAATTCAAAGCTACACGAAGGGTGATGAACATGATGGTAGGTGAACCGCCACTGAGATACTGCTGTACCCTGTCTGGTCTCATCAGCTTGGAGCGAGTGCAGAGATATGGTCACGGCTTAACTGGGAAACCTGTTTTTTTGGCAGCTGGACCGCCTGCTGAAGGACAGCAGCATTGGCCCTGTTTTTCAAGGATGTGAAACAACAGATTTCAGGTATGGGTCATGATCAACTGTCCCTGCATGACCCCTCACCAGATCCATAGGCTGTCTAAAATCCACAGTCTGTCGGTGCTCAGCCTTTAGGCTGGGATGTCCACCTTGATACCATCCTTCCTCAGAGTTTGCCATCTCCCGATGCTCTCATTAACACATGCTCGTATTGTTGTGTTAGTTGACTCTCCAGTCCTCCCTGAAAAACCATAAAAGCTCCAGAATGCAGCCTGAAGGCTGAATGTTCAGAGGAGGGTGCTGATGGAGGCCCCTGTGTTTTGCAGGCCGGGCAGCGACAGGGACCAGACGCGGGTGGACGCCGTGTGCACCTACAGCAAGGAGCCCTGGGCTGCGCCTTTGGACAGGGTGGGGCTGTACCACCAAGTGAGCAACAAGACCAGAGGCATCACCCAGCTGGGCCCCTACAGCCTGGACAAGGACAGCCTCTACGTCAACGGTGAGCGGCGCTCCTCCCTGGGCCCCCTCTGCTCTCCCATGGCAGCCCTGCCCCAGGGCTGCCCCTTGCCCAGCCCCAGCTCCTGACCCTCTGTCTCTCTCTTTCCCCAGGCTACAACGAGCAGCCAGTGCTGACCAGTGAGTACCTTGCAGGAGCGGGATGATTTTAGCAGACAGCAAGTGCCACAGTGGGGCCTTCTCTAGGGCAGAGGAATCTTGGCACTGAGGCATGAGATCCTGGGGACATGAGGATCTTCTTGTCCTTCACCTTGGGGAGTAGGGCTGGCAGGAAACCTTTGCGCTTGCCCAGCCAGGGCTGTAAATACAAAGTCTTTGCCCCTTGTCACTCCTCATCTGTGCTTCTTCCAGCTCCCACCCACCCACCAACAACCACAGCGGCCACCCTTGAGCGTTTCACCGTCAACTTCACCATCACCAACCTGCCCTACTCTTCTGACCTGGAGAATCCTGACTCAGCCAAGTTCAGAGATACTCGCAGAGATATGAACACTCTGGTAAGTTGACCAATGGTGGGACATTTCTGTGCCACCCCAAGTTGCAGAGAGTGCAGGTAGCAGGCCATGGCTTAATTGTAAAACCTCTTCCCTTGGCAGCTCGACGGCCTGCTGAAGGAAAGCAGCATTGGCCCTGATTTCCAGGGATGTGAGACAACAGGCTTCAGGTACGGGTCATCCTCAAGCGGCATTTTGCAGAACCCTTGCTTTAAGGTGTGGCCCTGTTGGTCCACTCCAGAAGAGTGTTATAGCCACTCTTGTAAATTTAGGATGATCTTCATTAGGTACTGCTGCAGCAGCACTTTCTTCTTAATGTCCCATGACTTAGAGCTGACCTTCAGTGCCTGTGCCTGTCCTCTTATGGAGGGGGCAGAATAGTCCCAAGATGACACAAAAGTTTGTCTGGACACTCTCCATCCTGAAAAGTCCTACAGCATTACTGCAAGGGGAGAGCAGTGTCCAACCACCACCAAGACTCTTCAGGAAGGCAGAGATTGCATTCCCACATGGGAATGGCCATGACAGGCCCAGAGTCCAGCTGTGATGAGATTATGTAAAGAGGAACATGCTGATGGAGGCCCCTGTGTTTTGCAGGCCGGGCAGCGACAGGGACCAGACCCGGGTGGACGCCGTGTGCACCTACAGCAAGGAGCCCTGGGCTGCGCCTCTGGACAGGGTGGGGCTGTACCACCAAGTGAGCAACAAGACCAGAGGCATCACCCAGCTGGGCCCCTACAGCCTGGACAAGGACAGCCTCTACGTCAACGGTGAGCGGCGCTCCTCCCTGGGCCTCCTCTGCTCTCCCATGGCAGCCCTGCCCCAGGGCTGCCCCTTGCTCAGCCCCAGCTCCTGACCCTCTGTCTCTCTCTTTCCCCAGGCTACAACGAGCAGCCAGTGCTGACCAGTGAGTACCTTGCAGGAACAGGAGGGGATGGAAGGCAGCAAGTGCAACACTGGGGTTTTCTTGTGGACAGTGGCGGATGGGGGCATGGGCATGAAATCCTGGGGACATGGGGATCCTCTCATCCTTCTCCTTTTGGAGCATGGCTGACAGGAAAGCTCTGAACCTTCACAGCCAGGTCTATAACAACCAAGCCATTGCTCCTTGTCACTCCCCATCTGTGCTTCTTCCAGCTCCCACCCACCCACCAACAACAACAGCGGCCACCCTTGAGCATTTCACCGTCAACTTCACCATCACCAACCTGCCCTACTCTTCTGACCTGGAGAATCCTGACTCAGCTAAATTCAAAGCTACACGAAGGGTGATGAACATGATGGTAGGTGAACCGCCACTGAGATACTGCTGTACCCTGTCTGGTCTCATCAGCTTGGAGCGAGTGCAGAGATATGGTCACGGCTTAACTGGGAAACCTGTTTTTTTGGCAGCTGGACCGCCTGCTGAAGGACAGCAGCATTGGCCCTGTTTTTCAAGGATGTGAAACAACAGATTTCAGGTATGGGTCATGATCAACTGTCCCTGCATGACCCCTCACCAGATCCATAGGCTTTCTAAAATCCACTGTCTGTTGGTGCTCAGCCTTTAGGTTGGGATGTCCACCTTGATACCCTCCTTCCTCAGAGCTTCCCATCTCCCGATGCTCTTCCTAACACATGCTCATATTGTTGTGTTAGTTGACTCTCCAGTCCTCCCTGAAAAACCATAAAAGCTCCAGAATGCAGCCTGAAGGCTGAATGTTCAGAGGAGGGTGCTGATGGAGGCCCCTGTGTTTTGCAGGCCAGGCAGCAACAGGGACCAGACCCGGGTGGACGCCGTGTGCACCTACAGCAAGGAGCCCTGGGCTGCGCCTTTGGACAGGGTGGGGCTGTACCACCAAGTGAGCAACAAGACCAGAGGCATCACCCAGCTGGGCCCCTACAGCCTGGACAAGGACAGCCTCTACGTCAACGGTGAGCGGCGCTCCTCCCTGGGCCTCCTCTGCTCTTCCATGGCAGCCCTGCCCCAGGGCTGCCCCTTGCCCAGCCCCAGCTCCTGACCCTCTGTCTCTCTCTTTCCCCAGGCTACAACGAGCAGCCAGTGCTGACCAGTGAGTACCTTGCAGGAACAGGAGGGGATGGAAGGCAGCAAGTGCAACACTGGGGTTTTCTTGTGGACAGTGGCGGATGGGGGCATGGGCATGAAATCCTGGGGACATGGGGATCCTCTCATCCTTCTCCTTTTGGAGCATGGCTGACAGGAAAGCTCTGAACCTTCACAGCCAGGTCTATAACAACCAAGCCATTGCTCCTTGTCACTCCCCATCTGTGCTTCTTCCAGCTCCCACCCACCCACCAACAACAACAGCGGCCACCCTTGAGCTTTTCACCGTCAACTTCACCATCACCAACCTGCCCTACTCTTCTGACCTGGAGAATCCTGACTCAGCTAAATTCAAAGCTACACGAAGGGTGATGAACATGATGGTAGGTGAACCGCCACTGAGATACTGCTGTACCCTGTCTGGTCTCATCAGCTTGGAGCGAGTGCAGAGATATGGTCACGGCTTAACTGGGAAACCTGTTTTTTTGGCAGCTGGACCGCCTGCTGAAGGACAGCAGCATTGGCCCTGTTTTTCAAGGATGTGAAACAACAGATTTCAGGTATGGGTCATGATCAACTGTCCCTGCATGACCCCTCACCAGATCCATAGGCTTTCTAAAATCCACTGTCTGTTGGTGCTCAGCCTTTAGGTTGGGATGTCCACCTTGATACCCTCCTTCCTCAGAGCTTCCCATCTCCTGATGCTCTTCCTAACACATGCTCATATTGTTGTGTTAGTTGACTCTCCAGTCCTCCCTGAAAAACCATAAAAGCTCCAGAATGCAGCCTGAAGGCTGAATGTTCAGAGGAGGGTGCTGATGGAGGCCCCTGTGTTTTGCAGGCCAGGCAGCGACAGGGACCAGACCCGGGTGGACGCCGTGTGCACCTACAGCAAGGAGCCCTGGGCTGCGCCTTTGGACAGGGTGGGGCTGTACCACCAAGTGAGCAACAAGACCAGAGGCATCACCCAGCTTGGCCCCTACAGCCTGGACAAGGACAGCCTCTACGTCAACGGTGAGCGGCGCTCCTCCCTGGGCCTCCTCTGCTCTCCCATGGCAGCCCTGCCCCAGTGCTGCCCCTTGCTCAGCCCCAGCTCCTGACCCTCTGTCTCTCTCTTTCCCCAGGCTACAACGAGCAGCCAGTGCTGACCAGTGAGTACCTTGCAGGAACAGGAGGGGATGGAAGGCAGCAAGTGCAACACTGGGGTTTTCTTGTGGACAGTGGCGGATGGGGGCATGGGCATGAAATCCTGGGGACATGGGGATCCTCTCATCCTTCTCCTTTTGGAGCATGGCTGACAGGAAAGCTCTGAACCTTCACAGCCAGGTCTATAACAACCAAGCCATTGCTCCTTGTCACTCCCCATCTGTGCTTCTTCCAGCTCCCACCCACCCACCAACAACAACAGCGGCCACCCTTGAGCATTTCACCGTCAACTTCACCATCACCAACCTGCCCTACTCTTCTGACCTGGAGAATCCTGACTCAGCTAAATTCAAAGCTACACGAAGGGTGATGAACATGATGGTAGGTGAACCGCCACTGAGATACTGCTGTACCCTGTCTGGTCTCATCAGCTTGGAGCGAGTGCAGAGATATGGTCACGGCTTAACTGGGAAACCTGTTTTTTTGGCAGCTGGACCGCCTGCTGAAGGACAGCAGCATTGGCCCTGTTTTTCAAGGATGTGAAACAACAGATTTCAGGTATGGGTCATGATCAACTGTCCCTGCATGACCCCTCACCAGATCCATAGGCTTTCTAAAATCCACTGTCTGTTGGTGCTCAGCCTTTAGGTTGGGATGTCCACCTTGATACCCTCCTTCCTCAGAGCTTCCCATCTCCTGATGCTCTTCCTAACACATGCTCATATTGTTGTGTTAGTTGACTCTCCAGTCCTCCCTGAAAAACCATAAAAGCTCCAGAATGCAGCCTGAAGGCTGAATGTTCAGAGGAGGGTGCTGATGGAGGCCCCTGTGTTTTGCAGGCCAGGCAGCGACAGGGACCAGACCCGGGTGGACGCCGTGTGCACCTACAGCAAGGAGCCCTGGGCTGCGCCTTTGGACAGGGTGGGGCTGTACCACCAAGTGAGCAACAAGACCAGAGGCATCACCCAGCTTGGCCCCTACAGCCTGGACAAGGACAGCCTCTACGTCAACGGTGAGCGGCGCTCCTCCCTGGGCCTCCTCTGCTCTCCCATGGCAGCCCTGCCCCAGTGCTGCCCCTTGCTCAGCCCCAGCTCCTGACCCTCTGTCTCTCTCTTTCCCCAGGCTACAACGAGCAGCCAGTGCTGACCAGTGAGTACCTTGCAGGAGCGGGATGATTTTAGCAGACAGCAAGTGCCACAGTGGGGCCTTCTCTAGGGCAGAGGAATCTTGGCACTGAGGCATGAGATCCTGGGGACATGAGGATCTTCTTGTCCTTCACCTTGGGGAGTAGGGCTGGCAGGAAACCTTTGCGCTTGCCCAGCCAGGGCTGTAAATACAAAGTCTTTGCCCCTTGTCACTCCTCATCTGTGCTTCTTCCAGCTCCCACCCACCCACCAACTACAACAGCGGCCACCCTCGAGCGTTTCACCGTCAACTTCACCATCACCAACCTGCCCTACTCTTCTGACCTGGAGAATCCTGACTCAGCCAAGTTCAGAGATACTCGCAGAGATATGAACACTCTGGTAAGTTGACCAATGGTGGGACATTTCTGTGCCACCCCAAGTTGCAGAGAGTGCAGGTAGCAGGCCATGGCTTAATTGTAAAACCTCTTCCCTTGGCAGCTCGACGGCCTGCTGAAGGAAAGCAGCATTGGCCCTGATTTCCAGGGATGTGAGACAACAGGCTTCAGGTACGGGTCATCCTCAAGCGGCATTTTGCAGAACCCTTGCTTTAAGGTGTGGCCCTGTTGGTCCACTCCAGAAGAGTGTTATAGCCACTCTTGTAAATTTAGGATGATCTTCATTAGGTACTGCTGCAGCAGCACTTTCTTCTTAATGTCCCATGACTTAGAGCTGACCTTCAGTGCCTGTGCCTGTCCTCTTATGGAGGGGGCAGAATAGTCCCAAGATGACACAAAAGTTTGTCTGGACACTCTCCATCCTGAAAAGTCCTACAGCATTACTGCAAGGGGAGAGCAGTGTCCAACCACCACCAAGACTCTTCAGGAAGGCAGAGATTGCATTCCCACATGGGAATGGCCATGACAGGCCCAGAGTCCAGCTGTGATGAGATTATGTAAAGAGGAACATGCTGATGGAGGCCCCTGTGTTTTGCAGGCCGGGCAGCGACAGGGACCAGACCCGGGTGGACGCCGTGTGCACCTACAGCAAGGAGCCCTGGGCTGCGCCTTTGGACAGGGTGGGGCTGTACCACCAAGTGAGCAACAAGACCAGAGGCATCACCCAGCTGGGCCCCTACAGCCTGGACAAGGACAGCCTCTACGTCAACGGTGAGCGGCGCTCCTCCCTGGGCCTCCTCTGCTCTCCCATGGCAGCCCTGCCCCAGGGCTGCCCCTTGCCCAGCCCCAGCTCCTGACCCTCTGTCTCTCTCTTTCCCCAGGCTACAACGAGCAGCCAGTGCTGACCAGTGAGTACCTTGCAGGAACAGGAGGGGATGGAAGGCAGCAAGTGCAACACTGGGGTTTTCTTGTGGACAGTGGCGGATGGGGGCATGGGCATGAAATCCTGGGGACATGGGGATCCTCTCATCCTTCTCCTTTTGGAGCATGGCTGACAGGAAAGCTCTGAACCTTCACAGCCAGGTCTATAACAACCAAGCCATTGCTCCTTGTCACTCCCCATCTGTGCTTCTTCCAGCTCCCACCCACCCACCAACAACAACAGCGGCCACCCTTGAGCATTTCACCGTCAACTTCACCATCACCAACCTGCCCTACTCTTCTGACCTGGAGAATCCTGACTCAGCTAAATTCAAAGCTACACGAAGGGTGATGAACATGATGGTAGGTGAACCGCCACTGAGATACTGCTGTACCCTGTCTGGTCTCATCAGCTTGGAGCGAGTGCAGAGATATGGTCACGGCTTAACTGGGAAACCTGTTTTTTTGGCAGCTGGACCGCCTGCTGAAGGACAGCAGCATTGGCCCTGTTTTCCAAGGATGTGAAACAACAGATTTCAGGTATGAGTCATGATCAACTGTCCCTGCATGACCCCTCACCAGATCCATAGGCTGTCTAAAATCCACAGTCTGTTGGTGCTCAGCCTTTAGGTTGGGATGTCCACCTTGATACCCTCCTTCCTCAGAGTTTCCCATCTCCCGATGCTCTTCCTAACACATGCTCATATTGTTGTGTTAGTTGACTCTCCAGTCCTCCCTGAAAAACCATAAAAGCTCCAGAATGCAGCCTGAAGGCTGAATGTTCAGAGGAGGGTGCTGATGGAGGCCCCTGTGTTTTGCAGGCCGGGCAGCGACAGGGACCAGACCCGGGTGGACGCCGTGTGCACCTACAGCAAGGAGCCCTGGGCTGCGCCTTTGGACAGGGTGGGGCTGTACCACCAAGTGAGCAACAAGACCAGAGGCATCACCCAGCTGGGCCCCTACAGCCTGGACAAGGACAGCCTCTACGTCAACGGTGAGCGGCGCTCCTCCCTGGGCCTCCTCTGCTCTCCCATGGCAGCCCTGCCCCAGGGCTGCCCCTTGCCCAGCCCCAGCTCCTGACCCTCTGTCTCTCTCTTTCCCCAGGCTACAACGAGCAGCCAGTGCTGACCAGTGAGTACCTTGCAGGAGCGGGATGATTTTAGCAGACAGCAAGTGCCACAGTGGGGCCTTCTCTAGGGCAGAGGAATCTTGGCACTGAGGCATGAGATCCTGGGGACATGAGGATCTTCTTGTCCTTCACCTTGGGGAGTAGGGCTGGCAGGAAACCTTTGCGCTTGCCCAGCCAGGGCTGTAAATACAAAGTCTTTGCCCCTTGTCACTCCTCATCTGTGCTTCTTCCAGCTCCCACCCACCCACCAACTACAACAGCGGCCACCCTTGAGCGTTTCACCATCAACTTCACCATCACCAACCTGCCCTACTCTTCTGACCTGGAGAATCCTGACTCAGCCAAGTTCAGAGATACTCGGAGAGATATGAACACTCTGGTAAGTTGACCAATGGTGGGACATTTCTGTGCCACCCCAAGTTGCAGAGAGTGCAGGTAGCAGGCCATGGCTTAATTGTAAAACCTCTTCCCTTGGCAGCTCGACCGCCTGCTGAAGGAAAGCAGCATTGGCCCTGATTTCCAGGGATGTGAGACAACAGGCTTCAGGTACGGGTCATCCTCAAGCGGCATTTTGCAGAACCCTTGCTTTAAGGTGTGGCCCTGTTGGTCCACTCCAGAAGAGTGTTATAGCCACTCTTGTAAATTTAGGATGATCTTCATTAGGTACTGCTGCAGCAGCACTTTCTTCTTAATGTCCCATGACTTAGAGCTGACCTTCAGTGCCTGTGCCTGTCCTCTTATGGAGGGGGCAGAATAGTCCCAAGATGACACAAAAGTTTGTCTGGACACTCTCCATCCTGAAAAGTCCTACAGCATTACTGCAAGGGGAGAGCAGTGTCCAACCACCACCAAGACTCTTCAGGAAGGCAGAGATTGCATTCCCACATGGGAATGGTCATGACAGGCCCAGAGTCCAGCTGTGATGAGATTATGTAAAGAGGAACATGCTGATGGAGGCCCCTGTGTTTTGCAGGCCGGGCAGCGACAGGGACCAGACCCGGGTGGACGCCGTGTGCACCTACAGCAAGGAGCCCTGGGCTGCGCCTTTGGACAGGGTGGGGCTGTACCACCAAGTGAGCAACAAGACCAGAGGCATCACCCAGCTGGGCCCCTACAGCCTGGACAAGGACAGCCTCTACGTCAACGGTGAGCGGCGCTCCTCCCTGGGCCTCCTCTGCTCTCCCATGGCAGCCCTGCCCCAGGGCTGCCCCTTGCCCAGCCCCAGCTCCTGACCCTCTGTCTCTCTCTTTCCCCAGGCTACAACGAGCAGCCAGTGCTGACCAGTGAGTACCTTGCAGGAACAGCAGGGGATGGAAGGCAGCAAGTGCAACACTGGGGTTTTCTTGTGGACAGTGGCGGATGGGGGCATGGGCATGAAATCCTGGGGACATGGGGATCCTCTCATCCTTCTCCTTTTGGAGCATGGCTGACAGGAAAGCTCTGAACCTTCACAGGCAGGTCTATAACAACCAAGTCTTTGCCCCTTGTCATCCCAATCTGTGCTTCTTCCAGCTCCCACCCACCCACCAACAACAACAGCGGCCACCCTTGAGCATTTCACCGTCAACTTCACCATCACCAACCTGCCCTACTCTTCTGACCTGGAGAATCCTGACTCAGCTAAATTCAAAGCTACACGAAGGGTGATGAACATGATGGTAGGTGAACCGCCACTGAGATACTGCTGTACCCTGTCTGGTCTCATCAGCTTGGAGCGAGTGCAGAGATATGGTCATGGCTTAACTGGGAAACCTTTTTTTCTGGCAGCTTGACCGCCTGCTGAAGGACAGCAGCATTGGCCCTGTTTTCCAAGGATGTGAAACAACAGATTTCAGGTATGGGTCATGATCAACTGTCCCTGCAGGACCCCTCACCAGATCCATAGGCTGTCTAAAATCACTGTCTGTCGGTGCTCAGCCTTTAGGCTGGGATGTCCACCTTGATACCCTCCTTCCTCAGAGTTTGCCATCTCCCGATGCTCTCATTAACACATGCTCGTATTGTTGTGTTAGTTGACTCTCCAGTCCTCCCTGAAAAACCATAAAAGCTCCAGAATCCAGCCTGAAGGCTGAATGTTCAGAGGAGGGTGCTGATGGAGGCCCCTGTGTTTTGCAGGCCAGGCAGCGACAGGGACCAGACCCGGGTGGACGCCGTGTGCACCTACAGCAAGGAGCCCTGGGCTGCGCCTTTGGACAGGGTGGGGCTGTACCACCAAGTGAGCAACAAGACCAGAGGCATCACCCAGCTGGGCCCCTACAGCCTGGACAAGGACAGCCTCTACGTCAACGGTGAGCGGCGCTCCTCCCTGGGCCTCCTCTGCTCTCCCATGGCAGCCCTGCCCCAGGGCTGCCCCTTGCCCAGCCCCAGCTCCTGACCCTCTGTCTCTCTCTTTCCCCAGGCTACAACGAGCAGCCAGTGCTGACCAGTGAGTACCTTGCAGGAACAGGAGGGGATGGAAGGCAGCAAGTGCAACACTGGGGTTTTCTTGTGGACAGTGGCGGATGGGGGCATGGGCATGAAATCCTGGGGACATGGGGATCCTCTCATCCTTCTCCTTTTGGAGCAGACCTGACAGGAAAGCTCTGAACCTTCACAGCCAGGTCTATAACAACCAAGTCTTTGCCCCTTGTCATCCCAATCTGTGCTTCTTCCAGCTCCCACCCACCCACCAACAACAACAGCGGCCACCCTTGAGCATTTCACCGTCAACTTCACCATCACCAACCTGCCCTACTCTTCTGACCTGGAGAATCCTGACTCAGCCAGGTTCAGAGATACTCGGAGAGATATGAACACTCTGGTAAGTTGACCAATGGTGGGACATTTCTGTGCCACCCCAAGTTGCAGAGAGTGCAGGTAGCAGGCCATGGCTTAATTGTAAAACCTCTTCCCTTGGCAGCTCGACCGCCTGCTGAAGGAAAGCAGCATTGGCCCTGATTTCCAGGGATGTGAGACAACAGGCTTCAGGTACGGGTCATCCTCAAGCGGCATTTTGCAGAACCCTTGCTTTAAGATGTGGCCCTGTTGGTCCACTCCAGAAGAGTGTTATAGCCACTCTTGTAAATTTAGGATGATCTTCATTAGGTACTGCTGCAGCAGCACTTTCTTCTTAATGTCCCATGACTTAGAGCTGACCTTCAGTGCCTGTCCTCTTATGGAGGGGGCAGAATAGTCCCAAGATGACACAAAAGTTTGTCTGGACACTCTCCATCCTGAAAAGTCCTACAGCATTACTGCAAGGGGAGAGCAGTGTCCAACCACCACCAAGACTCTTCAGGAAGGCAGAGATTGCATTCCCACATGGGAATGGCCATGACAGGCCCAGAGTCCAGCTGTGATGAGATTATGTAAAGAGGAACATGCTGATGGAGGCCCCTGTGTTTTGCAGGCCGGGCAGCGACAGGGACCAGACCCGGGTGGACGCCGTGTGCACCTACAGCAAGGAGCCCTGGGCTGCGCCTTTGGACAGGGTGGGGCTGTACCACCAAGTGAGCAACAAGACCAGAGGCATCACCCAGCTGGGCCCCTACAGCCTGGACAAGGACAGCCTCTACGTCAACGGTGAGCGGCGCTCCTCCCTGGGCCTCCTCTGCTCTCCCATGGCAGCCCTGCCCCAGGGCTGCCCCTTGCCCAGCCCCAGCTCCTGACCCTCTGTCTCTCTCTTTCCCCAGGCTACAACGAGCAGCCAGTGCTGACCAGTGAGTACCTTGCAGGAACAGGAGGGGATGGAAGGCAGCAAGTGCAACACTGGGGTTTTCTTGTGGACAGTGGCGGATGGGGGCATGGGCATGAAATCCTGGGGACATGGGGATCCTCTCATCCTTCTCCTTTTGGAGCATGGCTGACAGGAAAGCTCTGAACCTTCACAGGCAGGTCTATAACAACCAAGTCTTTGCCCCTTGTCATCCCAATCTGTGCTTCTTCCAGCTCCCACCCACCCACCAACAACAACAGCGGCCACCCTTGAGCATTTCACCGTCAACTTCACCATCACCAACCTGCCCTACTCTTCTGACCTGGAGAATCCTGACTCAGCCAGGTTCAGAGATACTCGGAGAGATATGAACACTCTGGTAAGTTGACCAATGGTGGGACATTTCTGTGCCACCCCAAGTTGCAGAGAGTGCAGGTAGCAGGCCATGGCTTAATTGTAAAACCTCTTCTCTTGGCAGCTCGACCGCCTGCTGAAGGAAAGCAGCATTGGCCCTGATTTCCAGGGATGTGAGACAACAGGCTTCAGGTACGGGTCATCCTCAAGCGGCATTTTGCAGAACCCTTGCTTTAAGATGTGGCCCTGTTGGTCCACTCCAGAAGAGTGTTATAGCCACTCTTGTAAATTTAGGATGATCTTCATTAGGTACTGCTGCAGCAGCACTTTCTTCTTAATGTCCCATGACTTAGAGCTGACCTTCAGTGCCTGTCCTCTTATGGAGGGGGCAGAATAGTCCCAAGATGACACAAAAGTTTGTCTGGACACTCTCCATCCTGAAAAGTCCTACAGCATTACTGCAAGGGGAGAGCAGTGTCCAACCACCACCAAGACTCTTCAGGAAGGCAGAGATTGCATTCCCACATGGGAATGGCCATGACAGGCCCAGAGTCCAGCTGTGATGAGATTATGTAAAGAGGAACATGCTGATGGAGGCCCCTGTGTTTTGCAGGCCGGGCAGCGACAGGGACCAGACCCGGGTGGACGCCGTGTGCACCTACAGCAAGGAGCCCTGGGCTGCGCCTTTGGACAGGGTGGGGCTGTACCACCAAGTGAGCAACAAGACCAGAGGCATCACCCAGCTGGGCCCCTACAGCCTGGACAAGGACAGCCTCTACGTCAACGGTGAGCGGCGCTCCTCCCTGGGCCTCCTCTGCTCTCCCATGGCAGCCCTGCCCCAGGGCTGCCCCTTGCCCAGCCCCAGCTCCTGACCCTCTGTCTCTCTCTTTCCCCAGGCTACAACGAGCAGCCAGTGCTGACCAGTGAGTACCTTGCAGGAACAGGAGGGGATGGAAGGCAGCAAGTGCAACACTGGGGTTTTCTTGTGGACAGTGGCGGATGGGGGCATGGGCATGAAATCCTGGGGACATGGGGATCCTCTCATCCTTCTCCTTTTGGAGCATGGCTGACAGGAAAGCTCTGAACCTTCACAGCCAGGTCTATAACAACCAAGTCTTTGCCCCTTGTCATCCCAATCTGTGCTTCTTCCAGCTCCCACCCACCCACCAACAACAACAGCGGCCACCCTTGAGCATTTCACCGTCAACTTCACCATCACCAACCTGCCCTACTCTTCTGACCTGGAGAATCCTGACTCAGCCAGGTTCAGAGATACTCGGAGAGATATGAACACTCTGGTAAGTTGACCAATGGTGGGACATTTCTGTGCCACCCCAAGTTGCAGAGAGTGCAGGTAGCAGGCCATGGCTTAATTGTAAAACCTCTTCCCTTGGCAGCTCGACGGCCTGCTGAAGGAAAGCAGCATTGGCCCTGATTTCCAGGGATGTGAGACAACAGGCTTCAGGTACGGGTCATCCTCAAGCGGCATTTTGCAGAACCCTTGCTTTAAGGTGTGGCCCTGTTGGTCCACTCCAGAAGAGTGTTATAGCCACTCTTGTAAATTTAGGATGATCTTCATTAGGTACTGCTGCAGCAGCACTTTCTTCTTAATGTCCCATGACTTAGAGCTGACCTTCAGTGCCTGTGCCTGTCCTCTTATGGAGGGGGCAGAATAGTCCCAAGATGACACAAAAGTTTGTCTGGACACTCTCCATCCTGAAAAGTCCTACAGCATTACTGCAAGGGGAGAGCAGTGTCCAACCACCACCAAGACTCTTCAGGAAGGCAGAGATTGCATTCCCACATGGGAATGGTCATGACAGGCCCAGAGTCCAGCTGTGATGAGATTATGTAAAGAGGAACATGCTGATGGAGGCCCCTGTGTTTTGCAGGCCGGGCAGCGACAGGGACCAGACCCGGGTGGACGCCGTGTGCACCTACAGCAAGGAGCCCTGGGCTGCGCCTTTGGACAGGGTGGGGCTGTACCACCAAGTGAGCAACAAGACCAGAGGCATCACCCAGCTGGGCCCCTACAGCCTGGACAAGGACAGCCTCTACGTCAACGGTGAGCGGCGCTCCTCCCTGGGCCTCCTCTGCTCTCCCATGGCAGCCCTGCCCCAGGGCTGCCCCTTGCCCAGCCCCAGCTCCTGACCCTCTGTCTCTCTCTTTCCCCAGGCTACAACGAGCAGCCAGTGCTGACCAGTGAGTACCTTGCAGGAACAGCAGGGGATGGAAGGCAGCAAGTGCAACACTGGGGTTTTCTTGTGGACAGTGGCGGATGGGGGCATGGGCATGAAATCCTGGGGACATGGGGATCCTCTCATCCTTCTCCTTTTGGAGCATGGCTGACAGGAAAGCTCTGAACCTTCACAGGCAGGTCTATAACAACCAAGTCTTTGCCCCTTGTCATCCCAATCTGTGCTTCTTCCAGCTCCCACCCACCCACCAACAACAACAGCGGCCACCCTTGAGCATTTCACCGTCAACTTCACCATCACCAACCTGCCCTACTCTTCTGACCTGGAGAATCCTGACTCAGCTAAATTCAAAGCTACACGAAGGGTGATGAACATGATGGTAGGTGAACCGCCACTGAGATACTGCTGTACCCTGTCTGGTCTCATCAGCTTGGAGCGAGTGCAGAGATATGGTCATGGCTTAACTGGGAAACCTTTTTTTCTGGCAGCTTGACCGCCTGCTGAAGGACAGCAGCATTGGCCCTGTTTTCCAAGGATGTGAAACAACAGATTTCAGGTATGGGTCATGATCAACTGTCCCTGCAGGACCCCTCACCAGATCCATAGGCTGTCTAAAATCACTGTCTGTCGGTGCTCAGCCTTTAGGCTGGGATGTCCACCTTGATACCCTCCTTCCTCAGAGTTTGCCATCTCCCGATGCTCTCATTAACACATGCTCGTATTGTTGTGTTAGTTGACTCTCCAGTCCTCCCTGAAAAACCATAAAAGCTCCAGAATCCAGCCTGAAGGCTGAATGTTCAGAGGAGGGTGCTGATGGAGGCCCCTGTGTTTTGCAGGCCAGGCAGCGACAGGGACCAGACCCGGGTGGACGCCGTGTGCACCTACAGCAAGGAGCCCTGGGCTGCGCCTTTGGACAGGGTGGGGCTGTACCACCAAGTGAGCAACAAGACCAGAGGCATCACCCAGCTGGGCCCCTACAGCCTGGACAAGGACAGCCTCTACGTCAACGGTGAGCGGCGCTCCTCCCTGGGCCCCCTCTGCTCTCCCATGGCAGCCCTGCCCCAGGGCTGCCCCTTGCCCAGCCCCAGCTCCTGACCCTCTGTCTCTCTCTTTCCCCAGGCTACAACGAGCAGCCAGTGCTGACCAGTGAGTACCTTGCAGGAACAGGAGGGGATGGAAGGCAGCAAGTGCAACACTGGGGTTTTCTTGTGGACAGTGGCGGATGGGGGCATGGGCATGAAATCCTGGGGACATGGGGATCCTCTCATCCTTCTCCTTTTGGAGCAGACCTGACAGGAAAGCTCTGAACCTTCACAGGCAGGTCTATAACAACCAAGTCTTTGCCCCTTGTCATCCCAATCTGTGCTTCTTCCAGCTCCCACCCACCCACCAACAACAACAGCGGCCACCCTTGAGCATTTCACCGTCAACTTCACCATCACCAACCTGCCCTACTCTTCTGACCTGGAGAATCCTGACTCAGCCAGGTTCAGAGATACTCGGAGAGATATGAACACTCTGGTAAGTTGACCAATGGTGGGACATTTCTGTGCCACCCCAAGTTGCAGAGAGTGCAGGTAGCAGGCCATGGCTTAATTGTAAAACCTCTTCCCTTGGCAGCTCGACCGCCTGCTGAAGGAAAGCAGCATTGGCCCTGATTTCCAGGGATGTGAGACAACAGGCTTCAGGTACGGGTCATCCTCAAGCGGCATTTTGCAGAACCCTTGCTTTAAGATGTGGCCCTGTTGGTCCACTCCAGAAGAGTGTTATAGCCACTCTTGTAAATTTAGGATGATCTTCATTAGGTACTGCTGCAGCAGCACTTTCTTCTTAATGTCCCATGACTTAGAGCTGACCTTCAGTGCCTGTCCTCTTATGGAGGGGGCAGAATAGTCCCAAGATGACACAAAAGTTTGTCTGGACACTCTCCATCCTGAAAAGTCCTACAGCATTACTGCAAGGGGAGAGCAGTGTCCAACCACAACCAAGACTCTTCAGGAAGGCAGAGATTGCATTCCCACATGGGAATGGCCATGACAGGCCCAGAGTCCAGCTGTGATGAGATTATGTAAAGAGGAACATGCTGATGGAGGCCCCTGTGTTTTGCAGGCCGGGCAGCGACAGGGACCAGACCCGGGTGGACGCCGTGTGCACCTACAGCAAGGAGCCCTGGGCTGCGCCTTTGGACAGGGTGGGGCTGTACCACCAAGTGAGCAACAAGACCAGAGGCATCACCCAGCTGGGCCCCTACAGCCTGGACAAGGACAGCCTCTACGTCAACGGTGAGCGGCGCTCCTCCCTGGGCCTCCTCTGCTCTCCCATGGCAGCCCTGCCCCAGGGCTGCCCCTTGCCCAGCCCCAGCTCCTGACCCTCTGTCTCTCTCTTTCCCCAGGCTACAACGAGCAGCCAGTGCTGACCAGTGAGTACCTTGCAGGAACAGGAGGGGATGGAAGGCAGCAAGTGCAACACTGGGGTTTTCTTGTGGACAGTGGCGGATGGGGGCATGGGCATGAAATCCTGGGGACATGGGGATCCTCTCATCCTTCTCCTTTTGGAGCATGGCTGACAGGAAAGCTCTGAACCTTCACAGCCAGGTCTATAACAACCAAGTCTTTGCCCCTTGTCATCCCAATCTGTGCTTCTTCCAGCTCCCACCCACCCACCAACAACAACAGCGGCCACCCTTGAGCATTTCACCGTCAACTTCACCATCACCAACCTGCCCTACTCTTCTGACCTGGAGAATCCTGACTCAGCCAGGTTCAGAGATACTCGGAGAGATATGAACACTCTGGTAAGTTGACCAATGGTGGGACATTTCTGTGCCACCCCAAGTTGCAGAGAGTGCAGGTAGCAGGCCATGGCTTAATTGTAAAACCTCTTCTCTTGGCAGCTCGACCGCCTGCTGAAGGAAAGCAGCATTGGCCCTGATTTCCAGGGATGTGAGACAACAGGCTTCAGGTACGGGTCATCCTCAAGCGGCATTTTGCAGAACCCTTGCTTTAAGATGTGGCCCTGTTGGTCCACTCCAGAAGAGTGTTATAGCCACTCTTGTAAATTTAGGATGATCTTCATTAGGTACTGCTGCAGCAGCACTTTCTTCTTAATGTCCCATGACTTAGAGCTGACCTTCAGTGCCTGTCCTCTTATGGAGGGGGCAGAATAGTCCCAAGATGACACAAAAGTTTGTCTGGACACTCTCCATCCTGAAAAGTCCTACAGCATTACTGCAAGGGGAGAGCAGTGTCCAACCACCACCAAGACTCTTCAGGAAGGCAGAGATTGCATTCCCACATGGGAATGGCCATGACAGGCCCAGAGTCCAGCTGTGATGAGATTATGTAAAGAGGAACATGCTGATGGAGGCCCCTGTGTTTTGCAGGCCGGGCAGCGACAGGGACCAGACCCGGGTGGACGCCGTGTGCACCTACAGCAAGGAGCCCTGGGCTGCGCCTTTGGACAGGGTGGGGCTGTACCACCAAGTGAGCAACAAGACCAGAGGCATCACCCAGCTGGGCCCCTACAGCCTGGACAAGGACAGCCTCTACGTCAACGGTGAGCGGCGCTCCTCCCTGGGCCTCCTCTGCTCTCCCATGGCAGCCCTGCCCCAGGGCTGCCCCTTGCCCAGCCCCAGCTCCTGACCCTCTGTCTCTCTCTTTCCCCAGGCTACAACGAGCAGCCAGTGCTGACCAGTGAGTACCTTGCAGGAACAGGAGGGGATGGAAGGCAGCAAGTGCAACACTGGGGTTTTCTTGTGGACAGTGGCGGATGGGGGCATGGGCATGAAATCCTGGGGACATGGGGATCCTCTCATCCTTCTCCTTTTGGAGCATGGCTGACAGGAAAGCTCTGAACCTTCACAGCCAGGTCTATAACAACCAAGTCTTTGCCCCTTGTCATCCCAATCTGTGCTTCTTCCAGCTCCCACCCACCCACCAACAACAACAGCGGCCACCCTTGAGCATTTCACCGTCAACTTCACCATCACCAACCTGCCCTACTCTTCTGACCTGGAGAATCCTGACTCAGCCAGGTTCAGAGATACTCGGAGAGATATGAACACTCTGGTAAGTTGACCAATGGTGGGACATTTCTGTGCCACCCCAAGTTGCAGAGAGTGCAGGTAGCAGGCCATGGCTTAATTGTAAAACCTCTTCCCTTGGCAGCTCGACCGCCTGCTGAAGGAAAGCAGCATTGGCCCTGATTTCCAGGGATGTGAGACAACAGGCTTCAGGTACGGGTCATCCTCAAGCGGCATTTTGCAGAACCCTTGCTTTAAGATGTGGCCCTGTTGGTCCACTCCAGAAGAGTGTTATAGCCACTCTTGTAAATTTAGGATGATCTTCATTAGGTACTGCTGCAGCAGCACTTTCTTCTTAATGTCCCATGACTTAGAGCTGACCTTCAGTGCCTGTCCTCTTATGGAGGGGGCAGAATAGTCCCAAGATGACACAAAAGTTTGTCTGGACACTCTCCATCCTGAAAAGTCCTACAGCATTACTGCAAGGGGAGAGCAGTGTCCAACCACCACCAAGACTCTTCAGGAAGGCAGAGATTGCATTCCCACATGGGAATGGCCATGACAGGCCCAGAGTCCAGCTGTGATGAGATTATGTAAAGAGGAACATGCTGATGGAGGCCCCTGTGTTTTGCAGGCCGGGCAGCGACAGGGACCAGACCCGGGTGGACGCCGTGTGCACCTACAGCAAGGAGCCCTGGGCTGCGCCTTTGGACAGGGTGGGGCTGTACCACCAAGTGAGCAACAAGACCAGAGGCATCACCCAGCTGGGCCCCTACAGCCTGGACAAGGACAGCCTCTACGTCAACGGTGAGCGGCGCTCCTCCCTGGGCCTCCTCTGCTCTCCCATGGCAGCCCTGCCCCAGGGCTGCCCCTTGCCCAGCCCCAGCTCCTGACCCTCTGTCTCTCTCTTTCCCCAGGCTACAACGAGCAGCCAGTGCTGACCAGTGAGTACCTTGCAGGAACAGGAGGGGATGGAAGGCAGCAAGTGCAACACTGGGGTTTTCTTGTGGACAGTGGCGGATGGGGGCATGGGCATGAAATCCTGGGGACATGGGGATCCTCTCATCCTTCTCCTTTTGGAGCATGGCTGACAGGAAAGCTCTGAACCTTCACAGCCAGGTCTATAACAACCAAGTCTTTGCCCCTTGTCATCCCAATCTGTGCTTCTTCCAGCTCCCACCCACCCACCAACAACAACAGCGGCCACCCTTGAGCATTTCACCGTCAACTTCACCATCACCAACCTGCCCTACTCTTCTGACCTGGAGAATCCTGACTCAGCTAAATTCAAAGCTACACGAAGGGTGATGAACATGATGGTAGGTGAACCGCCACTGAGATACTGCTGTACCCTGTCTGGTCTCATCAGCTTGGAGCGAGTGCAGAGATATGGTCATGGCTTAACTGGGAAACCTGTTTTTCTGGCAGCTTGACCGCCTGCTGATGGACAGCAGCATTGGCCCTGTTTTCCAAGGATGTGAAACAACAGATTTCAGGTATGGGTCATGATCAACTGTCCCTGCAGGACCCCTCACCAGATCCATAGGCTGTCTAAAATCACTGTCTGTCGGTGCTCAGCCTTTAGGCTGGGATGTCCACCTTGATACCCTCCTTCCTCAGAGTTTGCCATCTCCCGATGCTCTCATTAACACATGCTCGTATTGTTGTGTTAGTTGACTCTCCAGTCCTCCCTGAAAAACCATAAAAGCTCCAGAATCCAGCCTGAAGGCTGAATGTTCAGAGGAGGGTGCTGATGGAGGCCCCTGTGTTTTGCAGGCCAGGCAGCGACAGGGACCAGACCCGGGTGGACGCCGTGTGCACCTACAGCAAGGAGCCCTGGGCTGCGCCTTTGGACAGGGTGGGGCTGTACCACCAAGTGAGCAACAAGACCAGAGGCATCACCCAGCTGGGCCCCTACAGCCTGGACAAGGACAGCCTCTACGTCAACGGTGAGCGGCGCTCCTCCCTGGGCCTCCTCTGCTCTCCCATGGCAGCCCTGCCCCAGGGCTGCCCCTTGCCCAGCCCCAGCTCCTGACCCTCTGTCTCTCTCTTTCCCCAGGCTACAACGAGCAGCCAGTGCTGACCAGTGAGTACCTTGCAGGAACAGGAGGGGATGGAAGGCAGCAAGTGCAACACTGGGGTTTTCTTGTGGACAGTGGCGGATGGGGGCATGGGCATGAAATCCTGGGGACATGGGGATCCTCTCATCCTTCTCCTTTTGGAGCATGGCTGACAGGAAAGCTCTGAACCTTCACAGCCAGGTCTATAACAACCAAGTCTTTGCCCCTTGTCATCCCAATCTGTGCTTCTTCCAGCTCCCACCCACCCACCAACAACAACAGCGGCCACCCTTGAGCATTTCACCGTCAACTTCACCATCACCAACCTGCCCTACTCTTCTGACCTGGAGAATCCTGACTCAGCCAGGTTCAGAGATACTCGGAGAGATATGAACACTCTGGTAAGTTGACCAATGGTGGGACATTTCTGTGCCACCCCAAGTTGCAGAGAGTGCAGGTAGCAGGCCATGGCTTAATTGTAAAACCTCTTCTCTTGGCAGCTCGACCGCCTGCTGAAGGAAAGCAGCATTGGCCCTGATTTCCAGGGATGTGAGACAACAGGCTTCAGGTACGGGTCATCCTCAAGCGGCATTTTGCAGAACCCTTGCTTTAAGATGTGGCCCTGTTGGTCCACTCCAGAAGAGTGTTATAGCCACTCTTGTAAATTTAGGATGATCTTCATTAGGTACTGCTGCAGCAGCACTTTCTTCTTAATGTCCCATGACTTAGAGCTGACCTTCAGTGCCTGTCCTCTTATGGAGGGGGCAGAATAGTCCCAAGATGACACAAAAGTTTGTCTGGACACTCTCCATCCTGAAAAGTCCTACAGCATTACTGCAAGGGGAGAGCAGTGTCCAACCACCACCAAGACTCTTCAGGAAGGCAGAGATTGCATTCCCACATGGGAATGGCCATGACAGGCCCAGAGTCCAGCTGTGATGAGATTATGTAAAGAGGAACATGCTGATGGAGGCCCCTGTGTTTTGCAGGCCGGGCAGCGACAGGGACCAGACCCGGGTGGACGCCGTGTGCACCTACAGCAAGGAGCCCTGGGCTGCGCCTTTGGACAGGGTGGGGCTGTACCACCAAGTGAGCAACAAGACCAGAGGCATCACCCAGCTGGGCCCCTACAGCCTGGACAAGGACAGCCTCTACGTCAACGGTGAGCGGCGCTCCTCCCTGGGCCTCCTCTGCTCTCCCATGGCAGCCCTGCCCCAGGGCTGCCCCTTGCCCAGCCCCAGCTCCTGACCCTCTGTCTCTCTCTTTCCCCAGGCTACAACGAGCAGCCAGTGCTGACCAGTGAGTACCTTGCAGGAACAGGAGGGGATGGAAGGCAGCAAGTGCAACACTGGGGTTTTCTTGTGGACAGTGGCGGATGGGGGCATGGGCATGAAATCCTGGGGACATGGGGATCCTCTCATCCTTCTCCTTTTGGAGCATGGCTGACAGGAAAGCTCTGAACCTTCACAGCCAGGTCTATAACAACCAAGTCTTTGCCCCTTGTCATCCCAATCTGTGCTTCTTCCAGCTCCCACCCACCCACCAACAACAACAGCGGCCACCCTTGAGCATTTCACCGTCAACTTCACCATCACCAACCTGCCCTACTCTTCTGACCTGGAGAATCCTGACTCAGCCAGGTTCAGAGATACTCGGAGAGATATGAACACTCTGGTAAGTTGACCAATGGTGGGACATTTCTGTGCCACCCCAAGTTGCAGAGAGTGCAGGTAGCAGGCCATGGCTTAATTGTAAAACCTCTTCTCTTGGCAGCTCGACCGCCTGCTGAAGGAAAGCAGCATTGGCCCTGATTTCCAGGGATGTGAGACAACAGGCTTCAGGTACGGGTCATCCTCAAGCGGCATTTTGCAGAACCCTTGCTTTAAGATGTGGCCCTGTTGGTCCACTCCAGAAGAGTGTTATAGCCACTCTTGTAAATTTAGGATGATCTTCATTAGGTACTGCTGCAGCAGCACTTTCTTCTTAATGTCCCATGACTTAGAGCTGACCTTCAGTGCCTGTCCTCTTATGGAGGGGGCAGAATAGTCCCAAGATGACACAAAAGTTTGTCTGGACACTCTCCATCCTGAAAAGTCCTACAGCATTACTGCAAGGGGAGAGCAGTGTCCAACCACCACCAAGACTCTTCAGGAAGGCAGAGATTGCATTCCCACATGGGAATGGCCATGACAGGCCCAGAGTCCAGCTGTGATGAGATTATGTAAAGAGGAACATGCTGATGGAGGCCCCTGTGTTTTGCAGGCCGGGCAGCGACAGGGACCAGACCCGGGTGGACGCCGTGTGCACCTACAGCAAGGAGCCCTGGGCTGCGCCTTTGGACAGGGTGGGGCTGTACCACCAAGTGAGCAACAAGACCAGAGGCATCACCCAGCTGGGCCCCTACAGCCTGGACAAGGACAGCCTCTACGTCAACGGTGAGCGGCGCTCCTCCCTGGGCCCCCTCTGCTCTCCCATGGCAGCCCTGCCCCAGGGCTGCCCCTTGCCCAGCCCCAGCTCCTGACCCTCTGTCTCTCTCTTTCCCCAGGCTACAACGAGCAGCCAGTGCTGACCAGTGAGTACCTTGCAGGAACAGGAGGGGATGGAAGGCAGCAAGTGCAACACTGGGGTTTTCTTGTGGACAGTGGCGGATGGGGGCATGGGCATGAAATCCTGGGGACATGGGGATCCTCTCATCCTTCTCCTTTTGGAGCATGGCTGACAGGAAAGCTCTGAACCTTCACAGCCAGGTCTATAACAACCAAGTCTTTGCCCCTTGTCATCCCAATCTGTGCTTCTTCCAGCTCCCACCCACCCACCAACAACAACAGCGGCCACCCTTGAGCATTTCACCGTCAACTTCACCATCACCAACCTGCCCTACTCTTCTGACCTGGAGAATCCTGACTCAGCCAGGTTCAGAGATACTCGGAGAGATATGAACACTCTGGTAAGTTGACCAATGGTGGGACATTTCTGTGCCACCCCAAGTTGCAGAGAGTGCAGGTAGCAGGCCATGGCTTAATTGTAAAACCTCTTCCCTTGGCAGCTCGACCGCCTGCTGAAGGAAAGCAGCATTGGCCCTGATTTCCAGGGATGTGAGACAACAGGCTTCAGGTACGGGTCATCCTCAAGCGGCATTTTGCAGAACCCTTGCTTTAAGATGTGGCCCTGTTGGTCCACTCCAGAAGAGTGTTATAGCCACTCTTGTAAATTTAGGATGATCTTCATTAGGTACTGCTGCAGCAGCACTTTCTTCTTAATGTCCCATGACTTAGAGCTGACCTTCAGTGCCTGTCCTCTTATGGAGGGGGCAGAATAGTCCCAAGATGACACAAAAGTTTGTCTGGACACTCTCCATCCTGAAAAGTCCTACAGCATTACTGCAAGGGGAGAGCAGTGTCCAACCACCACCAAGACTCTTCAGGAAGGCAGAGATTGCATTCCCACATGGGAATGGCCATGACAGGCCCAGAGTCCAGCTGTGATGAGATTATGTAAAGAGGAACATGCTGATGGAGGCCCCTGTGTTTTGCAGGCCGGGCAGCGACAGGGACCAGACCCGGGTGGACGCCGTGTGCACCTACAGCAAGGAGCCCTGGGCTGCGCCTTTGGACAGGGTGGGGCTGTACCACCAAGTGAGCAACAAGACCAGAGGCATCACCCAGCTGGGCCCCTACAGCCTGGACAAGGACAGCCTCTACGTCAACGGTGAGCGGCGCTCCTCCCTGGGCCTCCTCTGCTCTCCCATGGCAGCCCTGCCCCAGGGCTGCCTCTTGCCCAGCCCCAGCTCCTGACCCTCTGTCTCTCTCTTTCCCCAGGCTACAACGAGCAGCCAGTGCTGACCAGTGAGTACCTTGCAGGAACAGGAAGGGATCAGAAGGCAGTACCTGCCATACTGGGGTTTTCTTGTGGACAAGAGCCGTTGGGGGCATGGGCATGAGATCATGGCGACATGGGGATCCTCTCATCCTTCCCCTTGTGGAGCATGGCTGGCTGGAAACCTCTGAACTTGCCCAGCCAGGGCTGTAAAAACCAAGCCATTGCTCCTTGTCACTCCCCATCTGTGCTTCTTCCAGCTCCCACCCACCCACCAACTACAACAGCTGCCACCCTTGAGCATTTCACCGTCAACTTCACCATCACCAACCTGCCCTACTCTTCTGACCTGGAGAATCCTGACTCGGCCAAGTTCAGAGCTACACGAAGGGTTATGAACACCCTGGTAAGTCGACCATCAGTGGGACATACTCATGTCCTTATTGTACTCATAAAGTTCAATTGAGTGCTGAAAGCAGCTCATGGCTTAACTGGGAAACCTGTTTTTTTGGCAGCTTGACCGCCTGCTGAAGGACAGCAGCATTGGCCCTGCTTTCCATGGATGTGAAACAACAGATTTCAGGTATGGATTGCACACCAGTGTCCCTTTCTAAGTCCCTCCATCATAAATGGATCAGTCATGTTCATGTTGTCCTCTTTCCGGAGGCAGGACCTTCTCACTAGTGCTCTTGTGCCCAAAGACCGCTAAGATTTCCAACTTTGCCAGACATTCTTTTCAGTGCCTATTCACTCATCTCAAGGTGCTCAAGGTGCTTATAGTCAAACCTTGAGAAGAATTCTGGTGTGGTCTTGCTCACATGTTCCTGAAAAGGACCTGGAATATTAGTAAAGATGGAGAGCAGAGACTGAAAAAAAAAAAAGTGATATTTTGGGAGGGCCAAGCTTGCATTCCAACTCAGAGTTGGCAATGGCAGGTCCAACACCCACCCCTGAAGAGAGAATATGCAGAGGAGGGTGCTGATGGAGGCCCCTGTGTTTTGCAGGCCGGGCAGCGACAGGGACCAGACCCGGGTGGACGCCGTGTGCACCTACAGCAAGGAGCCCTGGGCTGCGCCTTTGGACAGGGTGGGGCTGTACCACCAAGTGAGCAACAAGACCAGAGGCATCACCCAGCTGGGCCCCTACAGCCTGGACAAGGACAGCCTCTACGTCAACGGTGAGCGGCGCTCCTCCCTGGGCCTCCTCTGCTCTCCCATGGCAGCCCTGCCCCAGGGCTGCCTCTTGCCCAGCCCCAGCTCCTGACCCTCTGTCTCTCTCTTTCCCCAGGCTACAACGAGCAGCCAGTGCTGACCAGTGAGTACCTTGCAGGAACAGGAAGGGATCAGAAGGCAGTACCTGCCATACTGGGGTTTTCTTGTGGACAAGAGCCGTTGGGGGCATGGGCATGAAATCCTGGGGACATGGGGATCCTCTCATCCTTCTCCTTTTGGAGCATGGCTGACAGGAAAGCTCTGAACCTTCACAGCCAGGTCTATAACAACCAAGTCTTTGCCCCTTGTCATCCCAATCTGTGCTTCTTCCAGCTCCCACCCACCCACCAACAACAACAGCGGCCACCCTTGAGCATTTCACCGTCAACTTCACCATCACCAACCTGCCCTACTCTTCTGACCTGGAGAATCCTGACTCAGCTAAATTCAAAGCTACACGAAGGGTGATGAACATGATGGTAGGTGAACCGCCACTGAGATACTGCTGTACCCTGTCTGGTCTCATCAGCTTGGAGCGAGTGCAGAGATATGGTCATGGCTTAACTGGGAAACCTGTTTTTCTGGCAGCTTGACCGCCTGCTGAAGGACAGCAGCATTGGCCCTGTTTTCCAAGGATGTGAAACAACAGATTTCAGGTATGGGTCATGATCAACTGTCCCTGCAGGACCCCTCACCAGATCCATAGGCTGTCTAAAATCCACAGTATGTCGGTGCTCAGCCTTTAGGCTGGGATGTCCACCTTGATACCCTCCTTCCTCAGAGTTTGCCATCTCCCAATGCTCTCATTAACACATGCTCGTATTGTTGTGTTAGTTGACTCTCCAGTCCTCCCTGAAAAACCATAAAAGCTCCAGAATCCAGCCTGAAGGCTGAATGTTCAGAGGAGGGTGCTCATGGAGGCTCCTGTGTTTTGCAGGCCGGGCAGCGACAGGGACCAGACCCGGGTGGACGCCGTGTGCACCTACAGCAAGGAGCCCTGGGCTGCGCCTTTGGACAGGGTGGGGCTGTACCACCAAGTGAGCAACAAGACCAGAGGCATCACCCAGCTGGGCCCCTACAGCCTGGACAAGGACAGCCTCTACATCAACGGTGAGCGGCGCTCCTCCCTGGGCCTCCTCTGCTCTCCCATGGCAGCCCTGCCCCAGTGCTGCCCCTTGCCCAGCCCCAGCTCCTGACCCTCTGTCTCTCTCTTTCCCCAGGCTACAACGAGCAGCCAGTGCTGACCAGTGAGTACCTTGCAGGAACAGGAAGGGATCAGAAGGCAGTACCTGCCATACTGGGGTTTTCTTGTGGACAGGAGCCGTTGGGGGCATGGGCATGAGATCCTGGGAACATGGGGATCCTCTCATCCTTCCCCTTGTGGAGCATGGCTGGCACGAAACCTCTGAACTTGCCCAGCCAGGGCTGTAAAAACCAAGCCATTGCTCCTTGTCATTCCCCATCTGTGCTTCTTCCAGCTCCCACCCACCCACCAACTACAACAGCTGCCACCCTTGAGCATTTCACCGTCAACTTCACCATCACCAACCTGCCCTACTCTTCTGACCTGGAGAATCCTGACTCGGCCAAGTTCAGAGCTACACGAAGGGTTATGAACACCCTGGTAAGTCGACCATCAGTGGGACATACTCATGTCCTTATTGTATTCATAAAGTTCAATTGAGTGCAGAAAGCAGCTCATGGCTTAACTGGGAAACCTCTTCCATTGGCAGCTTGACCGCCTGCTGAAGGACAGCAGCATTGGCCCTGCTTTCCATGGATGTGAAACAACAGATTTCAGGTATGGATTGCACACCAGTGTCCGTTCTAAGTCCCTCCATCATAAATGGATCAGTCATGTTCATGTTGTCCTCTTTCCGGAGGCAGGAACTTCTTTCTAGTGCTCTCATGCCCAAAGACCTCTGTGATTTCCAACTTTTACCAGACATTTTCTTTACTGCCTATTCACTCATCTCAAGGTGCTTATAGTCAAACCTTGAGAAGAATTCTGTTGTGGTCTTGCTCACTTGTTCCTGAAAAGGACCTGGAATATTAGTAAAGATGGAGAGCAGAGACTGAAAAAAATAAAAATGATATTTTGGGAGGGCCAAGCTTGCATTCCAACTCAGAGTTGGCAATGGCAGGTCCAACACCCACCCCTGAAGAGAGAATATGCAGAGGAGGATGCTGATGGAGGTCCCTGTGTTTTGCAGGCCGGGCAGCGACAGGGACCAGACCCGGGTGGACGCCGTGTGCACCTACAGCAAAGAGCCCTGGGCTGCGCCTTTGGACAGGGTGGGGCTGTACCACCAAGTGAGCAACAAGACCAGAGGCATCACCCAGCTGGGCCCCTACAGCCTGGACAAGGACAGCCTCTACGTCAACGGTGAGCGGCGCTCCTCCCTGGGCCTCCTCTGCTCTCCCATGGCAGCCCTGCCCCAGGGCTGCCCCTTGCCCAGCCCCAGCTCCTGACCCTCTGTCTCTCTCTTTCCCCAGACTACAACGAGCAGCCAGTGCTGACCAGTGAGTACCTGGGAGCAGCGGGATGGTTTTACAGGACCGCAACTGCCATACTGTGGTCTTCTGTAGGGCGGAGGAAACTTGGGCCTGGATCATGAGATCCTGGGGGCATGAGGATCTTCCTGCCCTTCCCAGTGGGGAACTGGGCAGGCAAGAAACCTCTGCACTTGCCCAGCCAGGGCTGTAAAAACCAATCCATTGCTCCTCTTCAGTCCCCATCTGTGCTTCTTCCAGCTCCCACCCACCCACCAACAACAACAGCTGCCACCCTTGAGCATTTCACCGTCAACTTCACCATCACCAACCTGCCCTACACTTCTGACCTGGAGAATCCTGACTCGGCCAGGTTCAGAGCTACTCGGAGAGTTATGAACACCCTGGTACGTGGATCAGGACCGACCCATATCCTTGCCCTCGTTGGCCTCATCAGCTTGGGGGGATTATAGAGAGACATGGTCATGGCCTAACTAGGAGACCTCTTCCCATTGCAGCTGGACCGCCTGCTGAAGGACAGCAGCATTGGCCCTGTGTTCCAAGGATGTGAAGCAACAGACTTCAGGTATGAACTGCACTCCAGTGGTTTTTTGTAAGGACATCCCTCAGATAATTGTGGCAGTCATGCATACGTTCGTTTCCTTAATGCATACAGCATCTTCTCCATAATTCCCTCCTTCACCTCTACCTTATCCCTGATGTCCTTCTCTCTGAGAGATCCCCTGCATTTCCTTTACCCTCACCTTGGGGTGCTAAGGTCCTACCCCAAGACGATTCTGAATAGCTTCCAGGTGCTCTTCTTCCAAAAGAACACCAGAGAATAAGTGATGGTTGTGGGCAGTGCCGGACCTTGGCACACATATCTTGAGAAGGCATAGCTTGGTTTCACATAGAGGAATGACCATGGTAGCCCCATGACCATGGCATGTGGAGACAATGTGCAGAGGAGGTTGCTGATGGAGGCCCCTGTGTTTTGCAGGCCGGGCAGCGACAGGGACCAGACCCGGGTGGACGCCGTGTGCACCTACAGCAAGGAGCCCTGGGCTGCGCCTTTGGACAGGGTGGGGCTGTACCACCAAGTGAGCAACAAGACCAGAGGCATCACCCAGCTGGGCCCCTACAGCCTGGACAAGGACAGCCTCTACGTCAACGGTGAGCGGCGCTCCTCCCTGGGCCTCCTCTGCTCTCCCATGGCAGCCCTGCCCCAGGGCTGCCCCTTGCCCAGCCCCAGCTCCTGACCCTCTGTCTCTCTCTTTCCCCAGGCTACAACGAGCAGCCAGTGCTGACCAGTGAGTACCTTGCAGGAGCGGGATGGGGTCACAAGACAGCAAGTGCCTCAAACTGGTCTCCTCTGTTGTGGTCAAGCCTGGGATGGGCCATGAGACCCTGGGGAAAGGGAGAGCCTGCCTTCCATCCACATGGATAATACAGCTGGCAGGGAACTTTTGTGTTTGTCCAAATATACCCTGGAAATTCCAGCTCCTGATTCTTCTCATTCCCCATCTGTGCTCCTTCCAGCTCCCACCCACCCACCAACAACCACAGCTGCCACCCTTGAGCGTTTCACCGTCAACTTCACCATCACCAACCTGCCCTACACTTCTGACCTGGAGAATCCTGACTCAGCCAGGATCAGAGCTACACGAAGGGTTATGAACATGCTGGTAGGTGGATCAACACTGAGCCATATCCTTGACCTCAATAACCTCATCAGCCTGGAAGCTGTGCAGAGTTGGCTACTGCATAATTCTAAAACTTTCCTTTGGCAGCTGGACCGCCTACTGAAGGAAAGCAGCATTGGCCCTGCTTTCCAGGGATGTGAAACAACAGACTTCAGGTATGGGTTCCACCTAGGCATCCCTTTGAAGAGTCCAGGACCTGGACAAAGAATACTGATTTTCTCCTTTTATATGGAGGCAGGATTGTCTTGCTAATGCTTTCCTGCTCCAGGATATTGTCCATGAAGCCATTTCCTCTTAGTAGTACCACTCTAAGCCCTTGCTCTCATCTTGGCATTTTGTGCCTTAGATAATTTAGGAAACTCAAGAATATGTTTAAAGTGTTTCGACACACTCTTCTAAATCCCAGAGCATTAGTGAAGATGAAGAATAGTATCTGCCACAAAACGCACACACATTGTGGGAAGGCAGGCCTGGCATTTCAAGTTACAAATGGCTACGAAAGCACCAAGACCCAACAAAGACCCATTCTCCTTGAAGTGAGAACATGCAGAGGAGGGAGCTGATGGAGGTCCCTGTGATTTGCAGGCCAGGCAGTGACAGGGACCAGACCCGGGTGGACGCCGTGTGCACCTACAGCAAGGAGCCCTGGGCTGCGCCTTTGGACAGGGTGGGGCTGTACCACCAAGTGAGCAACAAGACCAGAGGCATCACCCAGCTGGGCCCCTACAGCCTGGACAAGGACAGCCTCTACGTCAACGGTGAGCGGCGCTCCTCCCTGGGCCTCCTCTGCTCTCCCATGGCAGCCCTGCCCCAGTGCTGCCTCTTGCCCAGCCCCAGCTCCTGACCCTCTGTCTCTCTCTTTCCCCAGACTACAACGAGCAGCCAGTGCTGACCAGTGAGTACCTGGGAGCAGCGGGATGGTTTTACAGGACCGCAACTGCCATACTGTGGTCTTCTGTAGGGCGGAGGAAACTTGGGCCTGGATCATGAGATCCTGGGGGCATGAGGATCTTCCTGCCCTTCCCAGTGGGGAACTGGGCAGGCAAGAAACCTCTGCACTTGTCCAGCCAGGACTGTAACAACCAAGTCTTTGCCCTTTGTCACTCCCCCTCTGTGCTTCTTCCAGCTCCCACCCACCCACCAACAACCACCGCTGCCACCCTTGAGCATTTCACTGTCAACTTCACCATCACCAACCTGCCCTACACTTCTGACCTGGAGAATCCTGACTTGGCCAGGTTCAGAGCTACTCGGAGAGTTATAAACACCCTGGTACGTGGATCAGGACCGACCCATATCCTTGCCCTCGTTGGCCTCATCAGCTTGGGGGGATTATAGAGAGACATGGTCATGGCCTAACTAGGAGACCTCTTCCCATTGCAGCTGGACCGCCTGCTGAAGGACAGCAGCATTGGCCCTGTGTTCCAAGGATGTGAAGCAACAGACTTCAGGTATGAACTGCACTCCAGTGGTTTTTTGTAAGGACATCCCTCAGATAATTGTGGCAGTCATGCATACGTTCGTTTCCTTAATGCATACAGCATCTTCTCCATAATTCCCTCCTTCACCTCTACCTTATCCCTGATGTCCTTCTCTCTGAGAGATCCCCTGCATTTCCTTTACCCTCACCTTGGGGTGCTAAGGTCCTACCCCAAGACGATTCTGAATAGCTTCCAGGTGCTCTTCTTCCAAAAGAACACCAGAGAATAAGTGATAGTTGTGGGCAGTGCCGGACCTTGGCACACATATCTTGAGAAGGCATAGCTTGGTTTCACATAGAGGAATGACCATGGTAGCCCCATGACCATGGCATGTGGAGACAATGTGCAGAGGAGGTTGCTGATGGAGGTCCCTGTGTTTTGCAGGCCGGGCAGCGACAGGGACCAGACGCGGGTGGACGCCGTGTGCACCTACAGCAAGGAGCCCTGGGCTGCGCCTTTGGACAGGGTGGGGCTGTACCACCAAGTGAGCAACAAGACCAGAGGCATCACCCAGCTGGGCCCCTACAGCCTGGACAAGGACAGCCTCTACGTCAACGGTGAGCGGCGCTCCTCCCTGGGCCTCCTCTGCTCTCCCATGGCAGCCCTGCCCCAGGGCTGCCCCTTGCCCAGCCCCAGCTCCTGACCCTCTGTCTCTCTCTTTCCCCAGACTACAACGAGCAGCCAGTGCTGACCAGTGAGTACCTTGCAGGAGGGGGATGGATCAGAAGTCTAAAATTGCCCTGCCAGGGTGTTCCCTCCAGCAGAGGAGGCTGAGGGCTTGGGTACCTGGATAAAGGCTGGGATCCTGCCAATCTTTCCTCATATCTACAAAGGCTATGAGGAGACCTCTGCACCTATCCAGACAAATGCCTGACACCCTGAGTATTTCCCCCTGTCATTCCCCATCTGTGCTTCTTCCAGCTCCCACCCACCCACCAACAACAACAGCGGCCACCCTTGAGCATTTCACCGTCAACTTCACCATCACCAACCTGTTCTACTCTTCTGACCTGGAGAATCCTGACTCAGCCAAGTTCAAAGCTACACAAAGGGTGATGAACATGATGGTAGGTGAACCACCACTGAGATACTGCTGTACCCTGTCTGGTCTCATCAGCTTGGAGCGAGTGCAGAGATATGGTCATGGCTTAACTGGGAAACCTGTTTTTTTGGCAGCTTGACCGCCTGCTGAAGGACAGCAGCATTGGCCCTGTTTTCCAAGGATGTGAAACAACAGATTTCAGGTATGGGTCATGATCAACTGTCCATGCATGACGCCTCACCAGATCCATAGGCTGTCTAAAATCCACTGTCTGTGGGAGCTCAGCCTATGGGCTGGGACGTGCATCCTCAGATACCCTCCATCCTTGATACCCTCCTTCCTCAGAGTTTCCCATCTCCCGATGCTCTCCCTAACACATGCTCATATTGTTGTGTTAGTTGACTCTCCAGTCCTCCCTGAAAAACCATAAAAGCTCCAGAATGCAGCCTGAAGGCTGAATGTTCAGAGGAGGATGCTGATGGAGGCCCCTGTGTTTTGCAGGCCAGGCAGCGACAGGGACCAGACCCGGGTGGACGCCGTGTGCACCTACAGCAAGGAGCCCTGGGCTGCGCCTTTGGACAGGGTGGGGCTGTACCACCAAGTGAGCAACAAGACCAGAGGCATCACCCAGCTGGGCCCCTACAGCCTGGACAAGGACAGCCTCTACGTCAACGGTGAGCGGCGCTCCTCCCTGGGCCTCCTCTGCTCTCCCATGGCAGCCCTGCCCCAGGGCTGCCCCTTGCCCAGCCCCAGCTCCTGACCCTCTGTCTCTCTCTTTCCCCAGGCTACAACGAGCAGCCAGTGCTGACCAGTGAGTACCTTGCAGGAACAGGAGGGGATCAGAAGGGAATACAAGTGCTGTGTTTGGTTCTTCCCTCAGGAAGTGGAGGTTGAGGGCTTGAGATCCTACATAAGGCAGGGGTCCTGTAAATCTCTGCCCATAGATAAAAGGGCTATCAGGAGACCTCTGCACTTGATCAGGCAGATCCCTGACACCTTGGTTCTTGCCCCTTGTCACTCTCCATTTGTGCTTCTTACAGCTCCCACCCACCCACCAACAACCACAGCTGCCGCCCTTGAGCGTTTCACGGTCAACTTCACCATCACCAACCTGCCCTACTCTTCTGACCTCGAGAAGCCTGACTCAGCCAAGTTCAGAGCTACACAAAAAGTTATGAACATGCTGGTAGGTGCACCCACACTGGGGCATCACTGTCCCCTGTCTGGTCCCATCAGCTTGGAGCGAGTGCAGAGAGATCGTCATGACTTAACTGGGAAATATCTTTTCCTGGCAGCTGGACCGCTTGCTGAAGGACAGCAGCATTGGCCCTGTGTTCCAAGGATGTGAAACAACAGATTTCAGGTATGGGTCATGATCAACTGTCCCTGCAGGACCACTGGTCAGATCCATAGTCTAAAATCGACTGTCTATTGGTGACCAGCCTTTGGGCTGGGACGTCCACCTTGGTGTCCTCCTTCCTTAGAGTATCCCCTGTCTTCCAATGCTCTTCCTTCCATGAGCTCATATTGGTGTCTAAGTAGACCCTCAAGTTCTCCATGAAAAACCATAAAAGCTCCAGAATCCTGCCTTGAAGCGAGAACGTGCAGAGGAGGGTGCTGATGGAGGACCCTGTGTTTTGCAGGCCGGGCAGCGACAGGGACCAGACCCGGGTGGACGCCGTGTGCACCTACAGCAAGGAGCCCTGGGCTGCGCCTTTGGACAGGGTGGGGCTGTACCACCAAGTGAGCAACAAGACCAGAGGCATCACCCAGCTGGGCCCCTACAGCCTGGACAAGGACAGCCTCTACGTCAACGGTGAGCGGCGCTCCTCCCTGGGCCTCCTCTGCTCTCCCATGGCAGCCCTGCCCCAGTGCTGCCCCTTGCCCAGCCCCAGCTCCTGACCCTCTGTCTCTCTCTTTCCCCAGACTACAACGAGCAGCCAGTGCTGACCAGTGAGTACCTTGCAGGAGGGGGAAGGGTACACAAGACATCCCGTTCCGCAAACTGCTCTTCTCTATGGTGGTCTAGGCTGGAGGATGGGGCATGATTGCTTGGGGACATGGGGAGACTCCCTGCCCTCCCCATGGAGAATAAATCTGACAGGGACCCTCTGTGTTTGTCCAGCCATAGCCTGGGCATGCCAACTATTGACTCTTCTCATTCCCCATCTGTGCTTCTTCCAGCTCCCACCCACCCACCAACAACCACAGCTACCTCCCTTGAGCATTTCACGGTCAACTTCACCATCACCAACCTGCCCTACACTTCTGACCTGGAGAATCCTGACTCAGCTAGGTTCAGAGCTACGCGAAGGGTTATGAACATGCTGGTAGGTGGATCAATACTCAGCCATATCCTTGACCTCAATAACCTCATCAGCCTGGAAGCTGTGCAGAGCTGACCATTGCATAATTGAAAATCCTCTTCCCTTGGCAGCTGGACCGCCTGCTAAAGGACAGCAGCATTGGCCCTGTGTTCCAAGGATGTGAAACAACGGACTTCAGGTATGAATTGCACCCCAGTATCCATTTGAAGAGTCCAGGACCTGGACCAATAACTGGTCTGGACCTGGATGAAGAACTTTGATATTCCCCTCTTTTATGGAGGCAGAACCTACTTGCTAATTCTGTTCTGCTCCAGGACATTGTCCATGAAGCCATTTCCTCCTAGTGGTCCCCCTCTACCCTCTTGCTCTAATCTTGGTACTTTGTGCCTTACATAGTTTTGTAAAATCAAGAATATTTTTAAAGTGTTTCGATGCACACTCCTAACTCCCAGAGCACTAGTGAAGATGTAGAACAGTATCTGCCACCAAACATGCACAAATTGTGGGAAGGCAGGCCTGGCATTTCAAGTTACAAATGGCTATGAAAGCACCTAGACAAAACAAATGGCTATCAACGCAACAAGACCCAACCAGGACCCATTCTTCTTGAAGTGAGAACGTGCAGAGGAGGGTGCTGATGGAGGACCCTGTGTTTTGCAGGCCGGGCAGCGACAGGGACCAGACCCGGGTGGACGCCGTGTGCACCTACAGCAAGGAGCCCTGGGCTGCGCCTTTGGACAGGGTGGGGCTGTACCACCAAGTGAGCAACAAGACCAGAGGCATCACCCAGCTGGGCCCCTACAGCCTGGACAAGGACAGCCTCTACGTCAACGGTGAGCGGCGCTCCTCCCTGGGCCTCCTCTGCTCTCCCATGGCAGCCCTGCCCCAGGGCTGCCCCTTGCCCAGCCCCAGCTCCTGACCCTCTGTCTCTCTCTTTCCCCAGACTACAACGAGCAGCCAGTGCTGACCAGTGAGTACCTTGCAGGAGGGGGATGGATCAGAAGTCTAAAATTGCCCTGCCAGGGTGTTCCCTCCAGCAGAGGAGGCTGAGGGCTTGGGTACCTGGATAAAGGCTGGGATCCTGCCAATCTTTCCTCATATCTACAAAGGCTATGAGGAGACCTCTGCACCTATCCAGACAAATGCCTGACACCCTGAGTATTTCCCCTTGTCATTCCCCATCTGTGCTTCTTCCAGCTCCCACCCACCCACCAACAACAACAGCGGCCACCCTTGAGCATTTCACTGTCAACTTCACCATCACCAACCTGCTCTACTCTTCTGACCTGGAGAATCCTGACTCAGCCAAGTTCAGAGCTACACGAAGGGTGATGAACATGATGGTAGGTGAACCACCACTGAGATACTGCTGTACCCTGTCTGGTCTCATCAGCTTGGAGCGAGTGCAGAGATATGGTCATGGCTTAACTGGGAAACCTGTTTTTTTGGCAGCTTGACCGCCTGCTGAAGGACAGCAGCATTGGCCCTGTTTTCCAAGGATGTGAAACAACAGATTTCAGGTATGGGTCATGATCAACTGTCCCTGCAGGACCCCTCACCAGATCCATAGGCTGTCTAAAATCGACTGTCTGTTGGTGCTCAGCCTTTAGGCTGGGACGTCCATCCTCAGATACCCTCCATCCTTGATACCCTCCTTCCTCAGAGTTTCCCATCTCCCGATGCTCTTCCTAACACATGCTCATATTGTTGTGTTAGTTGACTCTCCAGTCCTCCCTGAAAAACCATAAAAGCTCCAGAATGCAGCCTGAAGGCTGAATGTGCAGAGGAGGGTGCTGATGGAGGCCCCTGTGTTTTGCAGGCCAGGCAGCAACAGGGACCAGACCCGGGTGGACGCCGTGTGCACCTACAGCAAGGAGCCCTGGGCTGCGCCTTTGGACAGGGTGGGGCTGTACCACCAAGTGAGCAACAAGACCAGAGGCATCACCCAGCTGGGCCCCTACAGCCTGGACAAGGACAGCCTCTACGTCAACGGTGAGCGGCGCTCCTCCCTGGGCCTCCTCTGCTCTCCCATGGCAGCCCTGCCCCAGTGCTGCCCCTTGCCCAGCCCCAGCTCCTGACCCTCTGTCTCTCTCTTTCCCCAGGCTACAACGAGCAGCCAGTGCTGACCAGTGAGTACCTTGCAGGAACAGGAGGGGATCAGAAGGGAATACAAGTGCTGTGTTTGGTTCTTCCCTCAGGAAGTGGAGGTTGAGGGCTTGAGATCCTACATAAGGCAGGGGTCCTGCAAATCTCTGCCCATAGATAAAAGGGCTATCAGGAGACCTCTGCACTTGATCAGGCAGATCCCTGACACCTTGGTTCTTGCCCCTTGTCACTCTCCATTTGTGCTTCTTACAGCTCCCACCCACCCACCAACAACCACAGCTGCCGCCCTTGAGCGTTTGACCGTCAACTTCACCATCACCAACCTGCCCTACTCTTCTGACCTCGAGAAGCCTGACTCAGCCAAGTTCAGAGCTACACGAAAAGTTATGAATATGCTGGTAGGTGCACCAACACTGGGGCATCACTGTCCCCTGTCTGGTCCCATCAGCTTGGAGCGAGTGCAGAGATATGGTCATGACTTAACTGGGAAATATCTTTTCCTGGCAGCTGGACCGCTTGCTGAAGGACAGCAGCATTGGCCCTGTGTTCCAAGGATGTGAAACAACAGATTTCAGGTATGGGTCATGATCAACTGTCCCTGCAGGACCACTGGTCAGATCCATAGTCTAAAATCGACTGTCTGTTGGTGCCCAGCCTTTGGGCTGGGACGTCCACCTTGGTGTCCTCCTTCCTTAGAGTATCCCCTGTCTTCCAATGCTCTTCCTTCCATGAGCTCATATTGGTGTCTAAGTAGACCCTCAAGTTCTCCATGAAAAGACCATAAAAGCTCCAGAATCCTGCCTTGAAGCGAGAACGTGCAGAGGAGGGTGCTGATGGAGGCCCCTGTGTTTTGCAGGCCGGGCAGCGACAGGGACCAGACCCGGGTGGACGCCGTGTGCACCTACAGCAAGGAGCCCTGGGCTGCGCCTTTGGACAGGGTGGGGCTGTACCACCAAGTGAGCAACAAGACCAGAGGCATCACCCAGCTGGGCCCCTACAGCCTGGACAAGGACAGCCTCTACGTCAACGGTGAGCGGCGCTCCTCCCTGGGCCTCCTCTGCTCTCCCATGGCAGCCCTGCCCCAGGGCTGCCCCTCGCCCAGCCCCAGCTCCTGACCCTCTGTCTCTCTCTTTCCCCAGGCTACAACGAGCAGCCAGTGCTGACCAGTGAGTACCTCAGAGAAGCGGGAAGGGATGCCAACACAACAAGTGCCACACTGGGGTCTTTTATGGACAGAGTAGTCTGGGGCTGGGGCATGATGTCTTGATGGGGACCATCTAAAACTTCCACATGGAGAGCAGGGTTGCTTGGAGACTTTTGCTGTTCTCCAGCAAGGGCTGTAACCACTTCGTCTCAGCCCCATGTCATTCCCCATCTGTGCTTCTTCCAGCTCCCACCCACCCACCAACTACAACAGCGGCCACCCTTGAGCATTTCACCGTCAACTTCACCATCACCAACCTGCCCTACTCTTCTGACCTGGAGAATCCTGACACGGCCAGGTTCAGAGCTACACGAAGGGTGATGAACATGATGGTAGGTGAACCAACACTGGGACATCGCTGTACCCTCTCTGACCTCATCAGCTTGGAGCGAGTGCAGAAAGCAGTTCATGGCTTAACTGGGAAACCTTTTCCATTGCCAGCTGGACCGCCTGCTGAAGGACAGCATCATTGGCCCTGTGTTCCAAGGATGTGAAACAACAGATTTCAGGTATGGGTCATGATCAACTGTCCCTGCAGGACCACTGGTCAGATCCATAGGCTATTAAAGATCTATTGTCTATTGGTGCCCAGCCTTTGGGCTGGGACATCTACCTTGATACCCTCCTTCCTCAGAGTATCCCCTGTCTTCCAATGCTCTGCCTAACACATACTCATATTCCAGTCATAGTAGACTCAAGTCTTCCCTGAAAAGGCCATAAAAGATCCAGAATCCAGCCTTGAAGGCAGAATGTTCAGAGGAACATGCTCATGGAGGCCCCTGTGTTTTGCAGGCCGGGCAGCGACAGGGACCAGACCCGGGTGGACGCCGTGTGCACCTACAGCAAGGAGCCCTGGGCTGCGCCTTTGGACAGGGTGGGGCTGTACCACCAAGTGAGCAACAAGACCAGAGGCATCACCCAGCTGGGCCCCTACAGCCTGGACAAGGACAGCCTCTACGTCAACGGTGAGCAGCGCTCCTCCCTGGGCCTCCTCTGCTCTCCCATGGCAGCCCTGCCCCAGGGCTGCCCCTTGCCCAGCCCCAGCTCCTGACCCTCTGTCTCTCTCTTTCCCCAGGCTACAACGAGCAGCCAGTGCTGACCAGTGAGTATCTTGCAGGAGCAGGAAGGGATCAGAAGGCAGCAAGTTTGAGGCAAGGCCTCAAACTGGTCTTCTCTGTTGTGCTAGAGGCAGGGGATGGGGTATGAGATCCTGGGGGAATGGGGACCCTCCCTGCCATCCCCATGGGTAATACAGTTGGAAGGGGCCCTCTGTGTTTGTCCAGCCATAGACTGGACATGCCAACTCTTGAATATTCTCTTTCCTCATCAGTGCTTCTTCCAGCTCCCACTAATTCACCAGCAACCACAGCTGCCGCCCTTGAGCATTTCACCGTCAACTTCACCATCACCAACCTGCCCTACTCTTCTGACCTGGAGAATCCTGACTCAGCCAGGTTCAGAGCTACACGAAGGGTGATGAACATGATGGTAGGTGAACCACTACTGGGACATTGCTGTACCCCCTCTGGCCTCATCAGCTTGGAGGGAGTGCAGAAAGCTGTTCATGGCTTAACTGGGAAACCTCTTACCTTTGGCAGCTTGACCGCCTGCTGAAGGACAGCAGCATTGGCCCTGCTTTCCATGGATGTGAAACAGACTTCAGGTATGGGTCATGATCAACTGTCCCCGCAGGACCCCTCATCAGATCCATAGGCTGTCTAAAATCTATTGTCTGTTGGTGCCCAGCCTATGGGCTGATACTGCCACCTTGATACCCTCGTTCCTCAGAGTATGTCCTGTCTTCCTGTGCCCTTCCTTCCACATGCGGATATTATTGTCTTAGTTGACTCTCAAGACCTCTCTGGAAAGACTATAAAAGCTCCAGAATCCAGCTTTGAAGGGAAAACAGAGGAGGGTGCAGAGGAGGATGCTGATGGAGGCCCCTGTGTTTTGCAGGCCGGGCAGCGACAGGGACCAGACCCGGGTGGACGCCGTGTGCACCTACAGCAAGGAGCCCTGGGCTGCGCCTTTGGACAGGGTGGGGCTGTACCACCAAGTGAGCAACAAGACCAGAGGCATCACCCAGCTGGGCCCCTACAGCCTGGACAAGGACAGCCTCTACGTTAATGGTGAGAATTCTTTTGGATTTTTTAAATTTTCATATACTTCATTTTCCATACTTAAATGATTTCCTAACTTTTCATAATAATTCACTAAGTCATTATTTTTTTTTGAGTATTTTTTGTTCTTTCAGTCAGTTGTATCTCTCATTCTTTTTGCTGGGTTTCTTATATGCTCTACATACATTTATAATTTCTCATACACTCTACATACATTCATAATTTTACCTCCTTCTATGTGTTTTTTTTTAATATAGTGAAATTAACCTTTTTCAAGTATACTTTCTCTGTTACACTGATTTTAAGTATTCTCTTTATGAACATCTTGGAAATTATAAGGATTGACCTCTCAAGGTCAAGGAACAGCACTACAACTTATCACCACTTGACAAAATTATCTATAAATTTTCCATGTAGAAGTTAAATGATTCCTTGGCCATGACAGTGCAGTTAGAACTTGATGATCTCTAAGTTTCCCTCCACCCCAAACCATTCTGTGATTCTAAACTGGATTTAGGGAATCGGTAAATTCCCTCTAAATATCCCTTGTAAAGGGATAATTCTGTTCACTGCTAAGAAAAGCAGCACCTTGCCAACAAGGTAATTTGCATTTATGTCTGGACAGTCACCAAATCAATCTTTCCTTGGAAATGTTTACACATGAGCTCTCAGACATGTTCTGTATTCTAGTGTGTGCCAAACCTTCCCAACTGTTAGGCACTTCCTCAAATCCTGTCCCTTTTCTTCCCCCCATAGGTCATCATGAAGTGCAGCCTGAACTATGTAAGTACTGTTAAAGAGAAATTGAGGGGCAGGAAGACTTTGGTAATTAGCAACAGACAAAACAGCAAGTTGGATTAATCAAGCAAGAGCACTGCTGGTCTATAAAACAGTGTTAAGAGAATTTGTGAGTCCGTTAGGGAACCACAGGTTATATAACCTTGAAGCCACCTAGAATATCTGGGAATTCTACCTAGAGTGTTTCCTCTTGGGATGTTGAATGTAAATTGTATTTTCAAGCAATAACTTTCCCTTCTCATTACAGCTGCTGATCAAAGCACCCAACCTCTGGCACCAGCAGTAAAGAACTTCACCCTGAACTTCACAATAACCAACCTCCAGTTCACTGCAGACATGGAGAAACCCAGTTCCAGGAGATTCAAGTCAACAGAAAAAGTCATGTACCACTATGTAAGTCTTGCAAACAATGCCCTGCTAGGGCACAGTTCTCTCAGTATCCCTCATCTCTTACCTTCACTGGGACATTTTGCTTACTTCCATGTTGTTATTCCATTTCCAGATTGATTCTTTACTCCAAAGGAGCAGCATTGGCCCAGCTTACATCGGCTGCAAAGTAATGGCATTCAGGTAAGAGCATGTCTGGGAAAAGTCCCCATTCCCTGCTTCTTAAAATTCCCCTTTCTCAGCATCTAACTCATCTCTGGGTATTTTCTTATGTGGTAGCAATGTCTGAAGGGTTTTTCTGGTCCCTCTCTTTGTATACTAGAAGTTAAGATAGATTTCTCAAAAATAACTAAACCCATGCCTCATTTCCTAGATCCACGAAGAACAGGGATGACACAGGAGTAGATGCCATGTGCAGCTGTAGGGATGAGCCTTCAGATCCCAAATTCAACAGCACAACTGTTTACCATGAGCTGAGCAAAATGACCAATGGCATCACCAAGCTGGGACCCTACAGCCTCAACAGCCAGAGCCTCTATGTCAATGGTAATGAGACCTTCTCAAGGCATTTTTCCTAATGAAATTTGAATTCCCCATTCCTGGAGGTGTTTAAGGCCCTGTGGGATGGAGCTCTGAGCATCCTGGTCTAGTTAAAGTTGTTCCTGTCCAGGGCAGAGAGGTGGAACTGGATGGTGTTTAAGGTCCTTTATGTCTCAAACCATTCTGGGGTTCTGTGTTGGAATTATGGAACCACTATGGTTGGAGAAGACCTCTGAGATCAAGTCCAACTTTCAATGTCAACACAGACTAATTTGAAATCAGAATGAAGAAAATTTAATTTACCTCTCAAAACAGAGAATAAAAATTAGAGGGAAAAAACCCTGTCAGTCACCAAGTTAAAAATCTTGAATTCAGTAACCACAATCTTGTAATAAAATCTAGTGTATTTAGTCCTGCTGAGACTTTCTTGGAATATTTTCCTAATAATTTTCCATTTGTTTTTCAGGTTACAATGAACCTCCTTACAGTCCATCCTGTAAGTATATTTAAAACCAAATACAGGTTAAGGCTACTTAAAGGCATAAATTGATTTTCTTTCCTGCTGATTTGGCAATGTTTGTAACATTGCAAATTGTCTGAAGGGTGGGATCGTGTTCACATGGGTTTTTTCTCTAAGAAACCCAATAACAGCAATGTCTTATGAAGATCCTGATCTTATTTTATCACTGTCATTTCAATTCTCTCTTGTAGCAGTAAGATCAACCACCACACAAAGCCCAGAGGCAGTCACAGAGCACTTCACCCTGAACTTCACCATAACCAACCTCATGTTCACCACAGACCTGCAGACACCAAATTCCCGCAAATTCCGGTCCACTGAGAAAATCATGAAACACTACGTAAGCCAAAATTCTGTTGTTTTTCACTGAAATCACCCAGGATTTTGGGGTTCCCGTATTCACAAAGACTTTTTCTTGCCAGACTGACTCCCTGCTTCAGAAGAGCAGTATTGGCCCCCATTTCACTGGCTGCAAAGTGACGGGATTCAGGTGAGCAATTACCACAGAGATTCACTTAGAACTGCAGCAAATGGATTTCCTTACATTTGACTGACACTTTAATAACTGTTCTCCTTTTTCAAGTAGTTGCTTTCATTATAATAAAGCTTCTAAGCCACTTTGTATGGTCTTTATCTTACAAAGCCTTTTTTTTTTTGTAAGGCCATATCTTGGTCATTTCTGCAGCTTCCCTGAGAACTGTGGGCAGATTTATTTGGAGGGTTTTTTAATTACATCAAAACAAACAAACAAATAAACAAACACACCCAAAATATTTTAATAGCTAACAGAAGCTCCATGACATTAAATTCCTCAGGCCTGGGAAGAACAGGGACAGCACAGGAGTGGACAACATCTGCAGTTATGGAAAGGGCTCCCAGGTGCCCAAGTTTAACCCAGCTGAGGTTTACCAAGAGCTGAAGGGAATGACAAGTGGCATCACCAAGCTGGGAATCTACAGCCTGGACAGCAAGAGCCTCTATGTCAATGGTGAGTGTTTGATTTTCCCACTCCTCCAGGCACTGGAGTAGTTTGGGACCACCTTAGCTCTCAGGGATCACCTCCATGTTACAAAAGTCACCTTAAGGAGAAGGTCAAGAGTTTTCTGCATATTTCTCTGTGTAAGATTTAAAATCCTTCCACGTCGACATTTTTGAAGATTTTAATTTTTCTATTACATTGAAGAGTGAACTTAATTTTAGTCTTGACCTCAATCATTCACCTGCCTGTGAACATTTCACCGGATTCCTGTCCTACAGTGTTTAATTAAACGTTGGCACACACATATTCTCATTGTAGCTGCTCTCCCAAAGCACCTTGTTCTGCCTAAGCTTTGTTTATTTAATACATTCACACCCTTGGGGCCTGGTTCTGATGATTCATTCCCAAGTCATCCTTTTAATCACCTCCTCTCCACTTCCATTCTCCAAAGTGGATGCTCTCTTACATGGCTCTTTCTCTTCCATTTCCTTTCCAGGTTACAACGAACCCCTTGAGAGATCCCGTAAGTATTTTGCCAAATTCATTTTGCCAAATTCATTTCAAGGGAAGCTCTCAAAGGAGAAATGCCCTGAGAAAATCAGAGGGGAAGAGATTATCTAAATAATAAAAGTTATACTGTATTACATTATATTATATTATATTATATTATATTATATTATATTATATTGTATTGTATTGTATTAGATTAGATTACATTATATTATATTATATTACATTACATTACATTATATTATATTATATTATCGTATCTAAATTATAAAAACAATAAAAAGTAGCCTTGAAGTGTGCTGGGATTAGGAATGTTTTGAAAGTGAAAACAGCTTTTTTTTGTTGTAGGAAATTCCTAATCCTTCTCCCCTTTGATTACAGCCCGGAGCACCACAGCTGCACCAAAACCAACATCCAGGAATTTCACTCTGAACTTCACCTTGACCAACCTCCGCTACTCTGCAGATCTGGAAGCCCCAAATTCCCGCAGATTCCTTTCCACAGTGAAAGTGATGAACCACTATGTGAGTCTCGCTCTGCTTGTGCCCCTTTTGGGTCTTCCTGGCGACCTAAATCCACCTGCTTTGAACTCAGGATGTGAGTCCCAGCTCTCAATTGTCCTTTCTTTTTTTTTGACAGCTTGACCCTCTTTTCAAGAGGAGCAGCATAAGCTCTGTCTACACAGGATGTAAAGCCATGAGATTCAGGTAAGATTTGGAATTCCAGAATCACAGGATTGATCAGGGTCAGGTTTGATGGGTCACCTGGTCCCACCCCCCTGCTCCAGCAGGGTCATCCCAGAGAGCACATGGATTGTGTCCAGATGGCTCTGGGATATCTCCAGTGAGGAGATTCCACAACTTTTCTGGACAATCTGTCCCAGTGCCTGGTCACTGCACAAGGAAGAAGTTCTTCCTCATGCTCATCAACTTCCTGGGCATCAATTCCTGCCTTGTTCCTGCCTTGCTCCTCAGCAGACCTTGGTCCCTGCTCTGAGCCCTCCCTGGAGACACTAAAAATATCTGAAAGAATACTAAAAGTGTGTGAAATACTAAAACACCTAAATATAAACCACCTAAAATACTCCTAAAATTGCAATGAACCATTTCTTTACCCACTCTCACACACCTTCAGTTCGTGGCTGTTCTGAGGCCAGGAAACAGCAGCCAGTGGCACCTCCCTGTCCAGCCTGGATTTTATTTTAGCTGGAAAAATCATTTTGGTATCTAAATATCATCACCCCAGTTCTGGAGAGCCTGGTGAAGGATTCAGGAGCCCGTTGGCACTGCGGGTTTGGTTTCTGCCCTAAAAACCCCTCAGGAAGTTCTGCCAGCACAGCAGTGTCCCAAAGAACGTGTGTGACATTTGTCCCCAGGTCTGGAAGGCACGGGGAGGACACAAAAGTGGATGCTGTGTGCAGCTACAAGGACAATGCCAGCCTGGCCAGGTTTGACAGAGAAAAGCTTTACCAGGAGCTGAGCACCATGACAAACAATGTCACCAAACTGGGCCACTACAGCCTGGACAGGAGCAGCCTGTATGTTGATGGTAAGCATCCATGGGGATAATAGGATTTTGAGATCTCCTGGAGATCATTCCTCATCCCTGGGGCCTGAGCACTGATGAACCCTTTGGTTTGTTGGTTTTATTTAAGTTTGACAAAACCAATCCTAGAGGATATTGCCATGCTGGCAGCACTTCCATGCCTTAAATCAGACAAATTCCTGTGAATTTCAGTGTTACAGTGTATGATCTAAGCAGGGATATATCTTATTGCTTTTATGATATGAACAGATGTAAAAATAAACTAACTGTACCCTTTTTATTTAGATTTCACCCTCACAGACACAGCTGCCACCAAAAAGCCTCTCTTGGCTCCAGCCAAACTTGGCTACAGGCTGAGCTTTAGAATAGTCAATGAAAACCTCACCAACCCTGACTCCCAATCTCCAGAATACAGAGCAGCAGTAGAAAGCATCACCAACAAGGTAAGGAGAATTTGAGAATATGTCTGGCTGGTCAGTTTTTGAAGCAACTACCAAAGATTTACATATGAATTAAAAAAAAAAATAAAAAATCATAATTTTGGAAGCAAAATTTCTAGAATCTGGAAGATAAGATTGGCCTTTTTCAGTTTTGGTTTAAGTTGTAGCTGGTGGGTGTGATCCCTGCCCATGGCAGAGGACTGGGACTGGAGGATCTTTAAGGTCCTTTCCAACCCAAACCATTCAATGATTCCATGTGGTCTTATGAAATTGTCCCCAAAGACATGGACTGCAAAATGCCAGAGCTGATCTGTTAAATGAACACACCCTCAGCATTTCACTCCCAGTGCCAGAAGTGCATCCAAGGCCAATCCCTGCTGGCCAATTCCTGCTCAGCACATCCATGATTCATTCCAGAATCCAACATTTTCTCTTCAGCACCAATCCAATTTATCAACCTGATAAGGCCCTGATTGGGTGGGTTTTGCTCTCTTTGAGCTGTGGCTCTGTGAGGCTGGGATGTCACTCAGGACACTGCTCCCCCACACTGGCATCCTGGAAGGAATTTCAGGAAGGAAACATTCCTAAGGCAGGAATGTTTGCCAGGCTGGAATTCAGACCCCACCACTAGAAGGTGCCTGTTCCAAAGTAAAATCCAACCCCCATGAAACCCAGCCAGCAAAAAATAACCCAGAGCTCAATTCTCTCTTGCTGGCCCAAAGCCTCCAGCACAGTTCCCAAATTCATTAATATTTAATGTGATATTTTAATTTCAGATGAATCACTTGTACCGTCAGAGCGACCTGAGGGAGCAGTTCCTGACCTGCAGGATCACCGGGCTGAGGTCTGGGATAAAATCTGATTTTTGTTTAAAGATTGCTTCACCCTGGCACTGCTCCCCCATGGCTGAGTGCCAGTGGCCCCACTGGAATTCCTCCCTTCTCTTCTCCTGTTGGAAACTGATGCCCTAAGGAGGCATTTCCAGGCTTCCCAGAATTTGTCAGTTTGAATTTTTTTGGACTAGGGTTTCTCAGTAAGGGTTTCTGTAAGGCACTCTCAGGTCTCTGAGCATCCCAGGAATTACAGATCCCAGCCCTTTACTGTGACCTCTGCACTCCCCTCATCCTGAACTCCACTAGATTTTAAAAGTGAGCTGTGGTGTCCTGCTCAGGATGGAATGAGGCTTGGACAAGGGACCCTCCCACACAATGAAAGCTTTAAAAAACCTAAAAGTGCTGTTCTTTCCTTGCATTCATACAAAACAACCTAAATCTGTCCAGAGAAGAGGCAAAATTTTAATTTTACCTGTCCCTGTCCAAAGGAAAAGCCCCAACCAGCCCATTTCTGAGCCCACTCAACCTTGAAAACAGCAGGAACCCTTCAGAAAACTCCTTCCCACCCTGAGCTTCCTGCCCATCCCACTTATCTCCAAACCTCTGTCCCTCTGCCCACAGGCCTGGATCCATAGTGGTTGACTGCCAGTGCTTCTTCCAGCCTGACCCCAAAATCAGCAGGGCTGTGGTTGAAAGGACTTTCCAGGACAGGACCTCCAACACCACTGGGCTGTGGCTGGGCAGCAGCTACCGACTGCAGGAATTCTCAGTGGACAGTAAGTGGATCAAATCCCTTCCCAGTGTCCTCATGCAAAACTCACTTTGCCATAGCACACTCAGAACCTCCCAAATTCTGCTCTGTCAGAGCAAAAATAAATCTCTCGTTAAGTTGGATCACTGGGCTTTGAGTTAGGCCATTCAGACCTAGTCATCAATGGTTTAAGGGGTTATTCAATATATTAGGATGTTCTTCAATATTAAGGTGTTGTTCAAAATTAAATTGTTATTCAAAATTAAGGTGTTTTCAGTATTAAAAAATCAGGAAATTAGGTATGAACTGCTCACCACAACTTCAACCATCTAGAGCTAAACAGATCTTAAACTTTTTTTCCCAATGTGCAGCATCTCAAAGAAATAAATGGCCTGGAACATTTGGAGTTTCCTGTCAGACCCCAGTGAAACTCAAGTTATGCCAATCTAAGACTTAGAGCTAAAAAGCTGCAGCTCAGTGCTGCTTGGTAGGAAAGCCTCTGTTTCTCTCTGCTGGAATTTAATTTTCCTCTCCATTTCCAGCCTTGGAACTCTCACTTGAGGCAGCAACTCACAAGACACCCCTGGAGTCTGGCAAAGAAAAATTCGGATTAAATTTCCGAATCACCAACCTTCCCTACTCGCCTGAGCTGCAGGACTCCAGCTCCCAGATGTACCAAGAGAACAAAGAGAAGATTGAGAAAGAGGTGAAATGAGCAGCAATAGCTTGAGCTCCCTGTCCAAAGGATGTGTTAAATTAACTCAGCTTTCCTCAACTGTTTTGTTTCTCCCCATCAGCTCGAGGTATTCAGGAGCAGCCACCTGAAGGACCAATTTGTTGGCTGCACTGTGGAGAGCTTTGGGTATGTCCAGTGCTTTTTGAGGCCCCAAAAGAGCAGCTCAGGAAGACATTTAGGGTGTCCACCCCTCCCTGCCAGCCTCTGTGCCCTCAGTGACACGTGGGAGTCACTTCATTCTCAGCCACTTTTTGCCTTTACCACAAAAGGTTTCTGTCCAAACAGAGCTGGTTTTGTTTTGGTGCTTGCAGAGCTGTTTTCATGCATGAACAACCCCAGGGGAGAGCAAACACGTTCATTCTCTCATTTAACGTGTTGAAATAAGCTCAAATTCCACTGACACACAGCACTGACCACACAACTGACCAGCCTGAGGACAAAACCTGCCTGTGTGAGGGTCCTCCTTTTTGGAGGAACAAAGCAGCAGAGTAGATTTAACTTTTTGTTGTTCAAAATTAAACTTAACTTTTGGAAATAGAGCTGATTTAACTATTTATATACTATATATATATATATATATAAATATAGTAACTAAAAATAAATATAAATAACTATTTATATACTATATATATACTATAACTCTATAAATAGAGTTATTTTCCTCTTATAAATAGAGTTGATTTTCCTCTTAGAAACAGAGCTGATTTACCTCTTAAAAATGCCTTGCTGGGGATTAAATCAGTGGATGGATTTCACCCAGACCAAGCTGCTAAAAGTGATCCCATCACCATGAAACATTGCTGGGACATCTGCTGACCTGAGGCTCCAAATCCCTCTCCCTGCTCTGCTCAGCTCTGTTCCATTTTCTCTCCTCTCTGCTGTCACCCTCCAGGCCTGTCCATGGCAAAGGACACACAGAGGTTGCCTCAACCTGCAAGTTCACCCCGGATCCCCTCTCAGCGACTTTGCAAGAGCAGGAGGTGTTGGAGGAGCTGAAACTCCTGACCCAGGGCTTCAGCAGGCTGGGCTCCAGCTATGAGCTGGAGGAGCAGAGTCTGGTGGTGGAAGGTGAGAGCTCCTGGAGGGACATTTTGGGGAATTCTTCCTAATTTTGTTTAAATCAGCTCCTGAGTTGCATTCCTCACCTGTCCCACTCCTCATTTCCAGGTTACTCTCCACTCAAGACAGATGAAGCACAGTCCAAAAGATCTGGTAGGTGTTATTTTTCTTTTTTTGGCAAGGATTGACCTGACAGCCACTGAATACTTGAGCTCTAATAAATAACTGAACCCTGATAAATACTTCAGTTGTAATAAATTAGCATCAGATATCTTGGAATGGGACTAAACCCATGGAAAAGACCAGAAATCCAAGGCTTTTGGTAGCAAACAGCAGATGCTACCAGCCCGAGGGGAATGGAATTGAGGGATAGGCAAAAGCAGCAGTTTGGGAACTGTTTGACAACTCTGGCACCAATAAATTTTGATAACTGCAGTATTTTTAAAAAAAGACCAGACCAGATAGGGTTTAGCTTAGCTGCAACCCCACAACTAACAACAAACAGGAGAGAGAAGAAAAATATCCTGAACTGTTCCTTTCCCATGCACCACAAACACTCTGGTAAACCAACCACAGCTTTTGCTGACAGCCTGAGCCCTGTCCCTGTCCCCAAAAGAATCCAGAAGCAGTTAGGACAGAACTTTGTCACTCTGACCATCCCTGGAGTCACCTGGGGCATTCTGCTCCCTGCACTGGCATTTAAGGTTGTGGATCCCTGAACCCTCACTCCAGTTCCCCAAATTTCTGTAATTTGCCCTGACCTACAGAGTGAACTTTGCTAGGGTGAGATCTCCCTCTCACAATCACACATGGAAGAGTCTCTAAACCTGACATGCTCCTTTTTTTTCCCTTTTCAGAGCTTCAGTTCTGGGCCATCATCCTCATCTGCCTTTTCACCCTGCTGGGCTTCATCCTCCTCCTCTTTTTGTGCTTCCTGGTGAGTGTCCCCTTTGCTGTCCCACCTGTCCCTTGACTCCTGCAGAGCCACAGGAGGGACATTCAGCCACATTCCCAAGGATCCCAGCACCTGGAAACAGCAAAAACCACCCCAAATCCTTCACTCCCTTCCAGCTCTTCCAAGCACTGGGGATGGGGAAGGGAATTCAGTCAGCTGAGCAGATTTATAGCAAAGGAAGCAGAATTTTCCCTCTAGAAAAGCAGCAGGATCGTGGCTGGCACTGGGTTTTTGCAGAGGGAAAAACACAAACCCAAAGGTGAGGCCAGCACCAAGAGGAGGAGCAGGAATTAGGGAATCCACAGGGGGAAACAGGGGTTTTTCCCTCTGCAGCATTTCCTAAACCTCTTCCCTGTCCAAACACCCGCAGGATGGGCAGGTTCCACTGAGGGAGTGGCAAACCCAACATTTTTATCTGCCTGAGGGAAGCACATGGAGAATTTTGTGCTCTTTGACTACAATAAATACAAATTATAAATTATTTTAGTGCTCTTTAACTACAGACTGCTGCAGCTTGGCAGGGCCATGCTCCAGCTGCAAATCCTTGGAAAAGGCAGAGCAGATCCTCTTCCCACCTCTGGTGGTGTTTTGATGGGGAACAGCACCTTAAAAGCACTGCTTGAAAACTTTGCTTTGCACCAGCTGAGGAGAAGAGCACAACCTACAGAGAGCAGGGAGGTTCAGGAGACAAAATTACAGGATTTAGGAGAGGAAACCCCTCTGCTGCAGAGCTGCCTCACAGCTTTAGGCATTTTGGGATTTTAATTCCCAAAATCCCTCCCTTCCCATCTGTCAATGTGATTTGGGGACACCTAATGTTGGGCAGAGCATGGATTCAATATTTTTTGCCATTAATTTTGGTCTTTTTGTGATTAATTTTAGTCTTTTTGTCATTAACTTTGGTCTCTTTGTCATTAATTTTGTTCTTTTCCCATTAATTTCAGGCTTTTTCCCATTAATGTTTGTTCTGTTTCCCCATTAATTTTTGTTCTTTTCCCCATTAATTTTTGTTCTTTTTTTTCCCATTAATTTTTGTTCTGTTTCCCCATTAATTTTTGTTGTTTCCCCATTAATTTTTGTTCCGTTTCCCCATTAATTTTTGTTATTTTCCCCATTAATTTTTGCTCTTTTTTCCCATTAATGTTTGTTCTGTTTCCCCATTAATGTTTGTTCTGTTTCCCCATTAATTTTTGTTCTTTTCCCCATTAATTTTTGTTCTTTTTTTTCCCAATAATTTTTGTTCTGTTTCCCCATTAATTTTTGTTCTTTTCCCCATTAATTTTTGTTCTTTTTTTTCCCATTAATTTTTGTTCTGTTTCCCCATTAATTTTTGTTGTTTCCCCATTAATTTTTGTTCCGTTTCCCCATTAATTTTTGTTATTTTCCCCATTAATTTTTGCTCTTTTTCCCCATTAATTTTTGTTCCTTTTTCCCATCAATTTTGTTCTTTTCTCCATTAATTTTTGTTCCTTTTCCCCATTAATTTTTGTTCTTTTCCCCATTAATTTTTGTTCTTTTTTTTCCCATTAATTTTTGTTCTGTTTCCCCATTAATTTTTGTTCCGTTTCCCCATTAATTTTTGTTATTTTCCCCATTAATTTTTGCTCTTTTTTCCCATTAATTTTTGTTCCTTCTCCCCATTAATTTTTGTTCTTTATCCCATTAATTTTTGTTCTTTTCCCCAATAAATTTTGTTCTTTTTCCCATTAATATTTGTTCTTTTTCCCCATTAATTTTTATTCTTTTTCCCCACTAATTTTTGTTCTTCTTCCCATTAATTTTTTGTTCTTTTCCCACCAGGTTCTCTCCTGCCTGAAGAGAAAGTCCCACCTGTACCAGGTGCAGCAGGGCCTCTATGGGTTGTACTTCCCCCACCCCAGCACAGGGAAGGTTCACTGACCCCTCAGCTTGGTCTTCCCAGACCTTTTCGTCCACTGATGAAGGAAAAATAGCTGTAAAACCTAGAAAAATATTTCTTTTATAAATTATTTCAGCGTTTTCTCTCGCCTTGAGATAAATCTTTGCACTATTGCCATGATTCTTTTCATACTTCAGGAAACTGCCAACAGTGCAGGTGCTGAGGAAAATATTTTTTTAAGCACTGCAGTGTTTTATAGAAATGTACATTTTATATAAATATTACACAACCAAAGGGAAATAAAAAACTACCAGGAGCTGCAGTTTGCAAAGCCCTTCAGTGTTAACGTCAGTTTTCTGAAAAAAATTATTCTAATTTAGAGATTTTTGGGGACTGACTGTTGTAGACTTAGAAATCCCACCTAGATTTTAGCTTTTTCACCACTGAGCTTGAAAAATGTAAATACCTTAAATTAATTGAAATATTTCATCTATTTATAATTATGACATTATGATGTAAAGAGACCTTGTTAAATCTGAGCGTGACACAGCCAGGCTGTGTTTTTTGAGATTGCTGCTGATTTCAGTTCAATAAATGCCACGTTTTACTGCCATGAAGTTGTGTTTCCTCTGTAGCAGCATTTTTATCATCCCAAATCAGAAACTCTGCAGAAATCCCGGAGGTTTTTGCTCCTCAGCTCCCATTTCACAGCACAGGATCTGTTTTTAGAGTTCAACACCCTTTCCTGCCAGAATTGCCCCAAAACCCCCAATTCATGCCCCAATTTCCATGGACCACAAGACTCAGGGCTGTTTCTCTGCAATTATTTGATCCTATCATTAAATGAACTCCCTGAAAGTGAAAGCATTCAATCAGAATTCACAAACCCACGATTAGTCACTAAATCCTCCCACTGCAGGCAACGTTTCCACGCAACCAAAGTGGGTTTTGCTTTCAAACCAAAGCTCCTCCAGGGCAGGTCCAACCAGTTCATCCCCAGAGCTCCCTGCAGAGGATCAGGATCTGTTTGCTCGCTCCAACAAAGGGCTTGGAGCACCAATTATGTCAGCAAACATCGATTCAAAGCTCTCAGAGCTCTTGCAAAACACCTCTGCAGTGTCCCTGTCACCCTCAATGTCCTGAGTGTGGCTGCCACCCTGTGACAGGGACAGTGGGAGGGGGAAGGAATTCCCAGCTCCCAAGAAAAGCTGAGTGACCAAGCAGGGCTGACAATCACAAAATCCTGGAAGATTTTATGAGAAAATCATGAGAATCATAAAATCCTGGAAGCTTTTATGAGAAAATCATGAGAATCACAGAATCGTGGAAGATTTTATGAGAAAATCACGAGAATCACAAAATCCTGGAAGGTTTTATGAGAAAATCACGAGAATCACAAAATCGTGGAAGGTTTTATGAGAAAATAATGAGAATGGTAAAATTCTGGAAGGTTTTATGAGAAAATCATGAGAATCACAAAATCCTGGAAGGTTTTGCAAGAATCACAAAATCGTGGAAGATTTTATGAGAAAATCATAAGAATCACAAAATCCTGGAAGGTTTTATGAGAAAAAAATGAGAATCACAAAATCCTGGAAGGGACCCTCAGGGATGATCAGTGCAGCCCCTGTCCCTGCACAGCCACCCCAACACCCCCATCCTGAGCAGCCCTGGGAGCTCCTGGAGCTGTGGCAGCCTTGGCACCATTCCCTGGGGAGCCTGGGCAGTGCCCAGCAGCCTCTGTAATTAATTAAATCAATCAATTAATGAACTGAAAAAAATGAAAAAAAAAAACAAAACCAAATTATAAAAGTCTTCTCCTCATATTCCTTGCCCTGAGCTCCATGCCAAGCCCTGGCACAGCTTTGTGCCATCAGAGCAGCAGCTCCTGCCTTGGCAGCCCTGGATCTTCAGCTGACTGTCCCTGCTGTGCCTCAGTTTCCTTCCCCTGGTTCCCCTCTCCCCTGGGGAGTCTCTCACTCCCAAAAAGCCACGAGTGAAGCCAACATAGGATGAGAAGCTGCCTTGCACTGGGAAAGTTGGAAGGGCCTCAGCACCTGCCCCCTTTCAGGGAGTCACACACTCAGAGCCCTCTGCCACCTCCTGCTCTCAGCACAGCCCAGCACTGTGGGAATCCACAAAATCAGAGGGTTTGGGGAAAGCTGCAAAAGGCAGCCTCAGAGACAGCAGAACTGTGATTAGAGCTAAGCAGCAGCCATGAGATTGGTCAGCAGAAAAATTATTTTAAAAGTAGAAAAGTAAGGACAAATAGAACAATGGTCTGTGTATTAACACTTGTCTAGTATAACTCCCTAAACTACAGAAAAGTTTATCTAGCAAGATATTAGGAAGTTTGAAGCTTAATAATGGAGCTCTGTGCATTGTGTTTTAAGGCTCACAAGCAGGTATTGTATTTGAAATAAGCAAGCATTGTTTAACCAAAGGTACCTGTGCTTATAGTGGTTGGATAGAACCACTGTCAATGTGCTTTTGCTTTGTGTGATTGGTCAAAAAACTTATAAAGTGAGCTGTAACATTGAGTTCTTCATCTGCTGCCTGGGATGTGAGCTGCTGGCATCTTCCCATTGTCATCACCATGGAATGAGGCTGATGCTGGAAAATCAAACAGCTCCAGGCAGTTCCACACAGCCCCGTCCCGTTGGTGATTTGTACAGAGCCCCCGGCCGGCGATTAGCGCCACTTCCTGTGTCACTGTCACATTTTCTGGAAAAATCCCTTTGCCCAGCATTTTGCTCCTGGGAAGCTGAGAAGCCTCAGAGAAAAAGGAAAACAGTTCTTATCTCATTTGCTTCTCCTGTGTTTTGCTCATGTGGAATGTGTTTGGGGATTGTTTACCCACAGGTGGTTGTTTCATTGGATTCTGCTGAGAGTTGTTTTCACTCTTTGGCCAATCAGGGCCAAGCTGTGTCAGGACTCTGGAGAGAGTCACGAGTTTTCATCATTATCTTTTTATCCTTCTGTCTGTATCCTTTCTGTATTCTTTAGTATAGTTTAGTATAGCATTCTTTAATATAATATAGTATCTTATAATAAATTAGCCTTCTGAGAACATGGAGTCAAATTCATTATTCCTTCCTGCCATGGGGCACCGTGCAAATACAAGAACTTCCCAGGGCCAAATTCCATCCTGTCCCACCTTTCATGGAGAGAAAAGGGCGACCTGAGCTGCTTGTCCAGAGAAGGGTCCAGGCCCAGCTGGGATTTACAGCTCTGTAGGCAAGAGCTCATCCGTCCTGCTCACCCCCTCAGTCCTTCCTCTAAATAGTTAATTAATCTAATTGCATCTCATCAGCATTTCTCCACTGGGAGCTTCATTCTTGGGGTAACCAAGAGATTTCCACCATGCCCAGTCAGGAATTTAATTTGGGAACTGCTTGTTGTAGCAGCAAATGCATAATTTTGTCAGTGGCAGTCACTGAATTTACTGACAAGCTTTGGTGTCCCCTGCATGGCTTGGTGTCCCCTGCAGGGTTTGATGCCACCTCCACGATGCCAAAGAGCCCAAGGGACACCCACCTGTGCTGAGCCAGGGCAGCTCAGCCATGCCAAAGCCCCAGCAGGGTGACACCTGTGGCTCAGGCAGGGCCGCTTGGTGGCAGCTGATGCTCAGTGCCCAGCAGGATCTCACAGGACGTGCTGCTCCCTGCAGGGCCTGAGTCCCCTCTGGGACAGGGCAGGGGTGCCCCAGGGACCCCCAACACCAGGGTTGCCAGGGCAGGGTCTCCATGACCTCACCCAGCCCCAGGTGATGTCACAGGGCCCTTGGGGACACACCCAGTCCCCATGGATTCCATGGAGGATTCCAAGCCCAGGGATGTGTTCCTTCCCCAGGGAATTGTGCTGCCCCAGCCCTGCAAGGACACTGGGATGGGGCTGCCCAGTGCCTGCCCTGCTCCAGTGGCCCCAGGACCATACAGGCTCTGGGATGAGCCTGGCAGCACCACAGCAGCAGGACACCCCTGAGCATGGGGAGCATTCCCAGAGCTGGCCCAGGAGCCAGGAAAGGCCCTGGGCACTGCAGGGAATGTGGCAGGGCCGTGGGATGGGGCAGGGGGGTCACAGGGACAGAGCAGGGGCAGAGGGGAGGCTGCAGGAATGTGGGAGGGATGCAGGAGGGAGGCAGGGTCAGGGATGCTGAAGGCATCTAGCAGGATATTTCCCCAGGGATTTCCGACTAGCAAAGAGTGTTTCATTCTCAAACAGACTCCAAGTGATCACTTCATCCCCCCTGAAACTTCAGAGAAAAGCAGCTCATTGTCCTTACTAAGCCAACCCCAGTCTGAGCTCTCTGGAGGAAGGAGCAGCTCCTGGGATCCCCCAGAGCCACTGCCAGCCCTGTGGCATTTTCTGAGACCCCTGGCATTGGAAGGAAAGGAAGGAATCTGACTCCATGCTCATGGAAGGCTAATTTATTATTTTATGATCTATGTTATAATAAAGAATGCTGTACTAAACTATACTAAAGAATATAGAAAGGATACAGACAGAAGGCTAAAAAGATAATAATGAAAAACTCGTGATTCTCTCAGAGTCCCGACACAGCTGGATGGTGATTGGTCATTAAGTAAAAACAATTCACATGAAACCAATGAAACAACCACCTGTTGGTAAAACAATCCCCAAACACATTCTATGTGAGCAGAACACAGGAGAAGTCAATCAGATAATTATTGTTTTCCTTTTTCTCTGAGGCTTCTCAGCTTCCCAGGAGAGAAACCCTGCCAAAGGGATTTTTCCAGAAAATAGGACATTGACACAGCCCCACACAGCCCCTGGTGCTGCCTGCCCAGGGCTGTCCCCGTGGCTGAGCTGTGACACCGTGTCACACAAACCATGGCCTGTGGAGCAAAGAGCTGCAATTGATTTCCTGCGAGCTGCAGGGGAGCCATGGGGTGGGACAGGGATGTTACTGGCACCAGCTGAGGCATCACACATTTGTTTTTCAGACTCTTCCCTTTTCTTGTAAAGGTTTATCATGGTCAGGGCTCTTCTTGTGCCCTGGTCATCCCTGCCGTGACCA